CTAGTGTAATACAATATCAGAAATACTCTATGATTTGTCTAGTATAATACAATAACAGAAAGATTGTATGATTTTTCTGGTGTAATACAATAACAGAAATACTCTATGATTTGTCTAGTATAATACAATAACAGAAACACTCCTTGATTTGTCTAGTGTAATACAATATCAGAAATACTCTATGATTTGTCTAGTATAATACAATAACAGAAACACTCCATGATTTGTCTATTGTGATACAATAACAGAGAAACTCTATGATTTGTCTAGTATAATACAATACCAGAAACACTATATGATTTGTCTAGTGTAATACAATTACAGAAACAGTCCATAGTTTGTTTGAACCGGTTTTTCCCTTGCACTTTTTTTCACTTTACATAGAGAAAGAATGGCCTCTCATAAGATTGATAAATCTTAATTACAAATATAAAATTTACGAACTTACTACGAAAAGTTAAGAGTGAGATCTTGAAGTCGGTATTGCTCCTTTAAAATCCACAGCCATTACGAATGTATGTTATCGTCGATATCAAACCAGTTTGGAAAATTTCTTACTGGATCAGCCTCGTTTCATAAACACAAGACGCGATTGCAGTGGGCACCATACTTATACTCATTAGGCAAGACTAGGAACTATATTTCTTAACTTCTGGAAGCTTCAGTCGTTATTTCTTTTTTACTGATCTTGTGACATTTTAATAAACAGTGAGTATTCTTTTAAAATATATATCGATCAATTCATTGAATTTATTAGGAAATTGACTTTTAATTCTATTACTGAGGTTAGAAACAAAACCCTGACCAAATATTACTTCATATGTTATATTTTTGGCTTTTTTTTACCAAACAATGGCATATTAATTATTTAATCTATTATAATGTAAATAAAATCATCATATATCAATTTAAAGGCATCGTTGCTATTTAAGTTAAATAGTGAATTTTCGCAAATTATGAATTATAAATTTTGGTTAATGTCGCAGTACCTAGGGCTATCTGATTTTCAAAATATTACTTCTACAGTTTTCAGTACAATGGATACTCTGTCTCACAACAATGCATATGATCATAATAGCCAGGCCTTCAGTGCTGATATTACTATAACAGAAAGGATGGATTATTATTCTAAATGGTGCCGATCAGGGGACTATGAAAAGGTGTGATTAACTTTAATTTTAAAGCAAGCTAACTATTAGACTTCTTCAATGCCCAAATGGGTAAAAATTGCTCAAGAGTAACAGCGTATCTAGATAATGCCTAAGGAGGGGGAGGGGGGCAAAAAATGAGTGGTGTCACTCCAAAACGAGGCCCGAAGTGCCAAAGTCTCTTGAGGGTAGGGCTACCAGGGGCCCCCAAGAGAACATGGACTAGCGTGAAAAAAAAATTAACTACAGACTTATTATTATTTTTGTACGAAAAAAATATATTATTTATATTTCATTACCAGATCATACATTATTTATATATAATACGATATTTAAGGATTTGTCTAAAGGAGGAACTTATAATGGTCCAATAATAGCTGGTGAAGCGATCAGTCGGCTCTATCCTGATGATAAAAATATCAGAATTCTAGATATTGCTGCTGGAACAGGATATGTTGGAGAAGAGGTGAGTTGTTCATATCTTCATCATTAAAAATGGCCCAACAAACGGCGTACCAAACTGATTCAGCTTTAAATTGTGGCACAGTTCCCAGAGCTAAAATATAACGATGGTAAAAATTTACAAATGATGCCGGTGTAATCTTTTCTAACAAATCAAAATCATTGTTTGTCGTTTAGGCTTACCGCTATCTGGTTGCATTTGAAACAGGTGAGCGCCAGGATATTTGAAATTTTTAGGGATCGTTCACAATACAAGCTGACCGGGGCGGCACGGAGATGAGCGGTTAATGTACAGACGCTCAGCTGCTCATCCCAAGTGCGCAAGCGTATATAGGTGCGCTATGCTACGCTGTAATGTGAATGAACCCAGAATCAGATGAAATGTTTTGTACTTGTAGCTAAGGAACAAAGGATACCATAATGTGGATGCCCTGGAACCATCCGAAGGAATGTTACAACAAGCCATTGATAAAAACATATATAAGACCCATATCTGTGATATTTTGGGTGGAACTTCTGTCCATATAAACGATGGTATGTCAGGCATATTCTATATATAAGCAATTGTAGGTGCATTTGAAATTAGCATGCGAGGTTTCGTATGCTTACAAGGCAATCCCTCACTTCCTGTCAAATGATTACAGACTGGAAGGGAGTAACTCTTATTCAGAAGCAGAGCCGTATAATACGGTTTCAGGCCACAATATGACAGTGCTGTTACTTTACTTAAAGCTTACTTCTTTCAGATGAATATGATTGTACAATTGTTTGTGGTGGAATGGGAGAAGGTCATATACCATGTTCTGGTTTAAATGAAATGATCAGAGTGGTTAAACCAGGTACGAAATTTCACAAAATTTTAAACTTAACGCACTAGATTAATTCAATTCAAATCAAATGAATCGATTGAGTATTTAAGCCACCGTTATATCATTAATTGTTAGCTTAATGCAAACCTTAATATGCTAGTAATTTTATTTCAGGAGGTGTTGTATGTATCGTGATGAGAGAAGAATATCTATTCACTGTTTCAGAGTATAAGGATCGACTGGAACCTTTGATGAAACAACTGGAAGATGATGAAAAATGGGAAATATCAGACCGCATTATTTTCCCAAACCATTTTGCTGGAAAAAGTGGCGTTTTGTTTGTCTTTCGTGTAAAATGTGACGGTGTATGAACAAGTGATGACGTCAGAACTTATGGCGTCTAAATATGACGACCATAAAATGAATTACATCACACCATGTGATAAATAATCTGTGATGGATGACTTCAGAAGATGTTACTCACTATATTTTGTCAATAATATGACGTTGCATTTATAAACTTTATGAGACAGACAAGGCCTATTATTTTTATACGCTCACATGAAATGTAGAGCGTATATTGCCGTCACCCATGTCCGTCCGTTGGTCGGTCCACAATTGCTCGTAAACACTCTAAAAGGCACAATTCTTGACTGATTTAGATGAAACTTGGTATGATTGTTTGTAACCACCCAAGGATGAACCCTATTGAAAATCAGAAAAATCGAAAAGTATTTAGTATGATGTATTGCCCTTGTTCTTGAAATGCTCGTAAAAACTCTAGAAGGTGCAATTCGTGACTGATTTTGATGAAACTTAGTGTGAGTGTTTGTTCTTGAAACACTCGTAAACACTCTACAAGACACAATTCTTGACGGATTTGACGAAACTTTGTGTGAGTGTTTGTTATCAACCAAAGATGAATCCTATCGAAACTCAGAAGAATCAAAAAATATTTAGTTTGAGTTATTGACCTTGTTCTTAAAAACATTCAAGTTTTAGCCTGTAAACACTCTAGAAGGCCCAATTCTTGAGAGATTTTTTTTATGAAACTTGGTAATATTATACAGTATCCCCCAAAAAATTCAAAAAAAGAAGTGTAAGACCGAAGGTTGAATATTTCATAGGGGTAATTGTTACTGTAGGCCTACTGTCATATATTTTTTATTCAAAATCAAAGCTGCCAGTGGGCGTATAATTATTACCTTGTCTGGCAAGCTATCTTCATTACCATTCTTTCTGCCAAGCAGAATGTACAGTTAAAGGGATTGTAAAGATGATTAGGGCCTACTCAATTTTGTATGTGTATCGGGGACACTGAAAGCATAAATTTGCACTATTCCAATTTTCAATCAAACGTCTGTGTTGTAAAACTAAGTGATTGATGACATCATTGATAATATTTTGTGATTAGTGACGTCATCAAACACTTATAAGTAAAGAATGTGTTTATAATGTTTCTGTTATAGCCTAACTGAACACATACCAATAAAATATTTAGTCAAAAGTGTAAAAATCAATAACCCAGTAGTAGGCCTACTGAATTTTACTTTTCCGCTTGGTTTGGTTGGAATTTAATAAGTTACAGTGTGTGCTGAGCATTGCTCGTTACGAAATATCCATGTCATAGTCCTACTAAAGGCCTTAAAAAGGCACTAAAAATTATTGTGAAAACAATTGAAAATGGGACTGAGGTTCATAAACATAGGTCCAGAGCCAGACTTTATTGTTTAGGGTTGGTTGTCCGAATTTTTTCAGCAGTGGGGTGGGGGGGCATTACCATCTGTAGCTACGGACGGACCCGATAAAACAAAAGGAACATCCCCTCTATTGTCATTGATTAGTAACAATTCTGTAAAAGAGGAAAAGTACCAATTGTAATTTGAGGTACAATACTTATCTAGTGAAATTCACGGTCTATAAATTGCATACTAAAAATATCTAAAACTTAAAAAAGTCTTATATTTAAACAATTTTGTTTAGTTCTTTTACAATTAAAGGGGCAGTAGGTACGTTATTTACATCTATATATTTCACTTGATCAAACTGAATTGTTCTCAGTGTATAATTGTTAATTAAGCAACTATATAGGTTTTATGTTGGGTCTCCCAAAAACTAAATATTTTAAGTTGAAACCATTTGAATGCAAAGAAAACATATTTCTCTAAATCTAGGAAAAAATAAATCACACGATAACGTGCAAACAGTATCACAGTACTAATACCTACCAAAAAGCATAACGAACTTTAAAAGTTTACCCTTAAACCTTTTAAAATAGTTTTGACGTTACAAAATAGTTATATACTGTCTTTTAACACACTTCTCTAGATTTCGCAAGCTTTCATAAATTTCAGCAAAAAAAAACATTCAACCTCCGAAAATAACGGAAGGCGCCCCTTTAAACTCGAATGTGCATTTCGAAATAAAGGGAGTATAATATAAGCTTTTAAAAGTCATACTATCACAATTTCAAACTGTATGAAAGACAAAAGTTTGAAACAGCTTGTTATAGACATACAATTATATAATTTACAATTTGCATTAATATTCGGAAAATTACTTCAATTTATTCATTAGTACAATGAATAAATTTTCTCTCAAAAATGCGTATGATCATAATAGCCAGGCCTTTAGTGCTGATATTACTGTAGCAGAAAGGATAGATTTTTATTCTAAATGGTGCCAATCAGGAGAATATGAAAAGGTAAGACTAACTTAAGTCTTAAAATTTAAAGCGTGCCAACTAATGACTTTTTCAAAGCCCAAATGGGTAAAAATACGAAACTACACACAAACTTAGTTCACAGCCGTTTTGAATCGCTACTTCGACTTAATAAAGTCTATACTTATATTTCAACCTATAAATGTGATTTGAAGGTTTTATTGAAAGATTATAGTTATTATCAAAATTCGATTTATTAGTCGAAGTATAGTGATTCAAAATGGCAAACGGCCTACGAGAATGTTAAGCAAGCGCTATCACGGAAACTGCCGAAAGTCGAGTGCCACCCAGCTTTTCTTGTAAAAATTGTTTAACTATAGACTTATTATTATTTTTGTATGAAATAAATATATTATTATTATTATTAGCCTATATTATTTATATTTCAGTACCAGATCATACATTATTTATATATAATACGATATTTCAGGATTTGTCTAAAGGAGGAACTTATAATGGTCCAATAATAGCTGGTGAAGCGATCAGTAGGCTCTATCCTGATGATAAAAATATCAGAATTCTAGATATTGCTGCTGGAACAGGATATGTTGGAGAAGAGGTGAGTTGTTCATATCTTCATCATTAAAAAATAGTTCATTTCAACGTGTTCTTTTAGCAACGGTAAATATAGTCCATTTAGATATGAACTATATTTACCGTTGGTAAAGGAACATACATTAAAACTCTTCTGTACTATACGCCTTTTGCGCTGTGGTCAAGTAAGGAGGGTTGGGGTAGCTTAACAGACGACATTGGCTCATTACTCAGTACCATAAACAATATATCATGCGTTTTATTGGTTTTTATAGCTAAGGAACAAAGGATACTTCAATTTGGATGCTTTAGAACCATCAAAAGTGATGCTACAACAGGCCAAAGATAAAAAAATATACAAGAATCATATCTGTGATATTTTAGGCGGAACTGCTGTCCATATAAATGATGGTATGTCAGGAATATTTTCTGTAATAGTAAATTACCAACTTTATGAATGACTTGCGAAGCTATTATTCCTGAAACGGCATCCGTGTAAGTTACGCTAGCGCTCTGCAACAGTTTCAGTCAGAGCCATAATATATACTCAATATATGGCTCTGGGTTCAGCTTATGAAAACTGCCGAGGATAAAGAACAAACGAAAGAAAGAAACAATTATATTTTACAAGGATACAATTTACGTTCACAGTTAAGGATCCTTTCTACCATCTGGTCCTTGGCGAAACCTCTACGCATTGATTTTTACCGGATTATCTTTCCTCAATCACTGCTGAAGATTGCCGAATGCCGAATGTCTCTATTTGTCACATGACAACAGACTAGAAGGAAAGTATCTCTGGATCAGAAGGAACTGTTTGAGACTACAATATGACAATACACGCTGTAAGTTTACTTCTTTCAGATGAATATGATTGTACAGTTGTTTGTGGTGCAATGGGTGAAGGTCATATACCATGTTCTGGTTTAAATGAAATGATCAGAGTGGTTAAACCAGGTACGAAATGTCACAAAATTTTAAACTTAACGCACTAGATTAATTCAAATCAAATGAATCGATTGAGTATTTAAGCCATCGTTATATCATTAATTGTTAGCTTAATGCAAACCTTAATATACTGGTAATTTTATTTCAGGAGGTGTTGTATGTATCGTGATGAGAGAAGAATATCTATTCACTGTTTCAGAGTATAAGGATCGACTGGAACCTTTGATGAAACAACTGGAAGATGAAGGCAAATGGGAAAGTAAAGACCGCATCAATTTTCCAAATCATTTTGCTGGAAAAAGTGGTGTTTTGTTTGTCTTTCGTGTAAAGTGTGACGGTGTATGAACGGTGATGAAGTTAGGACTTATGGCATCAAAATTATGACGTCGATGAAATTAATTGTATTGCTGTGTTTGTTACCTCTGGGAAATATAGAAAATAACCTACGACTTCCGAGAGGGTAAATAGCAAGTCGTGTTTTCTACTGGAGTCTGGCTCTTGGCCTGTGTTTTATGAACCTCCTTTGCTAGTAACTTTCTTTACATAGTCCAATTTTCAATTGTTTTCATAATAATGTTATTCTGCTTTTAGGACTTCTTCATTCATAACGAGCAATGCTCAGCACACACTGTTACTTAATAAATTCCAAACAAACCAAGCGGGAATAAAAATCAGTACAGCTAGCTCATTGATTTTTACACATACGACTGACTTTATTATCATTTCTTATTCTCCGAAATATAAATAATTTGTGATGCATGGCTTATGTAGATACGTACTGCGATATTAACCAATATACAATAGATATATTGATAATTTGTATAATAGAAACATTATAAATACATTTTTTAAGATTACTTAGAATGGCCTTATAAGTGTTCGATGACGTAACTAATTGCAAAATATTATCACATAAGGCCCTTCACGATTAATGATGTCATCAATCACTTAGTTTTAGCGTAATTGCAGGAACCACTGACGTTTGATTGAAAATTGGAATGGAACAAATTAATGCTATCAGTGTTCACGATACACATACAAAACTTAGTAATCCTCTTTACAACCCCCTTTAATAGTGCTGTATTTGGTTCAAAACAGGATCTAAATCAGTTGGTATGAATTCTTAAAGCATGTGGTCATTCCTAGGGTAGAAATGACTTATCTAATAAAATATGAATCTTATTCATATTTTAAATTTTAATTTTTCTAGAACATAATTTAGACTGTAGAATTTAAAGTAGAATGCAGATGTACTCTTTAGATCACCTCTAGATTGGGTCAGTGAGAATATCTTTTCAGAATATCTTTTTCTTACGGAAATTAAATAGATCAGTGATATCAACTTCGGTAGGGTCGCAGGTTGAATATAGGTCAGTTGTCTGAAGATCACATAGCGTGAAACTCTTGAGAAACAACATGATTTAAGTACTGTTTAATGTTTCAATATCTCTCTTCAATTGTTGTATTAAGCATTATTTAACAGTGAAAATATGTTATTATTATATATACAATATCAAGTTGTCAAATATCATGCAGCTTCCACTTCTGCTCTAATTTTTACAAGCTGAAATTTAGCATGAATTAGCTCCATCACCTCGCTGGAAAAAATGTTGAAAAATTGTTATCAAATATTACAATACCAGTTCCCAAAAAATCAAAATATTAATATTAAAATACTAATATCAATATACCAATATACCAATATCAAAATACCAGTATTGAAATACCAGTATCGAAATCAAAACACTGTTATCAAAATATCAATACACTAATTTCAAAATATTAAAATACCAGTATTGAAATACCAATATCAAAATACCAGTATTGAAATATCAAAATACCAGTATTGAAATACCAATATTAAAATACCAGTATCGAAATCAAAACACTGTTATCAAAATATCAATATACTAATTTCAAAATATTAAAATACCAGTATTGAAATATCAAAATACCAGTATTGAAATACCAATATCAAAATACCAGTATTGAAATACCAATATCAAAATACCAGTATTGCTAATTTCAAAATATTAAAATACTGGTATTGAAATATTAATATATCAGTATCAAAATAACAATATCAAAATAATATCAAAATACCAGTATTGAAATACCAATATTGAAAATACTGTTAACTATAACAATACCTCTCTTTTAGATCAGCCTTCATTTCTATTAACTTCAAAATCTGGTCTTCTAATGCTTTCTGAAAATCTTCCATTTTGGGTGACTTTAATTTATCTAGACAATGAGTAATAAAGAAGTGAAATGATGTTTAATAATACTATGGACGTGTATGGCATCTACTGATTGTGCAGACTGGCAGTAATAGTGTGCAATGAGGGAAATGAGGCCATGACAATGGCAGTAGCAACCGTTCTTGCATCACTGAAATATGTAAATGCAACCATGTCATTGGATTGAATGCTAGCAATTACAACCAATCAGAGCCCCTGAATACACATGTAGCAAAATAGTTTGCAGTCTTATTGTATATGACTTTGATTGGCTGTATTTGCTAGTATAATCCAATCATATCAGTGCATTTACAAACATATATGACACAAAAATGGTGGCTGTGGCGGTCAAAGTATAAGCAGTAACAAAATATATTAACATGGTGAAGATGTCAGTCTGCATCAAGTCATTTCATTGCAGAAAATACATACGTTTATACAGTGTAGCAAGTAAATGTGTTAAGCCATGAATTGGATGTAAATCAGTGACAGCCTCCGATTCCAAACAACCAACAATCTCTTCTAAAAACAACCTGAAATTCAGAAAAATGATTTCCAAGAATTTACATCTTGAATGATAACTGTTTGCATATTTGATAGAGACAGATTTTTATTACTTAATCATTTGCATCCATATTAGTCCAGAAAGTTGTTAGAACATAGATTAACATTTTATTGAAAACAATCCATAAATACATGCATATTAAAATATGTTCAAAAATTTACAAATAAATCAATAATGTGACTGTATGATAATTAAGAAACACTTTTAAAAAGACTTACTGTCTGGTTAATGTTTTAGCATTAATAATCTCAATTATCCAGCCAGTTAAAGTTGGTAATGTCTTTAAATCACTTCTAACTTCACCCAAACTAAACTAAAAGTACAGAATTAACACTGAATTACGTCAAAAATTGTGAATGAGCAAATTTCAAATCAAGTAAAAATCATACATCATAAAATACAAGGAAGAGAGATAGACTAAACAAACAAATAAAATATAATACAATGCTACAGTCTCAAAAACTCATAGGATTGAGGGTGAAATTGATATTACTTAATGCCCTGGGCCCATGTTTCTCAAAAAATATAATAACCAAATAACCAAAGTATGGTAATTCTCAATATAAAAATACACCATTTAGACAATTTCTTATCAAGATTGTTTAAGAACAGAGGACTGCATCTTCACAGTGTCAAGCAATTAAGAACTATGTCTTATACTTTGACTGCAATAGTCACCCTTTTTTGTATCGTAGAAGTGTGTAAAACAAGTGATTTGGTTGGTTACAAACTTCCAAGATACAAGAAATATGGCTATTGCAGTCAAGGTATAAGAAGAACTTGACATTGTGAAGATGCAGCTCCCCGTTCTCAAACATTGTGAAGATGTAGTCCCCCGTTCTCAAACATTGTGAAGATGCAGCCCCCTGTTCTGAAACATTGTGAAGATGCAGCCCCTTGTTCTGAAACATTGTGAAGATGCAGCCCCCTGTTCTGAAACATTGTGAAGATGCAGCCCCCTGTTCTGAAACATTGTGAAGATGCAGCCCCCTGTTCTGAAACATTGTGAAGATGTAGCCCCCTGTTGTCAAACATTGTGAAGATGTAGTCCCCCGTTCTCAAACATTGTGAAGATGTAGTCCCCCGTTGTCAAACATTGTGAAGATGTAGCCCCCTGTTGTCAAACATTGTGAAGATGTAGCCCCCCGTTATCAAACATTGTGAAGATGTAGCCCCCCGTTCTCAAACATTGTGAAGATGTAGTCCCCCGTTCTCAAACAATGTGAAGATGCAGCCCCCTGTTCTGAAACATTGTGAAGATGCAGCCCCCTGTTCTGAAACATTGTGAAGATGTAGCCCCCTGTTCTCAAACATTGTGAAGATCGGGGGGCTGGTACCAACCTGTTGACTGGAGTCTGATAGTTCAGCCACCACAGCAGCTACTGTTGTAGACATCAAGTCTTGTGATATAGTCTTATCTATAGACATAGTTTTTATAACAGTTGACATAATCTGTACAACATACTTCTTTATTTCACTTACAACCTACAATACACATCACATATAATAATATTATACAATACACATCACATATAATAATATTATACAATACACATCACATATAATAATATTATACAATACACATCACACATCACATATAATAATATTATACAATACACATCACATATAATAATATTATACAATACACATCACATATAATAATATTATACTATACACATCACATATAATAATATTATACAATACACATCACATATAATAATATTATACAATACACATCACATATAATAATATTATACAATACACATCACATATAATAATATTATACAATACACATCACATATAATAATATTATAATAAAAACTCATCACATATTCTCATAACAATACAGGACTGTTGATTACTGTTTATTTGCCAGATATTGGGCAGTAACAAATTCTGAGAATCCCATGTCTCTGTCAGACACCAAGTATATATTGGACAACAAGAGGTATATCAGCCATGTGGACTCTCCGAAAGGAATGCTTAGTTCACAATCCCAGTCCTTAGAAGTGCTTGACCACAGCCTGCTTGTTAATGTTGGTAAAAATCCTAGTACTCTTGCTCCAGGCACAAGAGTGGTCTTTGATCAAGACCGTTTGTGTGTCCACAATTTAGCAAGCAATCATAGGTGTTAATAATTCTAATTTGATAAATCTTTTTAGTCTATCAGGTTTGTAGCTATGACAGGCATAGTCTGACAGTCTCAAAGACGTGACAAAAATTTCAATATACTTTGTACGTATAATTGGCAAGAATTATTGTTGCTGTGATGGGTATTGCCAGGAAGTGTCTCCATGGTAACAATTATATAAAATAATATGATACATACATCTCCACATTTTTCAGGTCTTCTTTTAGCATAGAAAGCTATAGTTTTATAAAGTTTGGACATACAGGCTGGTATAGAGGTTATTTGTAAACCATTTCTAGCGTTATCCAGTATATCTATTGACCAGAAGAACTCTGTAGTCTGATATAAACACATCATTACTGGCGTTAATAACTTTAGATCCTCATCTGAAATAACCAAAATAAATCTATCAGAAGTAATCTTTGTTTGTGATTAAGATGAAAAGAAATGAAATAGCACCCTGCATCTACCTCTGATTAAGCTAATGATAATCCCCAAAATCGTTTAGGCCATGGGACTGTGGTTCTCTTTATACAAATAGATGCGTGTGAGGAGGGGAAGCTTTATTAACCTTTTCATACAAGAGGAGTAGCTTGTATCATAATTTTGCATGAGTTCATATTTACAGAACAAATCATACGTAGAAGAGTGTTAATTGGTCGTTTTGAAAATCATGTGACATGATGAATATCAACTGTTCCTTATACAAAGTTTACCTACTAAAGTGATACATGGTAGAAATATGTAAGTCAGTAAAGAAGTCAGTAAAAGTCATATACTAAGACATTGACTGATAAATAAATAAAACTAATGATTGTATCTACCTGTTTCTAAGCATTGTAAACACAAATCTAAAACTTGTTTACTAAATTCAATACTAGCAAATCCACATAGAATAACATCTCCACATATACGTAACAAGATCTATAAATAACAGATATACTTCATTTCTAATATGTATAAAATCTTTTACACTATAACAGAAGGTTTAACACATGAAGGGTGTTTTAATCACCTGACAATTTTAAAACAATTTCAGATGTTAAGATCTAACTCACAATAGTTCTATAAAAAAAATACTGAAAATTCTATCTCAGAATAAAACCCCTCAATTCCAAACTAGCTGTCCTGATGGGGGCAATATATCTGCAGCATCAGCTTAGCTCTAGTTATTTGCAGAAGTAACAGACTATAATTTCATACCTTTGTCATATTAAGTGCCAACTCTGGATTATTGGCGCCAGTCAAATTACCCACAGTCTTGTCACCAGATTTATCTTTGTTGGTATCAGGAGCAATCAGATCTGGACTGGCATCTGGTTGAAGATAGAATGTGGAGAGATCTCTCAATGCTCGTTTACGTTTTGTGGTATTTAGTTTAGTTGTATTGTTTAAAGTCGTGCTGTTTATTTGAGTAGAGGTGATGTTACATGATTCTGTTGGTGTAAAATTCTGAAGTAGATTCTGTTCTGCCCAAGATATCACTGGTTGTATATTTCTGGCAGCATTTAATTCTGGATCTTCCTGTAGTAAGATAGCAAAGCACAAATAAATTTTGATATTAGAAATATTCAATTAAAAAATGAGAGTACTAATTGTTATTATAGCAGTTTGACCTAGTTTCAGTGATTGGCGTTATAATGGCTTGTTATATTCAGTTGAAATCTTTAGGAGGAGACATGTTTCTCCACAATTAGGCGTTTATTTTTAATCAGTTTGGAGAATACATGGCCTGGTCTACATAATTCGAGCATATAATTTTTGTAGTAAATTCATAAGAATGGAAAGAAAGAGAAAACAACCAAATGAAATGTGAAAACATTACCTGATCATGAAGTAAAACTAGACATTTTAAATACAGGGTAAAAGCTTGTTGTATAAGTTCGGTATTTCTAGTTTCAGCTGTGGGGTCTCCATTCGCTACTTTACCTCCACTTTCCTAGAAGTATAATATAATAAGTTGATGATGTCGGTGACCATATTAAAGTCATTGTTATGAATGCAGATAATATGAGGCAAGTTTTACCACTGTAAAGTTTGAACAGTTCTATAACATTTGGCTTGACAGCTTTTTACAATAGTGCAAGTCTTATAGACCCATTAGCATTATATCCATATCAAGAGTTTCCTAGAATTCAACATGGCAAGCAACCAAACATACAGAATTTGATACATAAGAGAATTCCATGCTAAACAAAAGGAATGCATTACCTCAGTAAAAAAGACTGGATACACTGTCTATTTCCAATGACAAGCCCATTCTTCAAGTATGAAGAAGGCAACTAAGTTCAAACTGTTGTTACCTATTTTTCTCTTGATAAATAGAATCTTATACTCAGTCAAAGTTTGAAACATCATACCTGATACTGATATAATATATCTGTTAGTTTCTTTAAGGAGTTATGATATTTATTAGTTATCATCATCTGACAGGTATGATTGGACGTCAAATATTCTAAATAATCCAACGCTATTTTAGGCTGACATTCAGGTTGTTCTGGTTCTATAAATCCAACTCTCTTTTCTCCTTTATTCTTTGATCTTTTTACCTGGAGAGAAAAAGTTGAAGTCAGAGAATAATACAATATTCAGCTGATGGTGTTAATGTCAATTGTTGAAACAGTGTGTACGATAAAATCCAGAAAGAGTATACTAGCTAATTTTGTAATGCTCTCAGGGAACATACTATGAATTGACAAGTTAAGGGGTATAAATTCAATATTATCAGGTGGAGAAGCTTCAAAAGTTTCATGTTCTAGGTCATTTACATGAAGAAGTACGCTTGGAGAGATATAAGGAGAAAATCAAGCCCACAGCAAACATCTCAAAACAAATAAAAACTAAATTGTTGCAATTATTAATTTACCAATAGGATTTCTTCCTTTAATCAGTTTATTTTAAATTTCCCTGTTTTGACTACAAAAATGCATCTCTACTGAAAAATTCTTTATCTAATGTACACAGTGGAACAGAGATATTTCCATACATTAAGGTGTAATTCAAACATAACCAAGAGCAGTCCATTTGATTTTTAGGGAGAATATTTAGAAATTGAATGTAAAAAGGCAGCTTTATTCTGTCCATTACTGCCTACACTACCTAAAAATTAAAATGAGCCGGTCATGTTTATTGTTTGAATCCGATCTCCATGTGCATGATTATCTCTTTTCAACTCTCGTACTGTACTTACAGTTGGAGCACCAACTTCAGGTGTATCACAGTTATCTGCCCCTGTTTTCTTCCCGCTCAATTCACCTGTCAGCCAATCAGAAATAATTTCAAATATATCATCAACTTTCTGCCATTTACATGCTGCATCCAGAAACATCTCAAAATCTTTGGGTTGATTAGCTGCTGTCATTTGTTTTAGTTTTGATATACATTTTAAGCTGAAATAACAAAACCATTGATCAAGCCATTTCATGCTTCTAACATCTAAACTGCTCTCCATTAGACAAGCGAACAAAATAATATAGAATGCTAATATTTATATTTTGAATCGGACCCTGCTTTTCAAATATCTTTGCCGGAACCATATTATGCTAAATAATTAAGTTAACCCACCTGATAGCAGGAACATAATGTGAAGGAAGATAGGCAGCAATCTGTATAACAAGATCTATTGTCTCTGGCTCCTACAATATATTGTAAACAAATCTCAAGTTTGTTACAATAAAACAGACTTCCCCTTTAATTTTGTTCAATGAATAATGGTGGAATTTGCAAGGAAATGCCAAGACCTTGGAGTAGATGAATTGTAGAGTTTAACAAATGAATGTATGTGTAGATGCACTGATTAAAATGAATACTTCATTATTGGTGATAAGGAATCTCAACTACATAATTACCTGGAATGCTTTTAGCATCATTGGAACAGCAACTCGAAACTTTCTCTGTAGATCTTTTAACAGGTCTAAATTAGCTGGCTACAAAACAGACATCAATCACATTAGACCATATTTAACAACATTCAGTACTCATGACTATGATAAGCCTTCTACCACTTTGAGCTACCAGTATAATCGCCGCTAGTCTTTTAGCAGTTACAATGAAGCATTCTGTCTTATTTCTAATAGAAAAGTTATATTCTAGAATTTCCAGCCGTGGAAGAATCAACATGTTGTACTCACATCAAATAATTCTGTTGTAACCACCCACAATATCAATATACATTCTAGAAAACCATTAACAATAGGAATATCTTTAATAGTTAAACCTTCATCTTCTTCTTCCTCTTCTTTATTATTCTAAATTACATTTTCTAAATTGTATATTTCTTTCAATATTTTTAATTTTCAGTCCAAAAAATGCAAAAACAGATTTAATATTACAATTAAAATGCATCCATCTTTTTCGTCAAATCATCCTTGTTCATACAAGATATTTGCAAATCAACATATAACGCAATTGAAGCATAGGGCTAATTTTCACAGATGCTTGGAAGCACGATGTTTGAAGTTCTTGATGGATCTCTACAAACATAAATATGGCTTGAATTAATTTTGTTACTCTGACCTACCTTAGAGCCTGACTTGTGACTAGAATCTTCGTTACTATCATCAGTTTCCTCCCCTGCATTCATCTCTGATTGTTTTATTAACGTCAATATAGTACGACATACTGTAATCATGTACTTAGCTGGAAAATTTCAATTTAACTTCAAGAATTGCTCCATTAAAAGTCTAAATTATTCTGTTAATTGGAAATCCAATTTCACTTTATTAATCAAGTTGTGAAAATGAGGACTGAGATGCCTTAGGACATTTTAATGATACCCAAAAATACTGGACTGTTTCACATCAAGCCTTATGCAGATACTGAACTCTGACACCCAGTATTTTACTCACTGACCCCCCCTTTCTTTTCCTAAGCTTTAATACACCCATCACACCAGAACTTCAAGTCCATTTTGTATCACTGCAACAGCACAGTAAGTGCCCCTTTTCAGTGTGACGGGGGTATAAGAGATCAGACCATTACCTGTTTCAGCTACAGTCATATACTGGGGAAAAGATTTAATAAAATGGCGACAAGCGTCAGTATTCATTTCTATCAGTGTGACCAAACGGTCAACTTGATGATCCTCGTCCTGATCAATGGGGAAGAAACTGCGAAACATCAGCTTCATAATACGACGTTTAACTGGCATGGACTCGGTAATATTCAGATGAGCTAAGATGTGTTTTATTGGTATGACTGTCCAGTACTGAAATAAATTAACAGCACTGTGTCTAAACAACATGAATAACATCATTAGAATGGCTAAATTCATCATCTTTTTGATATGTCAAACTGTTATATATTTCTGCCTTGTTCAACTTAGTAGGTGTAGCTCAGGACTTAGGTCATAAATATTCATGATGTTCTGTGATTTTCAAATGGACCAATCAACACACTTCTATATACATTTGGTTTTGTAAATACAATGTATGAAGACAGAAACAAAAAACTCGAAAATGAGCAACCCTTTAAAAGGGTGTGTTCATTGGTTAAACTTCACTGCCTTAAATCTGTCGTATGGCCTTGTTTCTTCAAATGTACTCGGTCTCTACATACCTTGAAAGTTCTGACATGTTTTATCTTTAACAAAAGTTCCATGACAGCAATTCGAACTTTCTCTGAAGAATCATGTATACTGAATTTTAACTGTGGTAGTATTGGTTGTAATACAGGGAAAGTTTGAGGGTTGTCTATTAATGATGTAAAGCCCTGAATATAAACATAGAGTATAGTTTTAAGTGTTTGATATTGACAGTCATACCATCTATTGTGATAAATGGATAATAATACATATCACAATATCATGGAATTGGGGACAAAAAACAGAGTTTCAATGATTTTTGGTAATTGTTTTCCATATATAATTGTCAATAAATTGTCAACAACTTACTGTTTTCATATTTCTGTTGACTGTCTAACTCTGTATGTGTATCTAGATGTCTTCTCTATTATCATTGAGTATGAATACGCGAAAATGTGATACGATTTGATACTGAGCAATTCACCACAAAAAAACTCGACTTGTTATTTTCAAAAATTGTGATTTGAACAGTTAACTTCGATTTTTGAATTTACGATCTTTTGGTCTTCCTGGTTACATACCTGAATAACAGCCTGTCTTATATTATCAGATGAACTGTCACATGATAAATCTTTAATCAATACTACTAATATACCATTTAACGCTGTCAAGGGCAATAACTCCCAACATAAATAGAGTATATTGAAAACACCTTTCACAGCTATCAGTCTTACACCATGGTTTGGATCTTTTAACAAACACTAGAAAAATAAATGAAGTTTAAGATACCATCCGCAATTGACCACAAACAAAATTACTTCTCCTACAAGGAGATACAAGTGTATACAATATACATCTTATATGACTTCATCCTAGATGACTAATCTATAAAACATTTTACGAACATCATAACACACGTTTTGCAAAGGTTTTGTCATTTTGAAACACCTCAATTCTTTATATGTTGTAAAAACATTAAGGACAATTATCTTACCAATAGGAATTCATATTGTTCTTGCATCAAATCATCAGAACTTTCTTTCTCATCAGTTGTCAATGGAAACACATCCATAAGAATACTGGCACAGTTAGCTCTTACTTCAGAATGAGGAGCCTAAAAACAAATCAAACATCACTTACTTCATGTCTTATTGTTTCTATATCAAGGGTTTTCATTCAGAAATGAGGGCCAGCTTCAAATACATAATCAGTGAGTTCTTAAATGCCAGGCCTCAAATTCTCAAAACGATGTTAATGCTAGGATATCATAGAAACAGTGTTAGAAGTTATGACTCTAGGACATCTTAGTTCTAAGATTGTTTCAAGAATTCATGGCCGAGTTAGGTTTGCCGTCCTTGAGGCCCCTACTTCTAAATCCCCAGTTCCTATCCTGAGTGTTTTCACCCCCTAGGGGTGTTGGACAAGGGTGTCAGGGGTGTGACCAACTGGTGTAGGAGAAGAATTTATTTGGAATTGAGAGAGCACCTCACATCATCACAAGCTGAAAATGTGGATGGAATTTTTGGGGTTCAGGTTCAGGTAATTGCTCCAGGTGTTTGAAGGCTGAGAAAGGTTGGGAACTACTGTCCTAAATGATTCATAGATACACCATTGATTAAAAAAACAAAAACCTACACTGAAAAACAAAACACCTGATATCACAAAATTTTCAAATGAAAGCAGCAAAATACTGAATGGTTGAGAATCCTCATGATCACAGAAAATTTTTTGTAAATAGTATTTTATTCATAAATATATTCAAAATATATACATTATGAAAAGGATTGGGGAACAGGCTGGGCCTATATTACCCCTCTCCAAAGACCACAGAAAATCAAAAGTGCTGTAACATACCCTTAAATATCTCCAGAGAAAAGGCGAGTATAACTCATGTAGCATCAAATCAACTCCAGTCTGTTCTTTTTTATTATGGATATATCTTAATACCTACAACATTTAAATTTTATCAGAACATTACTGATAGGTTCATATCTTATAAAGTGTGGAGATAGGATTGAGGATTTCACTATAAAAAATATTGCTGATAATAAACAATTTCAAAAATATGTTCATGCTGTATTAGATTCCAGCTAATGGATATAGACAATCCAGGAGATCAATGCAAACATATAGGCCTGGGAACAGTTAGTAGACAAATCCTCAAATCCAAGATGTTTTTCTTGTAAAAATTATAGTAATAATGGCTTCTGGTGATAGCATATAACACTGCTTATCTTAATCATGTGCTGGACCACTCGTAACAAGATATAACTGAATAATAGATCACCTTCAGTAAAATGGTAGACATATTCGGGTCCCCAGTCCTTGGAGCAACAGCTGCTTGATGCATCAAATTCTGAATACATTTATCTTCTATTATCTACAAAATTGAAAGAAGAAATCTGAAGTAGGGTTCAAACTCACTTTAGTTTTGGCTGTATCTTTACATATAGTAACAGAAAATTGAGAATTGACTAGAGAATTATTGTTTGGTGAATATCAAGTCCAGGAATAGGAGATGAATAATAATTTTGTTAGATCATCAGTAACATGTGCAGATTTGCATTTTATTCAGACTACCAATCCTTTGAATGCTACATTGACATGTCAGAACCCATCTTCACAATGTCAAGGTATTATGAACATTGTCGTATAACTTGGCTGCAATAGCTCCCTTTCTTGTATCACAGAATGCAGCGATTTGGTTGGATTCAGCCAATCTGAGCCCTCAACATAAAGAATGGCTATAAAGGTTGCTATTTCAGACGAAATTCATGATATTGTGACATTCAAAGTTTCCCAATAAATGTTTGAAAATAGTAAAACTAAAACCTACCTTACGAGTTGTTCCAGTTGACTTCTGCCAAGCACTGAAATAAACTTCACCAAATTTCTCCAGCAAAGCCCTAAAATTATAGCAAGCCATATTAAAACATTTTTAGTCATATTCAATGAAATCTGTCCGCATGAAATAGTATTAAGATTTCAGAAACTTATAATTCTGAACAACATTAGAGTGAAGCCATGACTAGACAAAGTAGAGGATAATAGATACAGTAGAAAATATAAAGGTGCAGGTATGATTCTACTAATTTCTACTTTATCAATAATTCTGTAATGTTTCCTGTACCTCATATATTCCAACCTCCAGGAAATTTTTATCAAAGAGAAAAAAGAAGATATTTAACCTACTTGGGGGCAAAGGGAATTTCTTGTTTAATAGCAGAATGTAATGTTGGAATAAAATTATCATTTAAATGGAACAAAAAACTGAGAAACATCACACCCTGAAAATAATCATATAAAAGTTGCTTTAATGTTAGAAGTCAAGATGGCTGATTTAAATTACTTGTCAGTTATGCATTAATGATTTGAGATGGTGGCAGCATATCAAAGAAATGTGATGCCAAGGTTAAATATAGTGTGTCAGTCTCTATGACACCCCTATCCTTTCCATTGAACTCTTCCACACATGCATACATTCTATCAATAGGAAAAGGTATACCTATGATTGGAAGAGCTCTTTTTAAAAAGAGGGGGTTTATGTCCTTGAACCCTTTAATTTGTTGAATACTTTCAATTTCTGGATGGAATATAGACCAAGTGAAAAATAATAATAAATAAACCTGTGGAGCCTTGTAAAAATCATAATTAGTAAAACATTGTAATAATTTTCCTCTCAGTTTTAAGTTGGTTTCCTTGGTTACATCAACAATGTCTAAATAATCATGTAATTTCCATAATCTTTTTATCATAGTCATCTGAAATATCAAAAAAACATTATTTATCATTTACTGCAAAAAGAAATTGTAATCCAAATTTCATCTCTTAATAAATGATGAAATGTAAACTTAAAAGAACATGTACTTTGAAAAACAATATAAATTTTTTTTTACATAATGGACACGAATTTCAGATACAAATCCATTATCAAAACAAAGAAATCAGGAACTGTGAGTGAGAGTCCTTGATATATCCCACAAGCTTGGCACTAACTGTAGTATATCTAGATTAAACTTACAGGTTTCCCAGAGAGTAGACATTGTGATAAAATATAATCAAATGTATTAGATATTATTTCTTCTCTTCCTTTGATATCTTTATACCACCAATATTCAAATAACATAGACAGTGTATTCTTGATAGAGGGGGTTGTATCAGGTAATGTGGGCATTATACCTACAAATAGAAACATTCATCATTAGTTTAACCTCCAATGTAGGTGGAATAATCATGTATATACAATATAGTACTTTGGAGGGTGTTTCAATCAAGGTAGGTCACACTCATCCTTCAAGAGCAACTACTGACTAACGCTTTCAGAGAGTTGAGATAGCAATGAATGTTGTCTTGGTACTTTTCTATTGTTTCAAGTTTTTCACCTTTGACTTTTAGATCTAGGACATCACACAGCCCGTGGTCTAAATACAGTAAAGCTGTATCTATTATGATTATAGACAGAAAATCAGAAGCTTCAGTATAAATCAACAGTTTGTTTCACCTTGCATCCCACCCTTTTGCCCATCTTGCAGTTTAGGTCCCTATACCTACCATGTAAGAGTAAAGCTGTATCTATCATGGCTATAGACAGATGATCAGAAGCTGCAGTACGAATTGTTATGTTCATCAGATTAATGATATGATTCAATAATTTCACCAATTCATTCAATTTCTATAATAGATAACAATATATTATTTATAAGGCATCTTCTTCTTCTTAAAAATCATAGTGTCATATTTTGATCCCTTCTTAACAAGAGTTACTTCCCTTCCATGCAAACAGGAGTAGTATAACCGAATATGTTTTGTTATATACTATATTATATGGTTACACCTTTCCTTTTCTTTAGTTATTTTCCACTCTTCATTTTGAGTTAATTACAACATATTTGATACTAGAAGTAGTAAACCTAAGGAACACTTAAGGAACAATCATGACTCTTGAAGAAGTACTAACCAATTTTGCTTATACTTATTATGACGGGGAAGATTAACCAGGGGCATCTAAATCTAATATTTACCTGTGTTTCTTCAGACTCCTCATCTAGATGTAAACTTTCTATTGACATTAAAGTAGATGAACACAATGTCTGTAACCCTTCCCATAATTCATCAGTCTGTTGACGACTGCAGGTTTCTAAAATCTCATGGATACTCGAATTATCTTTCTTACACTAAAAGAAAAAATCAGATTTCAATTTCAGATCTATTTGATGCTGGAAATTCCCAGCACTTTAACTTTTGAACTCCTCTGCATTACATTTTAGAAACTATTTCTCCCATCAACATTTGGCAGATACTAAAGGTTGCTGGATAGATAGTGTGCCGTCATGTCTAATGCAATGCAAAGGAATCCAAGTGATGACTGGGGCTGAAAGAAATGAACTGGAACTCAAATTTAATCCCAATGTAGAATTACCTGGAGCAGAAAATGATCCAGCTCTTCCACTGACTGATTCTGTACTTTAGTTAAAAGTTCTTCTCGTAATGCCATTATAAATTTATCTTTTGGCTTTGACCTAGACTATCTGGCCCTAAAATTAAAAAAACATATTAAGTTGTACGCCTACTAGATTAGATATTTTATGGGATGGAAGTGTGTCTATTTCAAAATAAAAATCACTGAACCTTATATTTCTTTGGACCCGAAGACATTCTGAGACAAATAACATGCAGTTGAAAATTCAAAGCCCAATGTAGTCCAGCCTTGGACTATGTTATTTCTTATATACGGTGAAGGGAAGCTACACTCCGTCTACGTATTTGATTTAGCCCAATGTAGGCAGAGTGTAGGCCAAATGTGTTAAGTACTGTCAAGTCAGTGTCACTGTCACTGATCAGGCTTGTGAAGTACCGGACCTAACCCTCTGCCACTGAAAGGCATCTCAAGCTCAAAAGATACTGCCAATTTGAAGAGTGGATCTATGCCTAAATGAAGATTTGCCTACAACTACCTATTTCAAAATTTTCTGATTCGAACTATCAATCCCAAAATAAAAATTTGACTTCAGTTCAAGAAAATAACAGTATTTTCCCTCAAATCCGGCGCCATTCCGTTACATACTCAACTCCCGGTCTTCAAGTCTTTTACGGTCATATAAGGATCTAATAATACAAATGTCTGGAAAACCGCAAAAGCAATTTTTGTCCAGATTATACCAGTTGAAATAACGTGATGAAACTAGCTAATATAATTTTCGTCTGGTCATTCGAGAAAATATCATCTACGACTTCCGGTTAAACCGCCGGTGAAAGTCAGAAATAACTCAACCCAAATAATCCGTTGCGTGGGCCACAAACATTACTTCGGCAAACAAACTGGCAACTTTTTTAACTTCAATCCCCAGAAGACTTGACTGAAGTTGAGAGTAATTTATTTGTGCAGATCACCAGTGAGAATTTTTTGCCGGTATTTTGCCATCTGTTTGTTTTTCTTTTTTATTCTTACAAAATTGAAAACAAAACAGGTCGAACTCGAAGCCGAAGGTAAAATAAAGGCGTTGCCTGGTCAAATTGATATTTTGCCAAATAGTTGTACTTTTATAACTGTGGAAAATTATTCCAGAAAGATTTTGATGTTCTCAACATTTTAGCTCATTGGATAAATCTCATCTCGCAACTACCACTATTATTTATTGATGAATTGAATGATGCTGAATTCAATAAGTGCATTGTGAACATTTGCTTTATCTAATCTGGTAATGGTATGTTAGTGTGGCTCAGGTAGAGTTTTTTCAACAATATATTTACAAATGATTGATTGATTAATTGGACGATTGATTGGATTAGAGGCTGGTGAGAGAACGACTTGGTTACTCAACAAGGTAACAAGAATGGCTTCAAGTTCAACATCAGTTGTCAAGAGAGGGACATCATCAACTTCAGCAGCATCAAAGGCTGAAGTAATAGTTGAAAACAACAATAATGATGAGAAAGTGATTTATGATGCAGGAACATTCGAAGTAGACAAAGGTATGTATTGAAAAGATCTTTTTTATCAGGATTAAGGTGCAAAATTTTGACGGTGAGCTATGAATTCTATAACTGATTGGCTTAGCTTCATGTTTCTGAGACTAAGGTGTAATTGGTCAAAAAATGTAGCACCTGTCCCTTTCAGAAGGGTTACATAACATTCATTTGTCTCATCCTTGTCACCAGCAACAATACTCATTTGGCATTGCAGAACCAATCAACTTCAACCTCTTTTTTGATCATTCACTGAATATCAGCTACTGAGTGACTGATATAGCATAACACCAGGGAAAAAAATTAGATTTTTTGTTTGCTCAAACTGTCAATGAAATTTATTCAAAAACATGTTGTTTTATTTTACCATAGCTATAAAAAGAGTTTTAATTTAAAATTCTTAAAAAATGTAATGTATATTAAACATGTCGTGTGTGTGGGTTATTGAACCTGAAATTGATATAGAGTCAAATATATGTTTGTTAGACATTTTATAATAAGTTATTTAGTTCATATTGATTTCAACAATATTAATTTTTTGTGAATGTAATTTGTATTGAATCATGTTAACATATAAAGTCACGTTATGTGCTATCCCAGCATATTTCAGTATATAGTATTTCATATACTATTCGGTAAAATAAATTTGAATTTATCTGCTGGAAGGTCCAACTATACAAAGGTTAAAGCTATGATATTCATGATAAAAGTGTATTTCTTTCACAGCAAATCATATTTATGTAGTTTGCAATAATTAATGTCTTAGGAAAATTTAATACCGGTACCGTATTTCTGAACATGTCTTTATTAAGTCATTCTCATTTCCTTATTCAATGATCTCAAATACTGGAATGTAATAGAAAGACTAATTAACAAGAAATACAAGGAAGATATAATATTCTGTCCATGCAATATTCCCATATATCAATTCAGCTGTAATAGTCCATTAAACCATTTAAAGGAAGCTTTATCTTGATATTTTCCATGTCAAACTATTGAAGAGTTCAGTTAAATACAGGTACTCATTTCTATAATAATGGTTCAAGGTGAAGTTTAATCTATGAAAGGCCTGTATTTATTTTTCTAAAGTGGTCCTTATTGAGTTAGTGAAAAAAGTAAAAAAAAAGCGTGGCGCAACTTATTTGTAAGCGACCATAACAGACTTTTCATCTTGCTGAGCTTGCATGTCATCAAATCCTGCAAACGTTTGGTTTATTATGAAATTCAGCTTCAATATAAGTTAGGTTAAACAGTAGTAAATAGTTCTTTTCTAACCTAGATTTTTAATGTAATTATATTTAATTAGATGAGGTATGAAATATTAATTAATAATCTTAATGATCTATAATTAATTATGGTCTACTGATGAGTTTTAAATGATAAGGATAACAGGTAATGTATATTGATATGAGAAGATATGGTTTGAGTCTAACTAGAAGTTTGTGTCTGAAATTTCAGTCAAACGGCTTTAGCATTCAATTCACTCTATTTAAAGTAATTTGTTTTGCGGAATACAGGTAGCAGTCAGTAGTATAGAAAAACATTAATTATCTTAATGTTGATGTTATCAATCTAATTAAAATGTAAATCTAGATGATGGTGTTTGTTGATTTTTCATTAGGGTGTCTCCACTTGCCATCCATAATCTTACCAAATAGTTATGAATCTCAGGTTCTTGATCATTTAGTATTCAACCTCTCAAATGTTCTGTTCAATAAAGAGTTTCTCATCGAGTTAAATTGAATTATGTATCTGTTTCGAATTACTGGAATTAACATTCTTGGAAGAAAATAAATAGTGGAATAATTTTATCAAGTATATAGCAGGTATGTTGCTGTAATGTTGATGTATTGCCAATGACATGATTGTAATTACCTTATTACAGTTGGTGTTAAATGGTTCTGATTAGTAACTAAACTAATTAAGACAGGTATTTATCATGTAAGCCTCGATCTATAACATAGTTCAATAATCTGCTAATTATTTTGGTTCGCTATTGTTTCTAGACGAAGGTCAATATTATAAATTGTATATTGATTGAAAAGTATTTTCAGGATCAATTAATGAAGTATGATTTAGGACAGGTTGATTATATTGGAGATGAAAATATGATTTTTATGTAAATGTATTAAAGCTTAGTCATCTAAATACCAACCAGTAAAATATCGGTTTCGAATTAGGAGTTAATGTCAATATTAAAAGTACTAAGTGTCTGAAAAATCACTGATTGAACAATTTAAGATGAATGATGTTTATGAGGAAAGAAAACAACTTTTTCTAGTGGAGCTAAATTTAAAAAATCCATTGCACTTTTCAGAAGCAAGGACACTCTAATTTTGATGCTCTTTTAAAAGATTGTCTTATTGTAAGCTTTGGATTAGACCTCTTAACTCTTTCAATCCTAGCGGCCGGTTTATCAGCCACACACTAACGCAATATAAACCCAAGCAGAAGGCCGTTTACTATGTGACATCAAACAACGTTAAGGTTATAGGCTTTTTTTTTACTTTAATTACTTGGAGTTCAGGATATATGATGTTATATTTCATTTACACTCAGGGGGTCACAGGGTTAAAAGCTTCTTGCTTTGATGAAGAAATCAGTATGGAGTATTAAGATGAAATAATCTGTAGTTAAACTGGCATTAGTCTGGGAGAAACATCATAATCTCATCTGATCAAAGGAGAAAGACTGTTGTTATATTATGACGTATTTCACCAAGCCATGTCTGATATAGGACATCTTAAACTTACCAGTTTTCATATGATCTAGAAATTTGTCAAAAACATTGAAGATTCCTCAACTAGAACAGAAAAAACATTCCAAATTTCTGACGTGTTGATTTGAAGAAATTGTTGAAGCTTATTTTGCTTAATAACAGTTGCAATATAGTGTATGGTATATAATGAGTTTCTTAATAGCCTGACACAAGATTCTAAGCCTGTAAATGTGTCTAGTCTATACTAAATAAGTCTGAAAGCAAACAACAAAGGTGTAAAGAATATTGAATCGTATATATGTTGTTTACAGAAAAGTTTTGGCATTGGAAATATTGAGTCTTTGAGGGATTGGAGCGCTAGGTAAACCTGCTTCAATTGTTCAGTGATATTGATTTGTGTGATTGTTCAAACCAGAGGGAGTTCCATCAACTCATTAGGTACAAATCAGTATAGTTACTTAATGAAAATATTTAAAAAATTTATCAACACTGTGTATTTCGAATTGGTCGGGTTACTGGTATGGCACCAAGGTTATAAATATTCATGATGTGTCATTTTCCTGCACCAAGCTATTTAGCTGTCAATCATGCTCTACTCTGGGGCCAATCAGAATTACTTTTACAACCGAGTATCAATCCCATAATTTCGGAAGACATAATTGGTCATATTGCTCAATTTAGGGATTTGCTATCCCACAATTCATAGTCGATATTTAGACACAGATCCTGATCGTGCTGTGAAAGGAACGTCAACAGTGTGTGAACTTGGTAGAGAAATGGAGAAACAAAATTGTAATCTCATTGTCATTAAATTGTATTGGTCTGAACTTTCGCGGACTAGTATAACCCTGTAAAACTCTACGTAGTTTCATTTAATCTGTGAATTTGGAAATATCACATATAAAATTAAGTAAAATTTAACATAAGAATGTGATATGAACACTGAAGGTTGTTTCATGTAAAAAGACCAAGGCCAGTAAGTTTGAGAAAGTATATGGATTGTTGTTTTGATAAATTGTTAACAGTTGAGTCAATCAAGGATGTAACTCACTGAGGTAGAAAAAAAAATTAGTTTTCTTCTGAAGTGTATATACTAAATCATAAGTTTAGGTATTTATAAAGATTTTGTCCTCTAGTTACTTGAAACTTGACAATATCACTGACATTAGGTCATAATGACAACACTAATCTTTCATTTCCCAACAGATTTACTGATAGGCTTATCATGGTCAGATTTTCCTTGCATGTGATTACAAAGTACTGTTATATCATTTATTTTACCAAATAAAATTTATTTGGCACAGAAACATTTTAATGCAGCATCATCTTTTGAAAGTTAAGATAATTTAAGATTTTTAAGAACGACTTTGAGCAGTTTCTAAGAATGTCTATCATGAAATATAGGAAAGACCTTGATTTAAGATCTGAGGGGTATCATAGATGTTCTTGAGGTCAGAACATCCTGGCTAGGTGATATATTGTTTTTTACAGTTCAACGACTGTCATGATATTTTGGTCACCTATTAATATTATTATTTTATTATATTAATGAGTCTTAGTATAAAAAAAGAAGAATGTGAAAGTTGCCCTGAAGGTAGAAAACTAGTTGACCTAAATAATAAACATGTTGTTGATGGTGTTTGTGTAAAGATTATACTTGTTATGTTACAACTTCAACAAAACTATCTATTTCCTTCTCACCATTTCAAAAACACACATAGGGGGTAGTTTTAGAAGTATGGTAGTGGTTTATTCAGGGCTGTTGGTTAAGAATATTCCCAGAATATCACGAGCTGATAATTTTTAATTTTAACGAGTTAAAAACATAAGAACTAGTTGGAATTGGTGTTGTTTTAGAAAAAACAAATCACCTCATCTTGTACTAAAATTGTCTATTTTCCAGGAGACTGTAATTCTATTACACCATCTTGAAGACAGATAGTTGTACTACAGTTATCTTTATCATCAATAAAAATATAACTGTTTTTTTTTTATTTATGACTTTTTTTAAATTTTAAATTTGAAAGAGAACATTGGACTCATCAATCAATTAGATGTGCCATTTCTTTGGCCAATCATACTTTAGTCTCAGAAATATGAATTTTTAAGCTAATCCAGTCAGTAATAGAAATAGGGACAAAAATTCCTCAATATTTTTTAAGGAATTATGTGATTTTGGTAAATTTCTAGTATTTTTGAAGACGATTTACGTAATTCAAGACTCAATTCAAGACTCAATTCAACCTCACAAAATGGCACACCTGTTCCCTGCACACCTGTTTCAATTTCTTACTAGTCGCTAACTCTGCCATCACAAATGAAAATTAAATGAAACATTATATATTTGTTACCAATAATTAAATCAAATTTTGAATTAAATTGGTACATAAAGTGTAGAAACCTTTGAAAACAGAAGAAATATCTCTGATCATCAATTAACCGATCATAATTCATTTGTAAGCCTATACAATTGTTAAAATATCTAAATACAGAATTTGATCTAACTCATATAAATTTTTCAGGGGGGCTTAAATTTTCTTAGTGAGGCCTAGCTCCCCCCCCTCTAGCTCCCTCTAGCTACGAGCCTGACTGTATCACACTTTAGATACCAGTAATACCATGAAATATTGGTTAAAGGGATACAGCCATCTAATTATTTACGTTACCTTCTGATAGATCTCTGTTTCAGCTATCTGTTAAGTCATCTATGTACATATTTGCTTTTAAAATCAGATAGAACATCTTGGTCATCTGAATCATTTTTCAGTTGACGTTTGGTTCATCTACAATTGAATTGAAATATTAACATTTTGAAACAAATATGGAACATTAAATATTCTTACTTTTACTTTCAGAAAGTCCAGCTGATGTTAACATGATAACTCGTCACCAAGGTTACCACAAGAGGACACCATCTTGTAGTCTTGGAATCTGTGGACCAATTTATGCTGTAGATCAAGTTCCTGAACAATTCCATGAGATGTTTATTTTACACGGTTACCGTCATCCTAAAAGTTCTTTCACCCAGTGTGTGTTGAGTTTATTCGATGCAACCAATGAAACTTTAAATGCTTGGACTCACTTCTTGCCTGCATTTTATTTTATTTGGGTATTTTTCGGCTTGTCACAGAGCCTCAACTTCTGGAGTGATAGTTATACATGGCCATTGTTAGTGTATATGTTAGTATGCTGTGTCTTCCCGTTCATGAGTGCTATTGCACATACATTTAACACTATGTCCGAACGTGCTCGACACATCTGTTTTTTTCTGGACTATACTGCATTGAGTCTTCTAAGTCTTGGTGTTGCTATTGCCTACCGAGCATATGCCTTCCCACAAGCCCTCAGGAATACCATTTATGGAGATTTGTTTGTAACAGGGGCAGTAATCAATTCGTTATTGTGTGTTCTGGTATCGTGTGAGACGAGATTTATGAAGCCAAGTGGTTTAAGAAAAGTATTGCGCCTGGGATCATTTGCATTACCGTATGTGTACGACAGCATTCCTATAGTATATCGTTTACTATTCTGTTCTAAAACTGAATGTGCCTTGACATCACATCCGCTGTTAGCAAGACAGTTTATATTTGCATTTTTTTCTGCATTTTTATATGCAACTCACCTTCCAGAAAGACTGCGACCAGGTCAATTTGACATCATTGGTCACAGCCATCAACTATTCCACATTTCGTCAATTCTAGCCACAATGGACCAAATACAAGCAATGCTTGGAGATATGCGTGAACGTGCTGAAGAACTGAAAGCCTCATGGGAGTTCACCTCGCCAAATAGTAGTTTAAATATATTGGCAGCTGTTTTGATATTGAATACAATAATAATTTTTATATTTTCTATACGAAGGTTGCCATTAGCAACTAAATCTGAAGGTCGTTGCTGTTGACAACCTGATTATATTTTATAAGGATATATATTTTTTATATATTTATAGTTTGTTATATATTTAGAACTTTGTCGATAGAGTAAGGGGGGAATAACTGCTTTTCTTTTTGTGCAATCTATCTTTTATTGAGATAGTTATGTATGAGATGTTATAATCCTGTCAAATTATATATTTTAACAACCATCTTATCCCTGTCAACCTCCTCTTGAAGAATAATTTCCTAAACTGCCTCTAGAAGCATGTATTTTCTTTAGCTTATTTACAACATCATACTATGGGCCAAGACATTAAAACTGTCTTGTCAAGTCACTACAACTTCAACTTGCTGGCCAGGTTGCAAGATTTTATGATTCAATTTGTGTGTGTGTGTGTGTGTTTTCTTTAACTTGTGAGCCAAGTCACTTGCGAGAAAAATCGCTAGCCACTATGAAATATATACAAGTTTTTATAATAGAATATACTAACAGGGTAATATTATATAGAAGTCCCCCAAAATATACAATTCAAAGATCCTTAATCCCATCTTTATTTCTTGTCTGTGATATATTGATATATAACCTTACTGAACAAATATTCTATCTAGAATTGTAACCTGTGATCAAATTATAATAATCTGTAGTAGTCACCTCAACCATTCTCTATTCCATTAATCCAAAACCTTAACTATTAGTTATATCTTTGCCCATGACCTGTTTTCTGTCAAATCATAATTTAGGAATCTCTAAGAAAAATCATACATGATTGAATGTTATAGCTAGTAGTTATTAATATGGGGCCAAAATATATTATATTATGATGTTATATCTCCACAGATTAGACCTTGTTATTGCTCAGGATTTAAAGGGTAATTTAGTTAAATCTTATTTATTATGATGTAGCTATAACCATATCTCTCTACTGATATTGACTTTTTCATGATATTAATATTAGTATGATATAGAATAACCTTTGATGCATTTAGCTCATAATTTTGTTTCTAAATTTTATTGGTCAAGCTTTTCATTCTAGACCCTTGGCCCTGTATTCTCGAAACGATCTTAGCGCTAGGATGTCCTAGAATCAATGTTAGAAGATAAGAACATCCTAGCGCTAGATCCTTTTGAGAATATGGGCCTGGTTCTCAACCTTTTAGACTTGTGGTATACCTTTCTGTATTTGACTGTCTTTTGGATCCTCACACTATAGCTATAATCAGCTGTGTAAGAACATCGGTCATTAGTTCCAATGGCAACTCTCATGCAACTGAGTTGTGACTTACGTTTGGTATTCATGACTACTTTCATTATTCACAATAATATGAGGGTAATGCAAGAGGAGAAAATCTTCGAACAAAAGCTGTGAATTGTTTGTACCATCAATAGCCGTGAATTAATCTGCAGCCCATATCATGAAACAATACTGTGGTATTACCACAGGTTGAGAACCAAGGTTTTAGACAATTTGATCCATTGAAACATTTAGCAAATGAGATTCTATAGAAAATATGATACAGCTATATTGATATTTAATAAGTTAGAAAGTTAACAATTAGAAGATTCTTTAGAAAATAAATTTACTTTTATTTTATATTTTTATTTTTACTTTCACAAATTTATTTCTACTATTTCTTTAGTTTTTCAGAAATATGTTTTCAATTTTTCTTTAGTTTTATATCAGAATCTTATAGTCAATAACTCTCAATCTTCAGACTTAACCTTATTAATAATATGGACTCTTCAAATTCAACTAAAATGAGTTATTCTGATTCATAAAAGTAGGGTGTAAAACTCTATTTCTTTCTCAAACTAGATTCAGTTGTCAAAGAAAGCCAGAAATTTGAATTTTACTGATTGAGTTTGAGGGTTGAAATGGCTCTATCACGGTATGGTATTGTATAATATATAGGATATAAAGTATTCTTCTTTCTATATATTCTATATTTTCAACATAAGAAAACTGTCTGAAAGCTGAATAAACCTTAATCAAAACAACTCTTTTATTATTATCAAAAACACAATGCATTCTTTAATGGGTATTACTATGGGATGGTTTGACCAAAATCTATTGCAATGTACATGGCATTCGTTCCTTTTAAAGAAGAATTTAATATTTGTTCAATATTCTCAGCTTGCTACTATTGGAAATGACTTAGAAAAAAAAAAAAATCAAATTTGCCAGTGTCCAAAACCATGGTCATCAGTGAACAAACATAAAGTTAGGAAAATTAAAATTTTGACAGGATATAAATATTTGGTGTATAGTCACTTTAATGACAAAAAGATTTAATAAATTCTTACACCAGATGTATTTGGGAATAATAGTCATCTTTCCTCAATATACTCCCTGATGACTCATGACATGACAACAAAACATTTAAATCCCAACTAATGTTAATAAAATGAACACAAATATAATGCTGAATAATTGATTTATTTGCATAATTTTAGGGCCCTAAAATATATTATTTTAAAATGGAATGATTGAAATATATGGTGCAAAAATATATACTATTATTTACATAGTTACCAAGGTAACAATACATTAACAAATATACATATAATAACTACATATAAATAGACGATATTAAAATCATCGGAATGGATTTCTTTTTCATTGTAATATTAAAATATTTGAATATCTCCTTTCAAAAACATAGAAGTTTACAAAATTAGGACATTAATTTAAAGAAGTTGAGAAAATAGTAAAAGTATATTGGTTGCATTATTTGTATGAGGTATAACTTAATACTTTAGACTGCAACAATTCGTAGAAAAAGAACACAGGGCATTCAGCATTTTAATGGATTCAAAAATCAACTATACAATTTAACAAAACTAGAAAAGAACTATTACAAACAAACAATTAATTAACAAATTAACATAAAACTAAAACTGGTTAAATATGGAATGTTAAACTGAAACCGGTTAAACATGCAATGTAAAACAGAAACCAGTTAATATTAACTAGAATAAGTTAACCTGAACACTGGTGCATTACTGGACCCAGAAGAGAAATATTTAACAAATGCCTGGTTGCTGGTCGTTGTTAATGGTGCCACGTCCGTCTGAAAAAAAGAAAAGAAACCAATGTAGATAACCGACAGTGATAACAGAAATTAATGACTTTCAGCTAATGATCTGGATCTGACATCTCTTCACTTCATATTTTGTCAAACTCATAACTAGTACTCTTTCTTCGGAAACACAGAGTTGCCATTTTTTTCACCTAAGATAAAGAACTCATGCTGTTTTCAGACACATTTCAGATATAAAATCATCAGCTGGCTTGGAATAAGTGTTTATTTGAGAAGAGAGCTCACTGAACAAAAGTCAACACTGTGAATATTTTTAAGCAAAGATCAATGATTCGGCTAGAGATACATTTCCATACCATACATGTAATGTAATATTTGGAAATTTAGACATACATTCTAATATGTCTGCAGCTATCAAAGTAAACATGAACAATTGGACACGTGAATAGAAGGTCAAGAATACAATGCAAACATCACAGATAGAATTTAATATCTACACTTACATCACCACAGTAACGTCCAAATAAGGGAGATCCTGAATTGGGTCCATTGTACACAGCTACATAGTTATTAGTACAGTCTGTTACCCCAATCACACTCAGAGTGGCAAATCGTAGAGTTATAGTTCTACGATTTGGAACATCTATTGACCACTGACATGTCTGGACATCAGAATAATTTCCTGGAAAACCTGGACTAGTCAAACTTCCTGATATCCCTGATAATTTGCCACCACAACCAAGACCTGGAATAAAGATTGTTGTTCATATTTCTAAATTTGAAAATCATTTTAAACTGAAAATTACTGAAAGTAATAAGTGATGCATAGTTTCAAACCACCAAAAGAAAGTGAATGTCCACAAAAATTTAAAAATCTGGAAATCAAGAGTATAAAATTCCATTAGACGATGAGAGAGGATCATACTCTGGAATTTAAAAAAATCAAACAAACCTGCAGTTGTTGAGGTATATGTGATGTCATATCCTGTATGAGTAACAGAACTATCGGTGACAAATTTAAGTAAAATCTGATTGGTTGATATAAAGATAGGATCTGGTAAGGTATTACCACAGAGTTTACTAACTGTAGTATTAGTTTCTCTTGTTCCATTATGTACCTGAAACACCACACTGGACATTTTATTCACAAACTTTAAATAATACAGAAATCTTTTTTTATACTTTTTTATTTGAAGATATTTGAACATTTTTATTACTTCTTACTACAATAGCCATTTAATCATTTAGAAATCAAGTGGTTCTTTGTAACAATACAGCAATTACACAAAATTCAGCTACTTTAATACATGCTTCGCTGCCACTTCTGCAAAAATATTTTTCTTTTGGCCATAATTTCTATTTTTGCGTTGATACTTGACACCATTACATCCTCGTTTTTGTTCCTTGTTGAATTAAGTGTTTGGGCTTATGAAAATAACAGCTACTTACTTCTAGATAATCAAATCTACACGTGGAATGTCGTTCAATATAAAATTGATTAAAATATAAGGAAACAGAACGTCCAGTCGGGGCAGTTATACGTATTAAACAATAAGCATTTGTTGGATAACGACCTGGAAAACCAGGACTAAAGATCTGTCCATTTTCTCCAGTGAAGTTCTGATTACAATCTAGAATATAAAAATTGTTCCATATAAAAACTGTAAGACTCATAAAGTGTCTTTGTGGAATAAGTCTCCAGTTACTTTCTAAAGAGGGTTATGGAGGAAAGGACATTAAAAATCATATTTTTGTTTGGATGGGACAAGACACCAAAGCCTCATGTGCTACGGCCTGTACACGAAAATAGAAAAGCATTGGAAGTGGGCAATACTCCATTTTAAAATTAAACAGTGAACACTTTCAGTCCACTCAAGCATAATATCCTCGAAGAAATAACCAATCCTTTGATCAGATCTCTTCTTTCTCTGAATTAAGAGATCTTTAAAAAAAAAATAGCGATACATGTCCTACCTGCGAGTTGATAGGTCAATTGGAAACCAGGTGACCTTGACCTTGAAGGTATGTTATAATCCACAGCTATAGTACGGCCTTTAGAATCGTAACTTGTGGTTGGAACTGTTGAACCACAATAATGAATAGTCTGCCCGTTCACACCCTACAAATATATAACTTCATAGTAGAATGTCAGGTAACTGGAGTACTGACAAAAAATTTGGGAATTTTCATCCAGAGGATCCCCACGTCGGCCATTTTTCAATTGAATGCTGATGAACAAAGGGGCTAAAATAGAAGACATGACAATGTCACAAATATTTTAAAAGTTTTAAAATCAAACTACTTACCATAGGATAGTCTCTGAACTGCACATACTCCGTGGCACAATTAGGGTCGTTAATCAAATTAATGGCATTGAATTGTAGTCTGACTTTCTTATTTCTGGCTCCAGAGTCAATCATCCAGCGACATCTGCCACCTCGACTTGATGGACTGGGATAATTAGGTGAACTTATCATTTGACTCACATTAGTTGCTATTAAGGTTCCTCCACAGAGAGCTGCAAAAATACAAAATACATATTAAATCACCTGGATTTCACGTGTACCTAGTGACGAAATAAATAAATATAATGAATAAAATCAATGTTTCCAACAGAGCCATAATGTCCTGGAATAAGTCAACTTTCTTTATCATTCAAGTCATCAATGTGGTATGGATGATCAAGTAAAAATCAATGAGATTTCTCCAAAGACCAGCTGGAAAATAGTTATCCTTTTTCCTTTGTTTCTCCCTTACTTTCTCACTGATTTTACCGCTATTAAACCTACCTGGTTTCTGTGTGTAAGTGGCATTAAAACCTGCTTTAACTATACTGTTATCGGTGTAAAATCGTACAAACAGGAAATTTGAAGAAGCCGTTATTGTCTGTGGTACAGTATTACCACAATATTTACCAATCAGAGGATCTCTACTAGTCATACCATCATAGATCTACAACAATCGAAATAAACCTTTATCATTCTTACATCAATGATGATCTAGCAGTGATATTTGATATCATAGATTCCAAAGAATTCTGTTGTCATCCTATTAGCTGTGTAAACCTGTTTTCTGTTCAGGGGAATTACAAAAAAGATCTGTAAAATGTGGCTGTAATGTCATGTCAATCAAAAATCTTTCAGATTTAAGTTGTATCAATTATTGTATTACTTCAGATTTGCATCTTGAAAAGTGATCTCAGTAGCTGAAATTAAGTTCCATCAGCATAACATTAAGTTCCAGGTGAGTCTAAGTTCCAATAGCTAAAATCAACTCTGAGATTAAGTTCCATTAGTAAGCTGAAATTAAGTTCCATCAGCATGACATTAAGTTCCAGATGAGTCTAAGTTCCAATAGCTAAAATCAACTCTGAGATTAAGTCCCATTAGTAAGCTGAAATTAAGTTCTATCATCTGAAATTAAGTTCCATTAGTAAGCTGAAATTAAGATTAAGTTCCATCATTGGAAATTAAGATTAAGTTCCATCATTAGAAATTGAGATTAAGTTCCATCATTAGAAATTGAGATTAAGTTCCATCATTAGAAATTAAGATTAAGTTCCATCATTAGAAATTGAGATTAAGTTCCATCATTAGAAATTGAGATTAAGTTCCATCATTAGAAATTGAGATTAAGTTCCATCATTAGAAATTGAGATTAAGTTCCATCATTAGAAATTGAGATTAAGTTCCATCATTAGAAATTGAGATTAAGTTCCATCAACTAAAAGTTAAGATCCATTATCTGAAAATCAAGTTCCAACAGCTGAAATTAAGTTCCATCAGTAAGCTGAAATTAAATTCCATCAGCTAAAATTAAATTCCATTATCTGAAACTAAGTTCCATCATCATCAGAAATTAAATTCTATTAATAGAAATTAAATTCCATCAGCTGACTGAAATTAAGTTCCATCAGATGACATAAAATTCCATCAGCTCAACTTAAGTTCCATTAGCTAAATTTAAGTTTCATTAGCTGAAATCAAGTTCTGACAGCTGAAATTAAGTTCAATTAGTAAGATAAAATTAAGTTCAATCAGTAAGCTGAAATTAAGTTTAATCAGTAAGCTGTAATTAAGTTCAATCAGTAGGATGAAATTAAGTTTAATCAGTAAGCTGTAATTAAGTTCAATCAGTAAGATGAAATTAAGTTCAATCAGTAAGCTGAAATTAAGTTTAATCAGTAAGCTGTAATTAAGTTCAATCAGTAAGCTGAAATTAAGTTCAATCAGTAAGCTGAAATTAAGTTTAATCAGTAAGCTGAAATTAAGTTCAATCAGCTCGTAAGTGTTAAGATTCTAATTGGGCATACTTACAGCTAAGTAATCATATCGACATACAGTATTATTTTCTATATCTAGCCCAGTAACGGAGAATTCCACCACTTTATTATCTCCAGCTATGATCAACCATTTACAATCTAGATTATTCTCATATGTTCCATCTCCATCACTATCAACTGATGTTAACGATCCACTGGTCTGGTTCAATGTACCTCCACAACCCTGTGCTTGCCCTAAACCAAAACGGATGGAGTTAAAAAAAAACCCTAACTTAAGATAAATTTTCCAGTCATTTGATTGATCAATCCCTTACATTGACTATAAATTTAACAACATAGCTAATAATAATTTATTATTCCTAAACCTTCATAATCATTATCTTGTATTTCTTAAAATCTTGATTGCATACCAGTTCAAATTTTGTGAAACAGGCTCCTATAATTGTCATAACAACCATTGTCGAAATGAATTAAAGATGTCAGAGTGCCAAGTAGAAAAAGTAAGTTGATTCATCTGTTTTCCTGTGTCTTAAAAGTTCATCCACTTTGGTAGCCATTCGAGGTTGACCTATGATCATAAGTATATCGAAAAAAAAAATACCCAAGAATGCCATGCAAGACTGTATTTAATATCATGATGTTTTTCATTCTTACAAAATTGTTCTATTTAACAGTATCTCAGCTAGTATCAACTGATGATGCGACAATGTGTTGTCTGTAGTAGGTAAAAAATGAGTGTCATATATGAGTATGACATCGTGCTTGAACATGGGCTTATAATTATGTATTTATAAAAAAAAAAACAGACATAAATCATACCATAAGTAGTTCTGTATGTTGCTGAAAAGCCACCTTTTGTTATTGAACTATCAGTTACAAAATTAATGAACATCTTATTACTTGTGGTTCGTACAAAGTCTGGACGTTGTGATCCACAATATCGACCAATCAGAGGAGCTGTCGTATTTTGTCCATCGCGAACTTCAACGTAATCGTACCGACAAAGACTGTGAGCTTCTATATCGAATGAAAGGAACCTGAAAATAACCAATTATTCCTAATTTTCGACAACATCTTGTAACTTACAAATAATATAGTTGCCTGATAAATATTCTACAGTGTCCCTGTCCTCCACATGATAGGCTTTCTGTCTTCGCACAACTCTGTAACTTAAGTCTACCTCTTGATTGTACTCTGTGACTATGTGGCGCACAGGGACATCTGGTAGCGTCTTGATGGACTCATTTACTGTTCAGCTTTGTAACGATACCTAATTTGCCTTTATTCATGGTGAAAATGTGTCGATATCCCATCCATACATCACATCTGAATTTTCAACAAATTTAAAACCAATAGACTATTTTGGAAGCATTATATATAGCAATTTACATAAGCAAAATAAAAACCTACTTCAGTGATATAATTCTATTAGGTTGTACTGTAATACTCCATGTACAATTTGCGTTGTTATGGTAACTGGAAGGATGGGTGGGTGTTCGAATTACACCAAAAGGGCTAGTAAACACTCCTCCACAGGCTAAAAAACAAAACATCAGTACAACATTGTGACAAAAAATGTCATTCCAAGATCGTTTTTAAATATTTGCTACAACATTCAAACTCTTAGTGAAGACTTTACTGTGCACAAGGTAGTCCATGCTTTCTCTTTTCAAAATACTTGATGATATCTCTCATTTGACTATTATACAATTATTGTTCTTGAGTTTGTCATGCCTGGGACGAGATTTTTAGTTAGCGGAATTGCTTTGCTGGTACTGATTTTTATAGAATTCATTGACCAACCTTCTGCTCTGTATGTGGCTCTAAATCCAGCAGCCACCACACTTCTATCAGTTTCAAAGGTCATCACCATGTTACCCAGTGCTGAGACGGGTTGAGGCGCTGTCTTACCACACCATTTACCCAGTCTTCTACCTGACGTATCATTACCAGCATACACTGCTACTGAATCATACCTACACAGAATCGAACCTCTACCAGCTGCAATATAGGTATATACATATATAAATTATCGAAAACTGTACAATGGGTTCCACTGTCTACAAGTTATCTTTTATTTCAAACGTTACTATATCCACAACAGACATCAGACAAGTATTAACTTGTATAGTGACTTGTTAAGTTTTTGCATTTATTTATTTCGCTCCTACACCAAAAGTAAGATAGGGCAAAGCTGGGAACATCCCATGTTTGAAAAAAACCAAGGCTAAATATGAATCAATCCCTTAAATTGACATAATTTATACAATAGAATGTGTTTACACTAGTTTGTGATACCACACTGTGTATACTTCTTGCATAATAAATATTCCTTGCCCAGCAAAATGCCTGTGGATTTGTAGATTGTCCAAACAGTTAAAACAGCCCAATGGTATTAATAAACTGACAGGTGTGGTATATCACAGGCATATAATAATGCACACCTCACCGCTGTTTACCTTCCATTAAGTTTTAAAAAATCTATCCCAGACTCCCCATATACAACATCTTTAACAAAAATTACAATCTTATTCACCTTCTATATCAAAGTTACGTCTGTCAAAAGTGAGAGTGATAAATTTTTGGGGATCAACAGCAATATTGTAGAGACAGTTGAGATTGTTGGCGTACGGTTCAGGGAAGCCAGGAGACACTATTCTTCCACCTTCTCCTGAGAACATTCCTCCACAGCCTGTAAATTAAGGAATTCCAAAAGTATATCTACAAGTGCAATATCACATAAAAGAAGGCATTGAATACAAACATCCATCTACAGGGGTAAAACTACATTCTATGGATATCGTCTACCAGATGGTCTAAATATCTAGGCACTGTGTTTTCTCATAGTAAAATCTGGGTCCAAGAAGATCCTCATTTCTTATCAGGACAACTGTTTAGAAGTTTTCTAAATAGGTTCAATATCCAACGTATAATCTGACACCGAAACCATGACCTTCAGGTAATTAAACCAACTTGCCAACAAACTGCTACTGTCAAAGATACCATTTTAACATCTATGAACAGAAACTTACCCACTGTCCAGTTAGCTGAGAAACCAGAATGATGTTGGGAAGAATCGCTTCTAAATTTAACAACCAATCGATTAAGAGATGATGTAATATTAGCTGGGGGATCTTGGTTACAATATTTTCCCATTGTTACTAGCGTTCTATTGGACAGACTGTCACCCACCTAGTTTATAAAATAGAAAAGATTACAGACCTACAGGGCATAGGTTTCAGGAAAGGGCTGACATTTTTTCATGGGTGGCTCAACTATTTGACTCCACAGTTAAACTAAGACAGACATGACCACAGAACTGATTGCAGTGTGGTGATCTGAGATGAAGAATTAGACAGCAAAAAAGTACTTATAGTAATGATTAAAAGTTCATCATTTATACTTTAACTTTTGTTTATTTCAACAAATAAAGACATTTTTCATTGAACATTTTCCTGAGATTTGATTCATTTGAAATCAATGTAAAATCACAATAATTTTGGAAGTTGACACAAACCCGCAATAATCAAGCAGTTACTTATAATAAATTACTACTGAAAACTCTTAACATACATACCTGAACGTAATCATAGCGACATCCTCCAGAACTCTCCATTTCAAAAGGTGAATTAAAATTCAAAATGACTGTATAGCCAACATCTACATTGATATCCCACACACATTCTGTATTGTCTGGGTAAACTGCCGGGTGGTTGGGAGACGCAATGTATCCAGAGTTACCATGTAGTAAACCACCACAACCTAAAAACATAACATGATCAATTTGATATCAATTTGAATTCCTTGGAAAAGGAGAAGAACAAAAACATAGATATTAGGCCAAGCTATACTATCTCACCAAATATATACAGTCTGTATCTATGAAATATATAAAATGTCTGAAATAAGAGAGTACAAGTACAGTTTAAGTAGTCTCCCTTTAAAAAAATGCCTGGGGAATGAAAATTTATATTAGGCAAAATCTAAGCTAATTTTTTTTCACTCTGAATGAAATTAAGAGACAAAGTTTACCTTCTGTTTCAAAGGAGTACTCAAGTCTGAAACCAGAATGAGTGACACTGATGTCCGATTGGAAGACAATTCTTATAGAGTTACTCTGAGATCGGAACTCCTCTGGTGCTGTTTCTCCACAGAATTTACCGATAGATGGCGAGTCTGTATTACCTCCGTTAAATAACTCAACATAATCATACCGACACCCTGAGTGAGCCTCGATAGACATATTGTTGAATTTAATCTAAAATAAAGAGTAGTTCCAGTCAGTTAACTTTATTGTTGATTAAACTGATTAGCAAATAGTTGCACTCAAAATAATCTACCACAAAAATCTATTCCAAAGCCCAATATAGAATATATAAAATTAATTTTGCAACTGTTATGTTATCAATATTTAAAACTGCTTTTTTTAAATCTAAAATCATTAACAATAACAGGTTATAAAAATTGCAGTAATAAGTCATGTTGTTAGGTAGTAAAAAGTCAATTTTGAAAATTTTAACAAGTTGAAATAACCAACGTTGGCTAGCACATCTAAATGTTTTTAAGCACTACACTTACCCTGATTCTGGTGCCTGTTGGAGCCAAGATTTTCCAGGCACAAGCATCATTGTGATCATAATCATTAGGGAAGTTGGGACTACTGATGACACCTCTACTAGCTGTTATAATACCTCCACAACCTACAAATAATCAACAGAAATTATGGTTTTGTTCCACAAAAATCTTACGATCAATTTGTAAGCATGGTATTTCTAAATGAAAAATTCTACACATACGACAAATTCTTTGGAAGATTTTTGTAGCCCTTATACATTTCTAATATCGCTCTCTTCATTGTTACGCTAACAGGTGTTTAATTTTGGATATGCATGTACTGTAGTTTGTCACGTCATAATACAGCGTATGAATACATCACAAAGCAAAAAAATAACTCCCTCATAACTGCTCATATACAATAATGAAGATTGTAATCATGTGAATTGCAATAACACATCAATAATGCTATTTTGTGAGCCAATGTTTATATCTTATGACTATGGTGTGCTGATATCAAACCAATCAGATTTCTAAATACAAGATCAATAGGAGATACTTAAGATATCACCAAGTCTACATAGCAGGTGCTAAATGTAAAAAAAAACTTACTAGTAAAATTAAAATCAATATCAAAACCTCTATCAACTATAGATGTATCAGTTTTAAATCGTATCCATAGTGATGAAGCAGGGGAGACAACTGGTTTAGGTATTGTGTTGTTACCACAGAAACTCTCTAACAACTGTCCTGTCTGATCGTTACCTGTTGTCGTACATAAATTAATAATAATTTAAATTAGTCTTTAAATTGCTTGAAAGTCATGCCGATTTGGATAAAAGTTAATTTGCCCCAATAAAAAGATTTTCATTCAAAATAACATTAAAGCATTTCCTTTAATTTAAATTTGTCAATTACAGGCAAAATACTTTTATTGCAATCTGACTAAGTCATTCACTTGAGCAATCAATATTACATTCTCTGCTTTATAGACCTAGCATGTAAATCTCTTAAATTTAAGATTATGGATGACACTCTGGCTGTATCTTATTATCAAAGCCATACCAACCTATGCTAAAGAGGAAGATACAAGTCTATGAATATATATATATATCTTCCGTTGAAAAGGGAATATGGTAAACTATGCTTACCCTCTCTGATTTCTAAGACATCAAATATACATCTTGTACCACGACTATGTTCCAACGCTAGATCGTTTACTTTCACTTTAATTGAAGAATTAAAGATGGAGGGATTAACGAGTAGCCACTGACAATCCAGACTATTGGTATAGTTTCCATTTTCCAGATAGCCTGGTGAGGTTAGGTTTCCAGGGGTAGTTATACGTCCACCACAAGCTGAAACAGATATTATATATCATTTGCCCAGGAACTAAAATAATATGTCTAAATACAACTGTCAGAGATTGATTAAAATATGAACTTCCATCTCACAATAATTTTGTTAGTCTTTCTTCATTCAAAATTTGCGATAACTATCACCTTTTCATAGATAAGCTTAGAACATAAAGAACATAATAATAGGAATAGTGACATTTAAACCAAAAACCTCATTCAAACAAATACCAAGAAATAGAGAGAGAAAAACTAGACCTCGCTTCTCAAAATATCTTAAAATCAAATTTTGTTGTTAGTTGATTTTTCTCTTGTAAACTATTACAATAAAGACAAATTATAATTGTTAGATTGAGAAACAGGTGCGTGAATTGAGAAACAGGAATTGAGAAACAGGTGCCTGAATTGTACACTTACAAGCCTCATTTTCAGAAGAGTATGAAGCTGAGAATCCACCGTTAGATTGTGATGCGTCTGTTCGGAAGACCACGGTCATGGTGTTACTAGACGATTCTGTGACTTCAGGTGGTTGGTCACCACAATATTTTCCAATTGAGGGACTGTCTGACAATATTCCATTCTTTACCTGAAATAGCAAGAGTGCTTCGGTTAGACAGGCAAACTCTTTTAAGATAATATTACTGTAATACGTATTATCTAATAATCCTATACAATGTGGTACAATGTATACAATGTGGTACAATGTATGTTCAATGTATGCTGTCAATATAAATACTAGTTATTGTCATATTGTGGTCTGGATTAGTAACAAAAGTTACTTCCCTTCATGTCAACTTACCTGAACATAATCATAGCTACATGACCTTGAATCTTCTAATTGGAATGAATTAAATCGTAGAGAAACCCGCCTTCCACTCTGAACTCGTATTTTCCATGTACACACTCTAGAGTGAGCATATTGCCCAGGGAAATTTGGAGAAGTAAATGTTCCAGAAGAGGTCGTAAGATCACCACCGCAGACTGAAATTATAACAACAGATAATGAATGGTCATGCAAAATATTCCATTTTGTAGTCTGTTTAGGAGTATCAAGAAGGCTAATATACCTGATTGCTAATAATATATCCATATCATGTATTTCATGGACTTTATTCATCAGGTTTTCCTTGACCAAAACTCATGTCTGTGATCTTGGATCCTGGTTATCCATAAGCTGCATGGTGTGAACATCTGATGAGGAGGAGAATCAGAGTATCACAGCAGGCTTTTGTATGAGAACATCCTTGTATATAAACAGTTCAAATGAGATTCTGAAGCTTCAGGACCTATAAAAGGTGAAATAAGTAATAATCCTACCTTCTACACTAGCTTGGAAACTGATACTGAATCCACTGGCAACAGTAGCTGAATTAGTTTTAAATTTAACATAGGCATAGCTATCAGATGTGTCTATAGGTGATGGAAGGCTGGTACCACATTTTGTTGCTAACACTGCACCTGAATGTTTTTAACTAGACTTTAATATTCATTTCAAGGAGTAATTTGTATTTCTTAGTCTGTTTTTGACCCAATATTACTTCACAGTTACTGATAGAACATAATTTGATATACAAGCAATTTTGCAATTTATCATGTCCATATAAATATCAGTACTCTTTTGGAAATTGTGTTCAGATTTCAAAGGTCGCTCACAACTGGCCAACAGACATGGTAAGAGTTAAAAAAGTTGAAGCAGACCAGCAGTAATTTCAAAACAACTGAACATAAGTCATACCTGTAGAGTTGATGCCATCTCGAATCTGTAAATAATCATTTCGACAGTTGGTGGATGATTCCAGATTGAAGGCCGTGAAGGTGAAGGTTATATAATGACCAACAGACGCTCGAACATACCATTCACAATTGGCACTGTTGTCATAGTTACTGGGATAGTTTGGTGATTTGATGACTCCACTGTCTCCACTGATTGTTCCACCACACGTTGCTATGGTAATTAAAAATAAAAGTGAGTATTATGTAAAGGTTATTTGCAGAAATGAAGTGATAAGAGGTGACAATACATCAGTCAAAAGCATTTCTTGATACATAACAAACTTTTGGTTCCGAGGTGGTGCAAACTCATTTTACCTAATCAAATAGCAGTCAACAATCCAACAAACATTATGTTATAGGAGAAATGTAAGAGTAAAGATATTTCCAAATTTACCAAATACACAAGAACATAAGACCTACCTATTGAGTATCTAACTTTAAAACCAACTCTAGGTACGCTATTGTCTGTACGGAATCTAGCATACATTACATTTCCTGTAGACCTGATCGTACCAGGAGCCGTGTTACCACAGTATCTCTGATTGTTAATCAAGGCTGAATTCTGAGTTCCACCATCACGGAACTCAACAAAATCATAATTACACCTGCAATTAGACAGGATAATCTCAGAGTCAAATCTGTTTATGAATAATAGTTTGCCTAAGGTCGACAAGAAATAGATTGAAAAGTTGCATAAAGGTGGTGATATATTTTTGATTAGAGGGTACAAAATCTGGTTTACCACAATGACTTACCTTGCATGGTTCTCAATACTAAACGAATCTTCAAAATCAATTTGAACTCTTTCATTGCCTACAACTAGAATGACCCATTCACAGTCCACGTTGTGAGGATAATTGGAAGGATAGTTTGGTGACGTGAAATATCCACTTCTGATGCTGTTGGTCAAGGTCAGCCGACCTCCGCATGTCACTTGAACTTCGGAAAATACAAATGAAAATCCAGAGCCGGATGTAGACGCATCAGAAACAAAGTTGACGTAAAGTTGGTTGCTACTGGTTTCCAGGTTTCTTGGTGCTGTGTTACCTTGGTAACGACCATTTCCTGAACGATCAGTTCCATTGCCCAGAGGTGGAGAATTTGAGTTGCCTCCATTTAGTAACTGAAAAAAAAGCAATTGTATTATGAAAATATATCATCACAAAATATCAAATAAAAAGTTGACACGAACTGATTATATTAATGTGCATTAATTAGCAGAGATTTCAGGATATATATTATACACATCTTGTTGAAATCATGTAACAGAATCCAAAAGGTAGGTCAAAATAAATTCTAAAAGTCAAGCTTCTGATTCATATTTTACATAAATAAATTTACAATAATTACCAATACATAGTCATTTCCTGGTAAATTGAAAGTAGAGTTAAATGTGACCCCAACTGTTCTACCATTTCGTACTCTAACTGACCAAGAACAGTTCTGATTGGCTGGATAGTTACCAGGGTAACTTGGTGATTTTATAACTCCGATAGTTTCTGTTGTAATAACTCCACCACAAGCTACAAAACAATTTTAATTATTTCAAATTTTATAGAAATTCCTACATTTATTAGAACATTTCAAAAACTAAATATGAATTAAAATGAAAAACGTAAGATATAAGCTAAGCAGAAGATTGAATATAAAATTCAGACCTTACTTTTACACATAAATGCATATTTGTACCCGAAGTCATGGATACATCAGATTTGAATAGACTTCAATACCACAAACCAGTCAAGATAGGAGCTCAATATATCAACATAAGGCAACGATATCATAAGATCCTTAGTACTCTAGATCTCAATCAGCAGCAAGTTGTATTGTCGTCTGCTAGGAGATGATGAATCATGTAAAGGTCAGGCAGCATCCAAGGCTAGAGTCAGCTTTCAACCCCTCTTATCCAAATGACTCGATCATTAAGAACAATAGCCCCAGCCAGTGCTTCTGAGAGCTTGCACAGTGACAGCTTTCATCCCATTCCTTATAAACAACTGAGCTATCTATCACCTGGATAAATGTACTGAAAAGGTAGACCTACCAGTCATATAATTGAGTGAAAAACCTGTTTTATTGACTGAGCTGTCCGTTTTAAATCTAATAGTTAAGACATTGGTAGTAGAGTATATAATGTTGGTATTCGTCTGCCGACCACAGTAATTACCTAAATTACTTCTACTGATACTTGAACCTGTAAATAATCAGAAATTGGTGTCCATTCTTGAATAAATTACTAATTTTCTCTACAAGGGTGAACATAGTATGACAATCATCTATTTGACATCCTTTAACTTTCTCTGGAAAATTATCATGCACGCAAACTTTCTATTAATATGAATATGTATGTATCAAAATAGCTCATTTGTAAAAAAATTTTGTTACTGTCAAATCAAATCTAGTTTTGCGTCCACTTTATTAATGAGGAAAGGCAAGACCATGTACAATGAGGGTAAATTATTACAGAACAGATGTTTAAGCCTATGCTATTTCAGTTTCCATCTGTAACCCAATGGCATTGGTTTGTTTCATTTCATTAACGTGATGCTTTCCCCAGTGCTTATACAATTTTCTTCATGAATTATTGGCAACTTTCTCTTCAGGCAATTCAGGATGAATTCATCAGAAGTCTTATACTAGACCAAACTTTCATTCCGTTTTTATTCTTATCAGCTTTAATTTTTTATATAGCCACTTCAGTGAGGGTCTAACCACAGCCCTCTTGAACATTCTTCAAATTAACCTTCATAACGACTGCATTAACCCTCTCCAGTGTTAGCATCATATAAATCCCTTTTAATTTCCAAAATATTCATAACATTACATACCATCAAAGAATGAAACTGAATCATAAGAACAGACACCATGTGATTCCAGATCTATATTGGTGATATTGACAGCAATACGGTGACCTACTGGTGCATTGACCACCCAGATACAGTTCAATCTATTACCATAGCCATTAGGATAACCTGGTGATTGTAAACTTTGGGCTGCGTCTGCAGCATATAATGTTCCACCACATCCTGGTACTGAAATAAGTTAATAAGAAGCTCTTTTATACAAGGTAATATCATATCTTAGATAGGAACAAACTTTCTTATCAAACAAAGATTTTAGTATTCATTTAACTATCATATTATTAACTATTAGGCCTATATATTACACAAAGTTTTTAAAGGAAACGAAATTTATGTCCTACTTTCATGCGCATTAATGGACAATCGAAGACAGACTTGAAGTGTTTATTAAGGGAAAAACATGAGTTTCAAACTATTGAGGATCTAGAAGAACACAGTCTGTAGCACAGAGGGTCTGGATTTATTAACCAATTCAATTTTCTAAATCTACCACTCCATCTTACATCACTGAATCCGATTGACAATTACACAGGTACTACCTAGCATCTACATAAAACAAGGAATTGAAAAACCCAGTAAATGAGAACAGAGTGATGGAAGAATGAAATATTCTTACATTGAGTAGATGATGGTGTAATAGTAGTTGTACCAGGTTGTACGTCAGAAGTTGCTGTCCATCTTAATAAAAATCCATTTCCACTTGAAGAATAATCAGTGTGGAATACAACTTGCATTTGATTGGAGGTAGTAATAACTGAACTGATCGGTAAAGTACTACCACAGTATCTAACTAACTCAGGACTATCAGTTGCTCCTCCATCTAAAATCTAAGAACGACAACAATAATTTAAAGGGACAGATTTGCCAAACGTTAACCAATCGTACCTTAGTCTCAGAAACAGGAATTTCTTAGCTAAGTTAATCAGTGATAGTGTTCACAGCCAAAAGTCAAAAAGACATATGTCCAGGGTTATCTTTGTTTGAAAGTTAAAATGACGACTCATCTTTTCTAGATACTCTGCCATTTATAGAAAAGACATCTATAGAATACGAAAATTTCTAGTTTGAAGTACATTTGAAGGGATTGTGTGATTTTCTTGCACTTTTAGTACTTCTGAAGACTATCTACATAATTATTTTAAAGACCTAAATCAGCTGCTAAAATGGTGAACCAAGGCCTTTAAAAAGTCAGGGATCACAATTGAAGAAGTTTGATATTTTAATCAGATTATAAATGTGACTACTATTCTAATTTTGATTAAAGTTCTAATTACCTTAAGATAATCATAAAAACACACTCCCCTTCGTGGATTTTCTATATCCAGCATAGTTAACGTTACTCGGATTCGATAGAGAACAGGAACAGTAACTCTCCATGTATAATCTACAGCATGAGGGTATTGGCCTGGATAATTGGGTGAGGCGATTTGTCCAGTATTTCCAGTCAGCTCTCCACCATATACTACAAAACAAAGGTAGGTAATAAGATGGAGCTTTACACCTTATGCTTTATGTTCAGTAACTTAATCAACTGATACAATAAATATTGACAATGACAGGTAGTGCATAAAGAATAAAATTACCAGGCCGCCTATTCTCGGAAAGATGTTAGGGCTAGGATGTCCTAGGTCTTATCTTTTACCATTGTTAATAGGATATACAGCACTAGGACCATTTTGAGAATAAGGAGCCAGAACAAAAGTGACAATTTGCCTGTCTAAGGATTTTTAATGTTGTCAGGTTGGAGAAAAAGGGCCCAAATCTGTAGGCTGTGCAGACACTTTTTCCCATATACCAGACAATGCAAAAATTTTTTTTTACAAAGCCCAGATACTGTTACTCAGCATTGTGTATGGCCCTGAAAGTAGCTAAGCAAAACAATGTAGAGCTTAGAGTATAATATACACTTGAATTGGAAAAAGACAAAAAAAAATCATACTTGTATTGAAAGTTCCCATAAAACCAACACCAGTAGAGTCAGAATTAGATCGGAATTTAATCCATGCTCCGTTACTGGATGTAATATTAGCTGGAGTTGACGAGCCACAATATCTTCCAATCAGATTACCAGAAGAACTACCTTGTCGTATCTCTACATAATCATTCTGACAACCACTACTTGACTCAAGACCAAACACACTAGAAGAATAAACAAGAGCTATAAGACTAAGATAATGGGAAAGACAATACACATATAGCATACCAGATGAACAATTCAGTATTTTGGCTCTTGTAAAAGCCAGTTCATGGCCAAACCTCTATCCTAGATTATCTATACCCATATAACAACCATAATAATGAGAAAGTAGATTTATTCACAACCCAAGACTACCATTTGAAAGTTTATGAGACAACCATTGCATGAACGTGACATTAAATGAATAAACCAAAGTTAGAAGCACAAAATTATTACCTGAAAGCAATCAAGATACTGTTGCCAGGAGAAGACTGGATTGTCCAGACACATTCAGTGTTGATAGGATAACTATTCGGATAAGCTGGACTAGAGAATGAACCACTCTGAGCAGTATAACTTCCTCCACAAGCTGAAATCAAAACCATGTTGAATTAACCTATTTTACTGGCACTACCTACTTGCATTTTATTCAACCAGATGCAGTGACCAAATTGTAATGATAAAATAAAATCTATATATCTAAATAATCTAATAATACTGGTAGCATTGAAAGCCTGAAGTCCACGTCCACATATACTGCCATGTTTGTTGCTTTATCCATAATTCATTTTCAATTGTATGGAAGTTCATGGTAAATTTGTGATATAGATGTGACCTAAAAAAGGTGTCTAAATACAATCCAGAGGATGATTTTTCACCAATTTACTGTGTAAGAAGGTATGTGTATTATATGCAATTATACAGTAACTCACATTGGGTAGATTTGGTGTAAGTTGCTCTAAATCCTGTTTTCTGTACCGAAGAATCAGTGATGAAAATAACAAAGAGTGCTGAACCCTGGGATGTAATGGCAGCTGGAACACTCGTTCCACAATATGTTCCCAGTTCTGGTGAATTCATGTCATTTCCATCCAATACACGGATGTAGTCATGGTTACAATCACTGCCACGACTTTCTGTATCCAGGTGAGTGAAGGTCAAGGTTACTCTATCACCTTGGAATGAAAATTACATAAGCATTATTATAAATAATCACTAAAATCTTATCAAATGCGAGAACAAAATTATATAAGTATTATTTTTATATATTGTCATTGAACACAGGATAATGTTTAAATTCTATATAGAGTAGGCTACACTTCTCCATATAGATGTGTTTCAAGCCACCATTTTGTTCTGTTTACAATAATATTCCAAATTTGATCAAATGAGGAAGGGTCTGATCATTCGTCCATGGTTTCCACTTACTATTATGTTGAGCTTGAATTAACCAGGTACAGTTGGCTTGACTGTCGTAATTCTGAGGATAGTTAGGGGAGGTAATAAATCCATCTGTTTCAGCATTCTTGATTCCTCCACATCCTAAAATAAAAACATGTTTAAATTTAATTTAGGGGATTAATAATGGGTTGAAAAATGACACCAGACCTACTCTCATAAGCACTGGATGTAGCATCCACATCAAACTACTGGTTTGCAAGACTAAGAATTCCAATTTTTGACTAAGGACAAAAGGAGCAATGTGGGCAAACCCATTATATAAGAGAGATGAATCTAAAACTATTTGTCTATCTAACAAATTTTAAGCTTTCCATCAATGTTTCATTGGTATGGAAAAAAAATTAAAAACCACATTACAGGAACAGGAAGATAAAGACGAAATTATATTTTTTATGTAGGGTGTTATAAGAGATATTCTCCTATACAAGCTCTGGCCTACAACATGGACCCATCCAGTAAATCTTAGAAGTAAAATCTTTACCAGTGATGTAACTAGCTTTGAACCCACGAGCACTGACTGAAGCATCTGATCTCATTACAACATAAACCTGGTTATTAGAAGATCTATAAACTGTAGGACTAGGTAATGATGTACCACAATGTCTAACTATCTGATTATAAGTTGTACCAGGTCCATCATATATCTATAATATACGTATCATTGTAATTCACAGGAGCTTGTTTTTATTATTTTACATAGTGAAAGAATGGACTGTGGCCCCCCATAGAAATTTTTATGGCCCATGCTCGGCCACCTCACTTGATGCAAAAACTCCACTGAATAGGGCTGCATTAAAATACAAAAATCCAGAAATTTCAACATTTTATTTTTCTTGCCCAGGACAAAAAACTAATATCATTTCAGGAGAATTCTTCCAGCCTTAAAACTTACCGCAACATAATCATAAGTACAGTTACTGCTTCCTTCCACATCAAAATCTTCAAAAGTTATAGCGACTGGTCTGTTCTCGGCTACGGTTATTAACCAACGACAGTCTGTATTATGAGGGTAGTTATTTGGGTAATTTTTAGACACAAGTGTACCAGTTGGTGTGCTATAGTTACCACCACAACCTGCAAAATATCACAATATACACTTATATCCAATATCTTTAATTAAGTTTCAATGATTTGATAAAGTGGCAAAATGTACCTTATGAATACAATAGCTCTAGAGAGAGGATCTTCACAATTGCAAAGTATTATGAAATTCCATCTAATACCTGAACATGATAGAGATTGGATTGTACAATAGCAAACACAGAAACACTGCAAATAATATTGTTATTTGTCTCTCTGTCTAGGGCTCTGCTTGGCTGTATTCGTCTCTTATTTTGACTAAAAAAATGGAATAAATACACAACAATTACAAAAACTTCCAGTCACGATAACTAAGAAACAATTTGATTAATAAAAACTTCTCGATCTACCCGTCAGTACAACATATCAATAAATGATGTTACTTGCCTCCAGTCTGAGTCTCCCATGATGCACTGAAACCATTTCCTGCTACAGTATTATCAGATTTAAATCGTACAAACATTGTATTGCCTGTAGTCTGAAGAACTTGAGCTGATGACTGCTGGTGACAGAGATGAGCCAAACGCGGTGCTGTATCGTCTGCTCCACCATAAATCTGGAAAAATTTTGTCAAAGAGTTTTACACCCTACTTATATACAACTTATCTAGATAAGAAATAACCTGAAGGAGCCTGACAATTCCATTATTGTCAAATACCCAGCATTACTGCTGCTTAGTTTTTGAAGATCTCCTCGAACAATATAGGCCCTATGAATGCCAGTCAGTTTTAAAGCCTGTTTATATATGATCACAAATGGAAGATATTCTGATGCATCTTCACATTTCAAGGGCTTTGATTGGCTGTATTCACTAATGTACAATCTAATCAAATGACAAGCTTCCCTGATACAAGTGTCTTATGATGTCAAGGTATAAGACAGAGTTTGGATTTTCAGATATTCTGGATTTATTGACTGCTAATGATTATACTATAGGTCTACTTACATCCAAAACATCATAGTTACAATTGGTATGGGTCTCCAAGTCGAAAGGATTAATAGTAAGTTTAATGGAGGATCCTGTTGGCACGGTGATCTTCCAGATACAGACACGTCGACCAGGATAGGCATTGGGATAGTTAGGACTGGTGAATGTTCCAGTGTTGGTATAGTATTCCCCACCACAACCTGCAGATAGAAATATGGAGTGTGTGGTTATCACTCACATATAGAATAGTAAACAAGAGGCGCAACACCAGATAGAACCCACTACCACCATTGTTTGACAAGGCTCTTACTAACTGCACTATACAGTCCCTTATAAACCTCTCTCTCAGATTATATAGACCCGAATAAAGTTGAGTTGAATAGGAATTGAGATATACCACATATTTTAAAATCAACATCTTAAGACTTGACATAGATTAGAAACCTCAACCACGATGTTTTCAGCTATCTAAGCAAATGACATCAAGAGTCCAATGATCTACCATCACATGCACAGTCTATCCAAGAGTCCATCATCACGTTCTTGTACAAATTCTCTAAAGAAGAAAGAAGTTATGGCATAATTTTGTAATTCATTACAAAAAATTTGTCGTTTATCGATTCTTACCATCAGTAATCCATTCCATTCTGAATCCATTACCAGATATTGAGTTATCAGTGATGAAGTTTAAAGATAGTTGATTACCAGTTGTAGCTATAGACGGTGGTATAGCTGATCCACAATATGTTCCTATCACATTCGAGGTTGGTGTTGATCCATCCTTTACCTGATATCAAAAATATAATGTAAACTTTGTCAAGAAGTAATGAAATAGTGGTGAAAGTAAGAATTACCTATGGAAATTTAAATGGTTATTCTACTTTATCATGATTTGATCTCTTCTACTCATAGGAATTGGGTATGGACCAAGGACAACTATATCTAAATCACAATTCAATCTTTAAGTGAAGTGTTGTCTGATAATGATCATTATACCGGTCAACACAGGGAGATATTACTTTGACTAGACTGTTCTGAGGAACTTCCAGTCGAGTTCTAGTTCAGCACGTTTACTATGGCTCAGAAAAGTTCCTTCAATTCTCAGCCTGGTTTAACCCCCAGAATCTATTTTTTACTTACCTTCACATAATCAAACCTACAGCTGGAATGGGTTTCAAGGTCAAAGTGTGAGAATGTAGCATTAATCTTGTTGCCTTGTGTAGTTTCTACGATGTAGGTACAGTTACGTTGGTGGGCGTAAGAGTTGGGAAAGTTTGGACTCTCGATCACTCCATTATGTCCACTTAATCGCGTATTACAATCTGAAATATAAATGAAATCATTTAAACGGAATTAGAGAGCAGGGCTGTTGATTTTATTGTATTTTGTGGACATGAATGGCTAACTTGCTAAAATGGAAAGGATCTATCTAACATCAGGTATAGGTTGGAGAAAAAAAGCGGGTCAAATTTTAAACTTAACAGATTTAAATAAACTCAGTGAGAGACGTTCTGGCCAGTTCATAGTATCTGAAAAAAGCTTCTTATTGCACTATTCTGATTTTCAACTGACTGTGGAGGTTTGTGTAATACAATTAAATTAAAACAGTGACAATACATACTAGTAGAATAGAAAGCCTGAAAACCACGGCCTCCAATACTGCGATCAGTTCGATATTTGATCCACAGCTTATTGGTTTTAGATTGTACAGGAGCTGGTATGGATGTACCACAGAATCTACCTCTATCTTCTCCTACAGAGCTTCCTTCTCGGACCTAATTACATAACATTAACATCAAATATTAACTAAGCAGTAAGATATAACTTGGAAGGGTACATAATGTTGAATTCTACATTGGACAAAACTTGCAACAAAAATTAGTCATAAGATTTTTTGAAAGGGGCCTTCTGTCTCTCGAAAACAAGGCTGAGCATTGCTCTTTGTGCAACTTGATATCAAACTAATATTATAATACTATCTGTACAACATCACAAAGCAAAATTTATGAAAAAGACTGACCTGTAAATAATCATAATTACATCTTTGATGAGATTCCATGTTAAAATCTATGAATGACAGGAAGATTGTGTTGCCCTGTGATACGGTTATTGTCCAGAAACATTCTGAGTTATGAGCGTACGGCATGGGATAGTTGGGTGATATAAAACTTCCAGTTGGAGTACTTAAATCAGCTCCACATCCTACAAAAGTACAAGGTTTTATATCAATTGATTCTCTTCCAAAATTATCAGAGCTTCTTTGATTCTCTGGTAATACCAATCTATCATAATCTTGGGTCTTTTGACAAATATATAAATAAACATCAATTGATGGTCTTATTTACTTTCACATCCTGTTACTCTTAGTTCTAATCAAACAGGGCCCCTCTGTAGTGCTATTGTCAAGTAGGATATACAAGCACCAGACATGGCTAAACTCTGGGTTAATATTCAGATGGATTTGGTAATATTATCAGCATTTATAGTACCATACTTTGAATTACATACCATAGAGGGTCCAATGTTTTATCTACTGAATTGTAATTCGAATGAGAAAATTCCAGTCTCCTATGACAAGGCCATATTCCCCTCCTCCAAACTCCTGTAAGAGTTTTTTCTGATGTGGTAGGGGCCACATTGCCTTGTGTACATTCCTCTGGAAGAATTATAAATACCTGTAGCTGTTCCATCATAGCTCAATCTAAATCCACGAGCTGATCGACTAACATCAGTTTTAAATCGTATCCACATTCTATTACTATGAGATACAATAATATTATCTACTGTGGTACCACAATACTTTCCTACTAGTGGTGAGGTGGCAAATCCACCATTTCTGAAATGAATTTACTGTTATCAAAATAACTGCACTTCCACTGAGTATTGAGTTCTTAAGTTTTTGATAAATTTGAAATGAAATTCAATTTTGCATATTTTTCAAAAATGCTGAGCTAAACTTTGTGATGTATCTGTTTTATAAATAGTATTGTATGTACATTTCAAATCTGGTTTTTAGAAACAAAACATTACATTTCTACAGAATCTTATTTTCTCAATTCAGAATACATCTCAAATCCTGAGATAATATGAGTGGAAATTTTAGCGTTGCACATCTTGGCATGTTACAAACATTCAGTGACAACAACTCACCTAATCTCAAGGTAGTCATAGTTACAAGAAGAATGTCTTTCCATATTAAAATCAGTGATATTGAGAAGAATCTGTTTGCCCTCGGATACTGTTATTGTCCAGGTACATTCTCGTTGATGTGGGTAGTTACCAGGGTAGTTGGGACTAGTTATAACTCCAGTGTTATCGGTTAATGTTGAGCCGCATACTGAAATTAAGAATGGAAAAAGTTTACGTCTGTTGATTACAATGTACTGATTGTAGCATTTCTACAGGGACCAAGAATGAGACTGGACTGGCTTTGGGATCCCTGGTTTCAAGTTTCTCATCATTGAGTTCTTAAAGGCCTGACATTTCCTTTGTCAAGTCCTTGTCATAGTAGCCTTCATATCTCAAATTGATAATTTCTACTAGTAATACTGAGTAAAAAACTTACAAGTACTGACATTAAGAGCCACGTATGATGCCTGAAAACCAGAATGAGCCAGACTGGCATCTGATTGGAAGATAACAGTCATGACATTATCTGAGGTCGTTAATACTGGGGGTCGACCTGATCCACAGAATCTATAAATATAAAATTAAACACTGGATCAAATATCATTGTAACTGACTGAAAGATAGTAACTTTTGTTCTCCAATATTCTGTCCACTAGCTAGCCTAATTTATGGTAAAGGCATTGATATTTTCAAATATCTGCAAAATTTTACCTACGTATTCGACTTTGCAGAAAATATTATTGATGCCCACATATGGTTCATCAATGATGACCTTATATAATAATATAATGTAATAATATTGACTGATACAAAATTGCCAACTGTTAATCAAAAGTCAATTCAGATTCCAATGGCAGAAATGAGAAAACAGCTTAAGCCCAGCATCCAAAGTGGGTACCAAAATTGGTTTGGATCTTTGATTTGTTGGGCTCAGTCAAGCACGTTTGTAAATGGGATTTGATACTTACCTTCCAAGACTGTTGTTGCCATTTACAGCTGAACCATCATAAATCTGTACAGCATCATACCGACAGTTGGGCTGATTTTCCTCGATACTGAATGAGTGAAATGTTAGTCGGATGACGTAACCAGGGGTAACAGAGATGTGCCAGGTACAGTTTGCTCCGTGAGGGTAAGAATTAGGGTGGCCAGGACTTGTCAAGGATCCAGTTAAATCAGTTAAACTTCCACCACAAGCTGTAAAGAGAAAAACAAATATCATGTAATAATTTATATCTTTATTTATTCTAGATCTTTTGTCTTTTGTTTTTGTCTCAGTGTTTCAGTTCAGCAGATAAACATCATATTTGGGACCAATATAATAAATAAATCAGGCAAAGTCAGCCAAAAACACGATTACAACATGTACAGATGTATACAATACCATAAACCCCTTCTGCCGGGCAATATAAATATTTAAGACATAATGACCACATTAAATAATGCTTACAAGCTAGTTCTCGAGTAAAGGTAGCCTGGAAACCAGTATTACTAATACTACCATCTGTTTTAAACTTAATCCACATCATATTACCAGTTGTCGTCTGATCAGCTGGGGTTTCTGCTCCACAAAATTTACCCACTAGAGCCGAATCAGCTGAACCTCCATCTCTAATCTGATATAAAAACATACCTCATAATACATCAAAATTCAATTTGTGAAATGAAATAAATTGAATAGAGGTTCCTACTTCTCGGCTCATGATTGGACTTACGAAGACCAGTGAAATACATTTTTTGAACCATGGGCCAGTTTGTACAAACGTATATGTCTCCAAACTATATGATTCAACATATCTGATTGGGCAATATTTTTTATCCGTTTATCAATCAATAATTATGAGGATCTTAAAGGTTCTTAGCAACTAGACACCAGTCTGACAGCATAAATTACAACATATTAGAACTTTGAGAAAGATTTATCAAAACAGACACAGGAAAAAAAACAAAAATAAATTGACAAAGACTTAGTTACGACAATCTAAAGAGAACAAACTAAAATTTTCTTCTTACAAACCTCTAAATAATCAAAATTACAATTTCCTTGTCTGTTGGGACCTTCAACATCAAAACCTGTAAATGTGAGACTAACACGATAGCCTTCCGGTTGGTTAATGATATATATACATTCTTTATTATGGTTATAACTGCTAGGATAGGATGGTGATGATATACTTCCTGTTGTATCAGTGAATGTTCCACCACAAGCTGAAACACATCAATAACAGAGTTAAGTCTTTAAAAGGCATTTAGCTGGTTTGTTGGTAGATGACAAGTTAACGATCGCTTCCAGCAGATGCTGCAAACCAAGTAATTGTTGGTAGTTGGTCCAATAGTTGGATTTGTTCAATTTGGATGATTCTGAGTACGATATATAGACACAGCTTAATGGAACAACAATCACTGGTTAAAGTTTTATGCACTGTTTTGAATTGTTTCTGTGCCCGAGGAAGATGTTGACATTGTTGAAAATGAAAATAAAGAGTACCTGCAGTATATGTAGCTCTAAATCCACTACCACGCTGAGAAGCATCAGATCTGAACATTATCCACATGAGATTACTGGTACTGGTCAATACAGCTGGGACATCATTACCACAATATTTACCTAATACTGGTGATGTTTGTTCACGACCATCTCTTACCTATATAAAGATAGAAATTGACACACAAAAACTTATAAAAGTACTAGATCTACAGAAGAAAGCAGAGTTACGCAGAGAACTTGCAAACTGGATCATTGGAAGAGGAAAGAAACATTTACTTACCTCAACATAATCATATCTACAAGAGCTGTGTGTTTCTAAATCCATGTTGGTGAACGTTAGACTGACAGTATCACCTGGTGTTACTCGGATTGTCCACACACACTGGGCGTTATGACTGTAAGCGTTTGGATAGTTTGGTGATATAATTATGCCTTCATCTTCTGTTAACTGACCTCCACATTGTGCTCCAGCTGTACAAAATACATAAGTTTAATCAAGTAAAGATAGCTGTGCACATCCAAATCAGATTTAACATAAACAAGTCCATAATTGTTAAAGAAATAAAGACCAAATATAAATTTTGTACTAATCTGTTTAATTTGAGTTCTTTAGGATGTCACTATAATGATTGTATGTAGCCTATACAAATGCTTGCTGTTTCATTAGGTTTTTAGAATCAATTCTTGCTATGAAATAAAATAGGACAACAAATCAGACTGAGACTTAAATACTAACAAATCAGACTGAGGTTTAAATACTAGCAAATCAGACAGATTTAAATACTAACAAATCAGACTGAGGTTTAAATACTAACAAATTAGACTGAGGTCAAATTACTAAGAAATCAGGCTGAGGTCAAAATACTAAGAAATTAGACTGAGGTCAAATTACTAATAAGAAATCAGACTGAGGTCAAATTACTAATAAGAAATCAGACTTAGGTCAAATTACTAACAAATCAGACTGAGGTCAAATTACTAACAAATCAGGCTGAGGTCAAATTACTAACAAATCAGGCTGAGGTCAAATTACTAACAAATCAGGCTGAGGTCAAATTATCAACAAATCAGACTGGAGTTTAAATACTAACAAATCAGACTGAGGCCAAAATACTTACAAATCACATTGAGGTTAAAACACTAAAGGCTAAAGAATAACAAACCTGTTATAGAAGCGTATGTTATATGAAATCCTCGATCACTTAAACTTCTATCAGAATGAAACATGACTGTAGCATATGGACCAGTGGTGGTAACAGGAGATGGGTTAGATGAACTACAGTAGGTCTGTAACAAATCTGATGTGTCTAGTTCACCATCTCGAATCTGAATTTACACAAAATACATAATGATCTAAAATATCTTCATTTGGTACTTCGCCATTTTATCACTAAAACTATATGGTAGTACTACATAGCCTATTCACTTTCTCTTTGCATTTTCCATCTTCAAATAAATTTGTTTTATAAATAGACTGATGTAAGGACCAGTGATTTTGAAAGAATTTTTCAAAAGTGCATATAGTTGCAGATGAATGACAAAATTTTTTTTTGCAAAGAAACACCATCATGATTTAAAGAGATATCATTGGTTTAAATAATAATTGTCACAACGAAAAGTTGAAAAATGGCAAGTTAAGATATCTAGAAGGAAAAGTACAGAATTTTATTGGCTACGAACCTGCAGGTAATCATAGGAACAGTTCGGATGATGTTCTAAGGCTAATGTGGCAAACGTAAATATAATTTTCTTCCCAGGAGCTACAGCCACAGTCCACGCACAGTCCCGATTATGAGGATAGTCACCAGGGTAACCAGGGCTATTTATAGATCCATGATCAGCAGTTAATCTTCCTCCACAAGCTGAAATCAAAATATGACCATAATAGATTACAACATAAATTAGATACAAAATAAACCATAAGGTCCATTTTGTTTCATTTTTTTTTAAACTTGAATATAATACAGAATAAAAGAACAATTTTTGATTGGTTAATAAAGCTGAAGAGCTTAAAGCTAAAGATGATTGTAACACTAAAATAATCATGATTCCTCGGCAAGTAACGTAATCTTCAAAATTCATATTCATGTTGCTGAATCTGGTCATATTGATCAGAATGATACAGTCCTTGAAAATCTTTTTACTGAAAAATATCTAAAAAACAAAATCAAAACTTACATGGATCTCCTGAAGTCCAGCTGGCACTGAAACCTTGCCCTGCTACAGACCCATCAGAATAAAACCAGAGATAGAGTTGGTTATGAGTACTATTGACGCTACCACCATTGGGAGGCGTGTTTCCACAGAATTTACCAATCATATGAGATGAAGCTGACCCTCCGTCGTGAATTTGCAGGTAGTCATAGTTACAGTTTTGATGACTTTCCAGATCAAACCTTCCAAATTGTAAATCCAAAACCTTAAACATTCAAGTCGATATAAACTGTGTGTCAGATTTTTTTTAAGATTCAGAGGAGCAGCCCTAAAATCTGAACCTGAAATTTTTTAACAAAGCATGAGCAACTTGATAATATAAGACATGATATACTTTATTGTGATTGATAACAATTTTTGAGCTAGGTGTACATGCATTTTTAGCCTCAAGAAACACTTTCCTTCATAAATATCCCTTACCTTTCCAGATGTAGTCTCTATTACCCAGGCACATGATACAGAATGTGGGTAAGTAGTACCTGTAGTTCTTGGAAAACTCAACGATCCTGACTCACCACGCAATGTTCCACCACAACCTGTCACAGAAAGGGAGGTAATCTTGTTACATCTACGCACATTACTAATTTATCAATAAATGTAAAATGGAAACGAACAGGTGAATCAAAACAGTCCTACCATAATTTTTATCTTTGTACAATATGCATGGCACAGCAGATCTTCATTGATCAAATATGTCGAAATAAGTACAACGTGAAAACTCAATTCCATTTTTGAAATTCTAATCAGTGATTAAATGTGGCAAATAAGAACATTTCAAAGTTCAAAACCCCAACCCTCCATGGCTTGAGCTGGAATACATACTCTGTTGTGCTTGCTGACAGGTGGGCCCCGTATAATCTGTTGTACAATTACAACTAAAACTTCCAATAGAGTTAATACATCGTCCACCATTTTGACAGGGGTTGTTGGTACATTCATTGATATCTGATTGACAGTTGGAGCCTGTATACCCTGTTGTACACTGACATATATACCCACTTCCAGAGGGCTATAATAACAACAAAATACATATTACATTTAGATACTGACTGATAAATTCTAGTTTCATGGGGCTAAAATTTGGTAACAAAAATTAACAAAATAACATTTCCAGTTACACTTACAGACGTCTTATCTCTGGATTTGGTTTTAACATAAAGCTATATAGTTGACATCACGGCAAGGAACAACATGATTAGCATGATTTTGTTTAGGAGTCAATTTCAAATAATCAAATTTCAATGTTTTAGTCATTTCCAAGAAATTAAAAAAAGTGAAAAATACTATACCTGACAAGTGCCACCATTTTGACAGTGTTGATTTGCACAGGATCCTGTTTGAGGGCTGGATCGGGTACATCCATTACTGCCAATACCATTACCACTATAACCTGATGGACACGTACAGGATCTTCCTGCAAATCCTGAAATTATAAAAATATTTTTTTAGAAATATCCTAACTTTTTATGTGTATCAACATCACAATTGAATAAAGTTCCGTATAAAATCAAGTTACCTCCCTTTGAAGAGTGGTTGAGAGCCTTAATAAAGATGATAGTCAGAATTATATTGAGATTTTTTTTCCATTCAATCAAAGCCATCCTGGAAAACTCAGTCCTAAACCTAACAATTTGCTAATATGTGCCCGCAAGAGTTCAAAGACTATTATCATATACATCATAATGTCAGGGAAATTCCTACTATAATAACTAATACCTGGAGTTTCTCTACATGTTGCTACGATACTACAACCACCATTATTAACACCACAAACACCGACCCAGGAACATGATACACCATCACCTTGGTAACCTGAATTAATATCACAAATATCAGGTAAGGGTCAACCCAAAACCATATCCAGTGGATGGTCGTAACTTGTCAACTTGTGTCATCTTATCCTCCAGATTAATAAATAATATTTGCAACACACATTTTAATATTGAATGTATACCATTATTATATAATTACAATATGTTTGATAACAAACCATTTACTTATATTTAAAATAACAAAATCTCATAAATCAGTTGGATGGATAAAACGGTGCATAATGACATATTAAGTTATGGAGAAGCAAATTCAATGATCAAAATTCCAACCCCAGATTCTGTGTTATGAACTAAAAAACACAAATTATTTACCTGATGGACAAGATGCACACCGTCTGGAGCCTCTAGTATTGATACAATCTACACGAGGTGCTAACGAACATCCTCCATTATTTGATAAACATTCATTAATATCAGTACATGTATATCCATTACCAGTAAATCCTACATGAAAAAATCAAACACTTACATTAATAACAAAATATTGATATTATTTTAACCAATCAAATCAACCTATTTTAGACAAGAAGGGATGTATATATATCATATAATATTCACAAGCTTCGTGAATGTGTTCATGTTTGACAGTCTTGTGACATTATAAATATTTATTATCTCCCCTAAAAAGTATAACACAGTAGAAATATGTTATAATTTCGGACATGAATAGAAGGTCACTTCTCAAATTGTATATGTGGAAACTTAGATATTCGATTCAAACTTAAAAGCTCAATCATAAGATTTTTCCTAAAAGAATTCACAGATAATATGTGAGATTGATAAATCAAATGATAAAAGTGTACAGACCTGAGGGACAGGAACCACATCTAAAACTACCAGGTATGTTGATACATTGTACCAGAGGATCACGAGAACACGAGGTAGTAGCTTGAGTACATTCATCAACATCTACTGTACAAGCTGGATTACCTGTTGTCTTAGTCCAACCATCATCACATATACACTTATACTTAGCCTGAAAATAATAGCATCAAATATCTCAGACCTGATTATTCAATATTCCATGGTTATATAGCTCCATTACAGAGAATTGGAAAAATAAACTAAATTCAATTTTAGATTTTAGATATTGTCCAATAAAATGACTGGAACACTAAAATCATCTCAGTTTTCAAGAATAAGACCCCAGGGCCCTCTTTCTCAAAAAATCTTACAAAATGTTAATGCTTGCATACTTGATCTTAATGGTTTTTTTTGTAACAGGTTTGAAAGTCCTTTGTGCACTTATGATCTTGTTGCCATTATATTTTTTAAGATAAGTAGTAATTTCTATTAAAGTGGATTTAAACAAAAACTGACCTGTCCCTGAGACACTCGTGGTATATTAATACAGGTACCATGACCACAGAGTTCAGTTTGACTAGCACCAGTACAGTCATCATGAGACTCGGTACAGCGTATACCATGCCAGTTAGCTGGACAATGACATCTGGGAAATTATAAACAAAGGTAAATTTGTAAGAAAATAATCTGATTGTTACAGCAAGGTCAAATATTTGTAATGGGTTGCTATGTACAGGAAATCCATAACAAAAATAGAGCACATTTAAATATCTGTGGTGAAAAACTGCAAAAATTACAGAGTGATACTTAAATAGACTTTACATAGCAACTGGTCTCACTTTACAACATGTCTGCTTTCAGATACCAAAAAGCTTCTTACTACTTACTCAAATCCATTAACTTTATTAACGCATGTTCCATCATTCTGACATCCCAGATCAGTTCCTGCTAGTGTACTACATTCATTTACATCTGTTTCACACGTAGGACCCTGAAATATTATTTTATTACATTGACTAACTGACAATAGGTATAGATATTCAGTTGCTTAAATATTGCTATACCAGCTGATAGAGCTCTGTTTCAGATATCTGTATAGACATCTAACAATTAGATTAACCAGCTGAAAGTAAGCAATTATTTGGTCACTTTATGATTCAAAGCAAATTTATAAAGCATGGCAGAATAGAGAGCATTCAAAATGGAGATGTTCGACCAACAATAAAAAAAACCTTACCGTCCAGTATGAGTTGCATTTACAGATAAAACCATTAAATAGATCAAGACAAGTTCCACCATTTCTACAAGGATGACTGTCACATTCTCTTCTTGTTAATAACTACAAATACAATACAATACAATACAATACAATACAATACAATACAATACAATACAATACAATACAATACAATACAATACAATACAATACAATACCAATACCAATACAATACAATACAATACAATACAATACAATACAATACAATACAATACAATACAATACAAATACAAATACAAATACAAATACATATTACAATTTACAGTCCAAATATTGTTCATTTATGCACTTGATTTAAGCACTTGAGATAAAATTCTTGAAATAATTCATAAATACAACAGAAAAAAGGTAAGTTAATTGTGCACTCACTGTTTGTAAATTACGAACTTGTTCTTCTAATGTTGTGACCTAAATATTAAACAAGATAAAAATGAAAGTAACAATTAGCATATCAAAATACCATCTCTCTCAGTAATAAATCAATTAATATCTTATAATATTATCAATTCAAAAATATCTTCTACAGGAACTGTAATGCAAAGGCAACTACCAATATTGTCAGGGAAATCTTATAAAATATCCTATGTTTTAGTTTAAGTTATGTTTTCCAGTCCATATCATGCAGTCAAGGCCAGGAAGAAAATACATCAACAAAATCAATTACTAAAACAAATAATACAAATCAATTCTATCATGCATCTTCCATTTATAATTTCATGATTTTTTAACATTCCAAAAAAGAGTGCATATGAAAGCAGTAATGAAATGAAATGAATTTCTTATAATTGGGCAACATCATGCAATGTGCTTAGAGAAGGCTGTCCTGTCCAAGTGAAAAGATGCTTTCTCCATGTTAGCTCCCATAAACCTTCATCACTCTAAAGGGGAAACCTGGTCGAAAAATCCAAAAGTACAATGTCTGAGAGCAGTTAGGAGAAGAACCCTAAGAAAGTTTTACTGGCAGATATAACTACTCAAGACTTGCATGTTTAGACTAACTGATTTCAAAATACAATTTAGTAACATATTTTCATATTGTAATGTCATGCTCTGTCATATTATATTAAGAGTCATCTCCCTTGGGAGAGTGGTTAAGATCCTGAACATGCATTGGAAATGAGAATGATCATGCATGTGGAAAGTTCATGCATTTTACCCTAGATGCTAGACGTCTGTAGCTTCGAGATCGTCCCCTAGAACTACCACTTCCTCTACTCCCTCCTCCACTCGGTAATGGCTGTTGGGAAAAAATCAATTATTAAAATTTAAATTTTAGAATTGCTGTTTCTTGCTTTCTATTTATTATAAAACAAAGAGAAGAATTAACTGATTTGGGACTATTTCATATAGGGGTCCCTTTACACTCTTTAACTTGATTAGGCTGAATGATTTTAATCTCTGTTTGGGCTTTGTGATTTTTTAGAGTTCATATTTTTTAAAAGCATATTTACTAAGGCTGATAAACTCAAGTTTCAGTTTGATTGATTTCTTTGTTTGATAATAAATCAAGAAGACAAGAAACAATGGTGTATATTTATGAGAATACCAACCCTTGTTTGTAGAGCAGTAACTCCTGTAGTAGAACTACTACTACTGGTAGATTCTAATGTTGATATCTGGAATAATATCATTAATTAACATGCAACATGCAAAAATCATGCAATATAGGTCCAAACACTAGTTGAAATATAAGTATCACAAGTTCTTATTATTAAGGAAAAGGGCAAAGAGTACTATAATCCAGTTGGCTCTTTAACTAATCCTGTTGGAAGTGATCTTTCCTACAAATCATTGACATCATTTGTCTGAGTCGCATATAACCTTCCCTATATCCATAAAGCCCTTGCTAGTATCACACTAATCAGCCTGGTCATTTGAAAGACTAACTCCATAAAAAGAACTAACAGGTTTCAGAGCATATAAGAAGTATCTAGACCTACCCTGCCCTCTAAAGTATCGAGTCTTGAAGACATAGATGTAAGCTGTGATTTGACATTGCCTGTAGGTTGATTTATACTGGTCTCTACAGCTGATATTCTACTGGTTAGGTCATTCCTCTGTTAATTAAATCATATTTAATAAACTAACTCTCTCTTTCATATTCAGACATAACTGGCAAATATAACCAAATTTAAAAAAACTTTTTACTTTGTGAACGTAATAATATTTTAGATTCATGTTGTGGAATTATTAAGTTAGACAATTCCACAAGCTGAGAACTTATGTCATCATAAATATTACTTACTGTACTCTGTAAGCTTGTTACATCATTTCTTAAACTTGTTAATTTGTTAGCAACATCTCCAGTTGTAGCTAGGTTATCTACCCTTGTTTTTAACGTATCGAATCGAGTGGCTAGGTTACTTGGTAGCTGAAAAAGCAATATACAGTAATTAAGGTTATTTCTGTTGTTGATAGAGGGTGACAAGAAAACAACTTCTGAACCCAAAAAAATCTTAGGACGAATATTAACAAAAATGTGGAATTTTACATTAGAGAAATACTACAATTATGACAATATTGAATGACTAGGTGACGCATGACAAATACACTTATTCAGATAATCCCTTATTACAATTGCACATCCTGATTTGGTTGACATTTCTTTATCATTATCAAATAGATTTCTGGGAAAGATACAGATAATATATATATCTAGATACAGATAAAGTCATATTTTGGACAAGCCCAATATACAATAATAATATAGATTTATAAATGAGTATTCATAAACTTACAGATGTGGGAGCATTTTTGATCCTATCAATATCATTTCTGTTAGTATTAACCTATAATTTATATCATTAACAGTCAGTTATTTCAATTTTCTACATACTAGTTATAAATGTTATCTACATTATTTACATTCTGAATAAATTCTATATTTTCATTAGCTCAATGAAATTAGCTCAAATCATTTCATTTCAGGAGAAATTTCTGCATCATGATCGATAATAACATGAAGATTTATTATTACTGAAAAACTGAAGTTAAAGGAAACAGTTAAAACTCTGTCAATTCTTCTGTAGACTCAGATTTAACCTTGACAGATGTTGCCCAGCTAGAGACATAACTATTCCTAAAATCAGTTTATCAATGGAATCAAAGTTTCATGGATAAAATCAGTTGAATACTTACAGTACTTTGTAAACTGGTGACATCTGTTCTCAGACCAGATAATTTATTTGCCACTTCCCCAGTTGTAGCTAGGTTATCTACCTTTGTTTTTAAATCGTCAACACGATTCACCAAGTTACTGGGTAACTGAAAAACAAGTAGTCACAATTTCATGTTACCAAGTTTTAGAACAATCTAAATGTTTCATTAATATCATATTTTTTTCTGCTAAACGAAACATCTTATTCTTGATCTGCATTTTAATCAGATTGGATCTCGAGTCAAAAAAGTAGGTCTACTATAATTATATTCATCTTAGAATACTTACAGCTGTGGGAGAATTTTTGATCTGATCAATGTCATTTCTGTTACTCTCAACCTAAAATATAACATTGAAAAACAATGACAATGTTGAAGGGAAAAGAGTTGCCCCCCACCCCTCCTTTAATTTGACATGACGTTAGGAGTCTTTGATAACAATGACCTAATTCAAATTTGTTTAAGTTTTGACAGAAAATATATGTGTCAGTCACGATCCTTTCATTTTTGAGTGATTCGATAAACGATCACAATACACAATCTTCGTATTTTTGTCCAAAAATGACATGGTTTTCAAATGACAACCTGTAACTTTCCTGATATCCTTAACTAAAGAGTACAAATGTGGGCAGATAACTCAAGATGTTTATTTCAATACAAATGACAGAAAATAGCTAATAATGCAAATCACATAATATATTTGACAATAGTTCCTCATCAGAGATAAATTTTGTGCACAGAAATTTAATATTCCGCTAGTTTGACACAGTTTTATACGATTTGCAAAGAAATACAAAGGTTTAAAGTAGAAAAAAATGCGTCAAGGGAAGTTACTCGGTAAGAAACAATATAATTCCAGACTACAACAAATTTCTTGAAAGTCACGTCAGCCATCTAAGTAACTTTAAATAGGTAGAAAATAGGATATCTATTTGTGTTATCACTTTAGTTTGCGACAATATATTTGACACGTTTTAATATACTGTTTCTATTTGTCTTTGATTTTTTTTTGGTTGCCTTTTTCAAGCCCTTGAGTTAAAATCCAAATACTACATAACTTTGAGCTCCACTCACATTAATGCTGTGGTGGGTTCTCTGGCCAGGCAGGACATGCTCACCCATTCAGCACACCTAATGTCACCACGCACCTTGGTTTTTCCACAAAGCTTGTAGTGTTTATTTGTTTTAAAATTATGATATACACTGGGAAGATTTCTTGTGCTTTTGGAAACGGTTGGCATAATGCATCAAAATTCCCGAAGACTTATTAACGAGGTCGAATATTACAGTGCTATGTATTTGAACCAGGGTATTGAGATCTTATATAACTAGAATAAACTAGAACAATGACATATCAACCTTGATATACCCTTCATTATACTGGATACTAAAGTTTATCAATGATATCCTCGCCTTCCTTTTGACTGGTGGTAATATGAGCCCTTTAATATGATTATACCGCTTAATTTCTATAGAGTCAGCCTTAAATAATTCTGTCAGTATTCTGTACATATACTGATAGTGTTATGGTGTCGAACAAGTGAAAGTTAAAGAGACTGGTAATAATCTTTCCGAATAAATTCCTTACAATATAGCTTAAATTCAATCCAATGAATTGAATATTGCTTAAAAGAAATCAGTCATCCCAGATAGGCCTAAATCTTTTCCAATTTGCGTCGTATCGGGTCATTTCATGTAATACCTAAAAGGATGAGTAAAAACAGGGCGGGGGGGGGGGGGGGGGGGGGGGGGGTGATATTTCCTTATACATACACACAAGATGACCATTACAAAACGCTTACCGATATTGCTAGATCTGTAATATCTGACTCTCCTAGTTTTATTTTTCCACCATTGATAGCTTTAAACGTGATGTCATGACCGGTGCCCGTTTGAAATACCAAATTACCATTTTGGGTTACTATTCTAGGCCTGAAATGTAATGTTTATAGATATGAAATAATATACAGAATTGTGCCTTTTTAGGAAAATATTATTCAGTGCATTTGTACCCCTACCTCATTTCTAAGAAATTTGAAAATATGAATTTTATCCGTTTGTACCCAAAAATAAGCGTCAGAATGTACCAAATCAACTCAATTTTTTGAAGAGAACCTTCTCAGACGCTCCATTGTACGTCAACCATCAAGTCAGTTTGACCCCTATTTAGTCTCGAGGCTAGTGCAGCCAATGATTTGACATTTTACATTCAGATTCAGATCCTAGAGGAAAATCTGTTTAGTATATAGTGAGGATTTGGGTCAAAAAACATATGCATCAAATTTGATTTAAACTGTCCTCCATATTTTATGATTATTCAGTACATTAATTCAACACCACGTTATTATACCAGACGGTGAGTATTCACTGTTTAAACTGATCAAAGTAATAAGATATACAATAGTATAATTCACCAGTCAAAATTTAAAGACCGCACTTCTAAACCGTTAGACAAATATGATACATAAAAGCCTGCAGAACTTAAAAGATTTGAATTTTTATCAAAGTATTATTTTTTAATGAAATGAATTGAATGAAGTTTTACGTCCTAATATTCTGCATCTTGTTGGTTATTGAAGACGGGCAAGGCCATGAATGGTGCAATGAGGAAAATTTGTCATTTAACGTACACAGCCTGCAGCACACGGGACCTCGGTTTATTGTCCATCCGAACGACCATACGCTCTTACCTGCATCACTGACAAGTGGGAAACCGGGTTGGAAAATCTGAGGGTAATTCTCCACCTATGTCGGGATTGAACCCTGAACCTCGAGCACGCGAGTAAGCGTCTAACTCACCGAACCACCGCGGGTCCCTCTTTTTTTTAAAAAAGAAAATGAAATTAAATGTTTAGTCTGTAATAAAATCTACTGTTTTTCGCTATAAAAGATGATCTAAGCTAGGTTTTTTAACAAACAATGCCTGCCTTTTAAAAATTGTCGTGTTTCCGACAACGACTTTCCATAATTTGATAGTGAAAACTAGTATACACTAAAATACACTAGTCATATTGGTTAATCAAAAAAACTTTATCGAATATATAACGTATAGATTATATTTTTATGCTGCGTTGATATATTTGCAGAAGAAAGAATATTGCAATAATAATCTTTTAGTAAGGCCTATATCATAAATTCCGTCCCGTACAGAATTTTTTTTAGAACTTCAAAAATGTGTAAAATTCATTTTAACACTGTAAAATATTACAAATTTCTAATGACTCAGTCACAGTTGCATTTAATGATTTTAAATTAAATCGATTTCATTATTTGATGTATCCGCACAAAATATTCAAAACAATATGTGGGGACGGTCCTTACAACATATAGACATATTATATCAAATAATAAAATGGAAATTTATACTTACTGATCTGGTAAAATTTCTCGCTTTTGTCGAGAATTCTGAGATGTGGACGCAATTAGAGAAAATAAAACTAAGAATTTTAGGGGAGATTTCCACCTCACGTAGGCTGCCATGTTGATTGAAGTTTAAACGCCCCCTAACTAATCATTTTATTTTATTTAACATACTATCCATTTCATTTCTTTTAAATAATTAGGGGCTATTAATTTCTAAAGGGGTCAAAGGATAGGTTGAATATTTACTGATTCCATTATTTTAAGTTAAATATCCTTGACTAAGCGATATTATATCTCAATTTTGTTCAAAAACTATAATGGTGAAAAAGAAAAGTGCTCTAGAGGTACAAGTTGGAATTTTTCTCTTAAAATTATCCTCTTGCCACCCTCAGAATAGACTTTTCTATTGTCTTACAATAAAATAATTGACTTATCTATGCAGATGAAGAAAGTGATACCTGTGTGTCTCGATTGTCAAAGATGACAATGAAGACTTGAACGTCCAGACTACTCTTAACGACGTCACCGTCTAATTATGAAAGCCTTATCAATAATTGAGTTCAGTAATTAAAATTCTTTGAATTGTAGCCGACTTAAAAGAGATAAGATATTTAGGCCTAAACGTAAGAATTGTAAAATGAATAAGTTAAAGTGTGAAGAGATGTGACATAAATTGAATTAATTAATGTGGTAAAAAGAGAAATTTGGAAGGGGTTGTGGATATTTATTGATCCACAGGCAGCAATTGCGCCGGAGTTTAGTTGAGTTTAGTTGATATCTGGTTTGAAATATTGCTAGATTGTTATGAAACAATGATTTTATCTTAGTTAGTTCAAACGACGGTTTATAGCACAGTAAGTAAGATCCTAGTCTGGAATCTGGAATCTTAACGTCATAATATGATATATATATTATATGCTTGGTTTGCCTCCTTTAAACAAGTGGTGGTCGTGGGTTTTTATCCCCGTCAACTGGCGAAATTAAGTCATCTTTCCTCAATATTCCAGTTAACAGGCAGTACAGGGCAAATTTATAAATAGTCTATTGGCCTTATTTTTTTCACCCTTTCACCCTATTATCATTACTATTATTATCACCCAGCTGTGAATGGGTATGCATAATCCCTGGAAGATAAATGCAAAGAGGTTTTGCAGAAGACCAGCTGGAAGACAGGGTCTTCGTAATGTACTGTTTAAACGCATTACTTGTTATCATTGGTCAAAAATAATGCTAATGTATTATGAAACTTTGTGTTGTTTTATCTCGGATGAGTTTTTCAAGGTTTATTTTGAAACAATATGCTAAATTATTATTATCTCGGTGGCGTTTAGGCTTGACGGAGAGTGTTACAGTTGGTTCTGAGTAAAACTAATGCGTTATCAAATGAAAGGAATGTATGGATGTAATTTTAGTCTTTATCTCGAGGTGATATCTGACCAACTCGGTACCCTATCAATAAGTAATTCAATACTCATTAATTGGTATCAACGTATCAAACGTATAAGTCTGATAAGCTTACATAACTGATTATTTTTGCGAGTTTGTTTATGAATGGTACTACTATAACATTGAACTTATTATATAGCTTCATCTTCAAGACATCAAATGCTGCAGTATTCTGCCTATTGTTAGGCCAGAAATCCTCTCCAATTGTGCAAATTTTTGTAGTTGGAAGCTTTAGATTCATTTTCATTATGACATCTAACCAAGAAATGTGGCCTACTGCCAGAGTAATCGTGAGATTATTTCAATGGGAATATTTTGTTGTAAATGAAAAAGATCTGTTGATCAAGCTAAACCAAATGGGTCTGACTCCCTTTTTTGTACAGAGTTATCTAACCCTGCTATTGACTCTTTAACTTTAAAGTCCAATAAACTGTCGTTGCTATAACGGTAGATTAACCAGACATTATTTACCGTTAGATCGTCAATAAACTTTAGTACTGGACAAACAAGTCTTCACGTTAGCAACTACAACAACAACATGGCGTCGAACGGAGCGGCTGAGAAATTTTACCTTGAAAGTATCCTTTTGAAATCAATTTAATTTGAATATTTCTTTATTGCTTTATTTAGTTTATGCTTTCACAGTTCATGTTACTTTTCGCCGATTCAGCAGACAATATGTTGCATGTATTCAAAGACAAAGATAAGGCCTCTGCCTTGTCACCTTGTTTTGCTTTGAACAGTTTTTTCTATCATCATTCATTGTGTGATGTTGTTCTTGAAGTAAAAAGTTTATGATATAATTTCATGAGTATGCCTTTGGGGACGTTTATGGTTAACACTCTTCTCATCAAAACCATTAGTAATGGTTACTTACAAAGGCTCAAAGGATACAGGCCTCACATAGATCTATCTGACTACAAACTTACTTACAGCAAACTGTTTTCCTTTAACAAATTATTTTAGAGGAACAGTTACAGGCTGATTCTGATGATGAGTTTCAATATGAAGAAGTTCCAGTTGATGAGGAATTTATTCCAGATGGTAAATATTCTTTTTAGCATATTCATTCATGTTAGCATGTATAGCATACCGGTATCGATATGGTAGACATTTTAATTAGCCATTTTCTCTCACAAGTATAAAGAACTTAATATAGTGCCTGTTACAGTGTTAGCTTAACTAATATTTTTATTTCTGTAGAAATTGAGAATCTAGATGTAACAGTGAGAACAATAAGAGAATCACAAGAGGATTTAGAGGCAGGAGTAAGAAGTTTAATTGTTATTTTCAGCCTATGACCTACATAGTAGGCTATAAGCTTACTTCATACCAAGGTTCAATACTTGAATATGCTACTACTAGTACAGACCTTAAAACACAATTTGCTGCTCAAGCTTTTTATAAGAAATTGGCTTGCATTTACCCAAAAAAAAAGAAGCCTAAAAAGTCAACAAGAATGTGATGCAAAACTTAATCCTTTGTAAACTATACAATACAGTAGGGTTACCCAATCAAGCCTTACTATAAAACTAATTTTTTCTATCATTCTATTTTGATTTCAGCTACGTAAAGAGAGTACAGCCAGACCATCTGTTACTCATGAGCCTGAGGTTGTTGATGATTTTGTCAGAAATTTCCTGGTACGAATGGGAATGAATAGAACATTGGACTGTTTTCAAACAGAATGGTAAGATTTTGTCCAGTATTCTGGTGTTAGTTAGATGGTTGATTGTTATCCATCTGATTAGAGCTAGTTCATTGATTTCAAAACAGCTTGAAGTATTTCTTGTCTATATCTATAGGTATGAATTACAACAGAAAGGCTTGCTCCACGAGGAAGATGTTGATATAGTTCCTGATATTTATGCCAGAAATCAGGATCTGGATAATGAAATTAAATTTCTCAAGAAAGAAGTTGATAAATACAGAATAGCTGCTATGTGAGTATAAAATACTTTAAGCCTAAACAACAATTTTTAAAATATGATTGATAATTTTCAAAAAAGTTAAAAAATGTAGCTGCAAAGGTTCTTTACACCTTTCAAATTTGTTTTCCACTAATGCAGGTCATAGGGGTGAAATAGGAAAAACTTTTAGTTGTTCCAATGAAACAATAAACCAAAACTCTGTGTGCTACAGGTTGTACATGTGAAAGATCCCTTGAAAGTTGGATATAAAAAATAGGCTAATAGTGTTGTCTGTCTTCATTATACCAATTTGGTTTAATTTCATTTCATTGCCTACATTTAGAAAATATTTCTGATGTTTCAGTAAAGCTAAAGAAACGTATGTTAAACTTCGCAAAGAACGAGACTATCATAGAATGCATCATAAACGAGTTGTACAGGAGAAAAATAAATTTATTGATGACATCAAAAGGTAAGATATGAAGTAAGCTTATTCAAAGAAAGAACTCTATTTTACAATGTTAACAACCTAGATTCACATGGATCCAGTCTGTTGGCATTGAAATTTTCTGTATTAGCCATATATACCCTTTGATTAATGGGTTATTACCCATATATACCCTTTGATTACTGGGTTATTACCCATATATACCCTTTGATTACTGGGTTGACTGGAATAATGAGGAAAAATAACTTATTCTATTATTTAAACACCATCAAATACTCAGTACAATGCCAATGCTGGCTGGCCTTATCTCAAACATTGTGTTCCATTCAAGAAAGATTTTTTTTTAAATTTCACGGTCTTTGCAAAACCAAGTCTCAAGTTTCACTTCAAATATTTTATTTTAGATTAAAGCGACATTATCAACAATATGAACCTACTCTACATCAGTTAAAGAGGAAGTATGAAGTAGCCATGAAAGAGAAAATGTTGGCTAAATTAGAACGAGATAGAGCTGTAGGACAGGTTAATGGTTTACAGAGCACCCTGAAGTCTATGGAGAGTTTTAAAGGCACGTCATCTACATCCTTACAAGGTTTGTACCAAATAATAGTGACTAGATTAAAGGAATATTGAAGATAATGTTTTTTGTGTGTATAGAAACAAGGGATTTATTTGCATTATTGAGAACTAAAAGGCATTTTTGAAGGTCAATAAATTGTACAACCGTTAACAATTGGATGACCAAATAGTATCCATATAGGGTATTTCCAAGTACTTCTATATCATTAGCAATATTACTAATACACAAACTTGATTTATCATTTTTTAGGATCAAGGAAGGGAGATAATCAAGATAAACTAGGACCGACTCAGAGAGCTCTAGCCATAGAACGTGAGAAGAGAATGGAAGAGGATGTCGGACTTTTACCAGAAGATTTTAAACGTTATCCTAATGTAAGTTGATGTACTGTAAAAAGCGTGCAGATATTAAGGTTTCCAGATTGTTAAATCACCTTGACTGTATTTGAGCGTATGATCCAATAAGATTTGAACAGAAAAGAAAAATTTTAAAGTTTGCCACCAATAGCAAGTTTCCAGAATGGCTTGGCTCTTTATTTAGGCCCTTAATCACTCTTCTAAGGGAGATAATTATTAATACCTACTAATTAGACCACAATATTACAATATGATAGTAAGTGTGCTGGAAATTATTATAAATGTTCCGTTGAAATGAGAGGTTCAACTTGTTTTACTAATTTTTGTTTTTTCTTTTTGTAGGATTCTGAGTTCCCAATTGATACAGGTGTCAACCCCTATCTGTCACAATCTAAAGCCCCACCCAGTCACCTGACTAGAACAGGAGGGTTCCGATTATCACACACCATACAGGCTCACAGTCACTCTGTTAGTGGGTAGGTAGCCTTACTTTACTATTATTAATAGTGTATGACTAAACTAGATCTTTTGTGTGTTCACTATTGCTATAAATATAACAAGCTCCAACCCGTTAGGTAAGAAAATGTCAGACCAGTTTATTATATGGCCAGACTCTACTGGTTCTACAATAACATACTACAATGATGTGGTCACTTCATGCTTTATTGGGAAACATAACATTTGAGCAATATCTTTTTCAAGAAAAGCCAAAGAAAAAAACATAAGAGAATAAATATTAGCTATTTCAAATTATATCGAATGATTTGTGCTTTGGGACTAAGACTGTTTTTTATTTTTCAGTGTTGCTCTTCATCCCCGTAAACAGATTCTTGTAACCAGTAGTGATGACAATTCCTGGAAAATGTGGGCAGTACCAAGTGGTGACATCATAATGACAGGTGAAGGTCATACAGACTGGGTGTCAAGCTGTGATTTCCATCCAAGGTGGGTATTTATGAGATGATAATATTAACTCTTTCAACCCTAGTGGCTAGTTTACCGGCTACACACTAACGCAATATATACCCGAGCAGCCGGTATACTGGCCTTTACTAAGTGACATCATACAGCGTTAACGTCATACGCTTTTACTTTTATTACTTGGAGTTCAGGGTATATGATGTTATATTTCATTTACACTCAGGGTTCAAAGGGTTAAAAGGGGCGGTGATTTATCTAATTAGTCATGGGTGTTTTAGAGCCTAAATGTATATGTCCAATTATCATAACATCCAATTGTCCGAACAGCTAGGTGATATCATCTCGTATTTATTTCAGTGGAGCTAAATTAGCAACTACCAGTGGAGATACAACAGTCAAAATCTGGGATTTCTCGAAAGGAGAATGTGTCCATACATTTACTGATCATACTTTAGCAGGTTATTATTGCTTTCATTTTTTTATCGTCAGAAGTTTATTAAAAAAGTTTAAATACTGATTTGAATAACATGTATAAGACTAAATTGACTATAGGTATGTTCAAGCATCTTTTATTCTATATGAAAGATATTACAGATTGGATTCTAGATATCAAAATTCTCTTTTAAAGTTTTTATGTCTATGATTTGTTATTTTTTTATCTTTTAGTGTGGAATTGTAGTTGGCATTCATGTGGAGATTTTCTTGGTACTTGTTCTATGGATAATACGTCTAAAATTTGGGATTTGAATAGTTTACGATGTCGATTTACATTACGAGGACATACAGATTCTGTTAACAGTATACAATTTGTACCTTTCTCTAATACATTGATAACTTCATCTGCTGATAAAACACTGTCATTGTGGGATGCCAGGACTGTAAGTTGATTTTGTATTCTTCAATGGTGATCATTTTTGTTGTGGTTAGAAAGAACTTTTCTTCAAAAGTTTCTATGTGGAAATTTGTATTCATGGTGTTCATTGATGTTCAAAAATCTCGTTTTTATATATATTATTGTCATTTATATTGCAGGGATTGTGTACACAAACTTTCTACGGTCACATGCATTCTGTTAATCATGCCACTTTCAACCTCAGAGTAAGTATGAGTAATTCTATCTTTCCCAATATTGAAGCTTTGAATTTCTTTCAGTTTGCTTAAATTTTAAACAAACCTTGTCAAGCTGGTCCTTGATTCAATTAAGAAAATGTAAAAAATTTCTAATAAGTGAACTCTATTTTCAGTGTGATACTCTAGCATCCTGCGATTCCTATGGTATATTTAAGTTATGGGATGTTAGAAATGGTTCAGAAATGGTATCAGTTGATATCGGTCCTCATCCAGCCAATCATGTGGCATTCGATCCTTCAGGTTGGTAACATCTCAATAGAATTCAACATAATAAATTTGGTTAATAGAAGTGGTCAGGATATCTGAGATTGCCTGAATCTCTAACCTATTTATGACCCCTCTGCCCCCCTTTTGGCACTGCCACTGCCATATGAATGTACACACTGTATTTTCTTTTTTGCAGGAAGTGTATTGGGTATATCAAGTAATGATAGCACTATTAAAATGTATGAAGTAGCTTCAGGACAAGTGACAGCTCTATATGGCCATGAAGATGCTGTCCAGTGTGCCCTGTTTGATAAATCTGGAGAATTTATGGTATCTGGTGGCAGTGATTGTACTGTTAGAATTTGGTCATAATTTACGTCTACTTAGAACTTTACTATCTTTGTTTTATGTCTGCATGTATTTATTAAGAAATACCCAATTCAAGTTGTCAGAGTTTGCTGTTACTTAACTGAATGTATTCTCTGAATGTTACAAATTATATTAATGCTGGATTGGTTTAGAAATATAAAACTCTTCCTGTAAACAAAGGAATGGACATCAAAATGTATTACTGATGAGGTCAAACAGTCGCTGGTATAAGTTTTGTCCATTTTTGATTGGTTTACAGTTCAGATATTTTGATGAGAAGCTGTTTGTCAATTATATAGAAATGATTTCAACTAGTTTTGATTTGTCATATTCTTCTTGGCTACCAAAATATTGAAATGCATTATACTTCATCCATGTTATTAATTGATTAATTTGTTTATGATCCTATCTGTGATAATTATTTGATTAAATTATAATTTATACTATTTGCTTTCTTCCATTGCATACATTAATTTCATGACCCAAAACCCAGTCAATCAATATTGAACAGGTTTCAGTTCTGAACCCAATATGTTCATATATAGCTGGAAATTTTTTAACAAATTTGCAAAATGTCAATACACTACATTATGGTCAGTCATAAAGCCACATTTAGACTAATCATATGAATGGTCCACAAGTCTCAATAAAACACACAAAATGATAATAAAATTTTAATATTTTTGACGAATAAAAATGTTAACATAATATATTTTATATAGAGGTTTTAAAACTGTACATAAACAATAAAATATTGATATAGGAGTAGAATATTTAACACTGTAGATCAGAACTGATAGGCTAGGGTTAGTTTTTCATTGAATAAGGTTTTCATTCACTGTTTTGTCAAAATTCTCTAATGACATTACACCAGAATTAGCAATTTATTTTGGACATGTATGAAGACTGTTTAGAAGTCAGCTTCTAATTTTCATCCTTGTTTCCTCAACTATTCTCATTTCATACAATGAAACTCAAAAGAATTTCAAGTTGATTTCAATACAAAGACTTTTCAACAATGAGTATTCTCCACTTGAGTTGCACTAATTCAGTATCTTGAAAAAAAACTAGAGAAACATCATGATATGGAGGTGAAAATTGAAAACATAAGTAAGTTTAGTGACCTACTGGACCTTTGGTCTAGCTTTACTGAATAATATATAAACAGTGTCTACATTTCAAATACTTATATTATAGAAATTAAATTAAGAAATTTCAACTAAAAAAATATGTTAAGACATTCATCTGTGTTGAATATTGTTAAATAGCCACTAACAAGGGATTTTCATATTTGTGAAGAACTTACTTTCAGCAGGTGGGCTGACAGATGAATTAAAGAAGAATTTGTAAAAAATGAGTGAAGAAATGAATGAATAAAATAAATCTATTCAATGCGAAATTCATATTAAAATGTTTATGCGCAAATTAAAAATAAACTTTGGAATGAATAAAAATGTAACAAATAACAATAGGAAAAGAAATTAATTGTATTTTCTGTGCAATTTGTGAAATAACAATAGAAGTGTCATTTACAGAACAGACAAGTTAAATATCGAGCAATTACCACGTAGAAATTCTGAATTTAAAATCTTGATGTGTTATGCCAAATATATTTCAATGACTTATGACTGTGGGGAATTCTCAAATCGAAAATAAGAGCTAAAATTTTAACTGAACAAAAAGTTCTGTTTTAGAACAAGTAATGTACAAGTTTTCATATGTCTTTACCTTGTAATGTTTTTGAAATTGTCAGTTTGCTTGAAACAATATTAAATAGAGTAGGTAAATGGTGACATGATTTAATTAACATCTTTGACTATTGTGGTAATTGCTGGATAAAAAAATAACTTGTCTAAATTAAAAATCATATAAACATATTAATTAAAACCATAATTCATAATAAAATTTATACAATTCAGAATAATTTTCTGATTTGAAACATCTTATAAACTCTGAAACATGACAACAAAAATACATAACAGAAATAATAGACTTCCAACAAATAAATCATGGGGAATTCATCTTTGAAAATTTAATTCATAATCCAAGAATTCATGCAAGTGAAGCTTAACGAAATGATGTTTGTCAAATTTTTAAACTAGAATTTAATACAAATTTTTTTGTTTATTTCATTACGGCATATTATTCTATTTACTTCTTTCTTATTGTATGATTAATATCAAAAGAAAAATTGCCATTTAAATGTGACTAAAATACTTAGTGCCTTACTCTCTAATACTGGAGATGCTTTTAGTATTAACATTAATTTCAAATTTGTAATAGTCCAATAAAAATGAACAGTTTGTGGTTTGGAACCAATCAGATTACTTTATTTCAACAAATTAGAATTATATTGTTGTTAAATGCACTTTTCTTATAACTACCCTATAACTACATACCTCTATAAAACCAAATGCTTAATGTTTCCATGAGGAATATCTTAAAGGGATTTTAGGGAGGGTTTCTAATTTTCTTATGTGTAGTGGGGGCACTGATAGCGTCATATTTTAATTTCCAATTTTCAATCTGACGTCTGTGGTTCCTGCAATTCCACTAAAACATTGATGACGTCACATAAAGCCCTTTATGATAAGTGACGTTAAAATTTAAAATCCCTTTAGGTTCTGTGTAAACATGTTTGAAACATTCAACCTGACTTCCACATAACAATAACAAATATAATATCTTTACAACTATCACAAACCAATCGGAAAGCCTGATTTCATCACATGATTTCATCAACCAATCATTTAACAATATCTTTGAATACTGTTTTCTGATTGGTTAATGGGTAACAAACATTAGATTTAACATTAAACCAGAGAAACATGTACATAATTAAGAATAAAGGGCATTATAATAAAATATGTTAATATTTACGGTTGGAAAAAGATACATCTAACTGGCTGTAGTATCATCTAACTGGCTGTAGTATCATCTAAGTTTTAGGCAGATATAATTTATATGAACATAGTATTTAATACAGTAATATTTTGATTTTTAGGTACTATATAAGTAGTCTAGGGAACAAGTTTGATTCCACTTGGCATTGATCTTTCCTGGATTATCTGTACCCATTTACAGCCCAGGAACATTCTTTTTAAAGTAATCAAGGAAATTACGTCATGCAATGGACTACACTACAGCCTGTTCAGCAAATGAGCAGAATATGATTGATACTTTGAGAAATGTCACAATATTGTTACAGAACTAAAACAGCCTAACTATCTTTTATCAACTGATGGAACAAGATAATATCCCTTTTCAGGATTAAGTTAGTTTGTTTATAAAATGCTTAGGTTGCTGAAATTCAGAAAAACAGTTCCCTTAAAGAGAATATCATTAAAATCAATGTGAGATGATAAACTAAAATCCATTGCACAATTCTATAAGGATTAAAAAATGGGTGAATATGGACAGGTGTTATATGATGTTAAACTATAAAGTGAAAATCTTATATTTTCGGTTAAAATTCTTTACAATATTCTACATTTTTACATGTAAGATAAATACTTCAAATTCATTGCACAGATATTAAGCTTTTTACAGTTCTTGTAGTATATTTAATTTTGGTACACATGTGTGGAAATAATTTTTCTAGTACAAAAACAACCCTAGTCATACAATGGAAACTCTCGAGACACCCCTGGCTAATTAAGAGGTTGTGGTCAGACACTAACTTAAAAACCAAGGTCAATAGAACCAAGGTTTAAGCTGAGTGTTGATATTCTTCTATATATATTTGATATAGACCACAACCTTTAGATTACAAGTCACAATATAAGTTATATTTTCTAGCCTTCTTACTTCAGCTGCTGTTATTCATTCTTAACCTCAACCATTAAGTATCTTGTTTATAATTCATTTTTCTTTTTTAAATGCCATTCATATTTTACCACAACAAAATTTATTTCTTGACATGCTAAAAATATCATTTAAGTTTTCCGTACACTAGCCGATAATGCATACCCTTTAATAGAACAGTTGCTGGCCATATGTTTATCAAGATTAGATCTGGTAACGAACCCCTCTCCACAGTGAATACAGGCATTACGAGCCTTCAGAGTATGAATCTGTGATTTGGTATGACGATTTAAATCTGATTGGGTGACACCTTTATAATTACATAATTTACAACAAAACTCACGAATACCTGAAAAATATGAGAATATGGTTAAAGAATTGATGTATTGAGCGCTATTTAACAGTGGTATTATATATCGCTCTACAATCAATGTATGGACCACTATTTTAACAGTGGTATTTATATCGCTCTACAATTGATGTATTGAGTACTATTTTAACAGTGGTATTTCTATGTCACTCTACAATTGATGTATTTAGCACTATTTTAACAGTGGTATTTATATCGCTCTACAATTGATGTATTGAGTACTATTTTAACAGTGGTATTTATATCGCTCTACAATTGATGTATTGAGTACTATTTTAACAGTGGTATTTCTATATATCGCTCTACAATTGATGTATTTAGCACTATTTTAACAGTGAAAATATTCTATTGTTGTAATTTTTTTAATTATGATACTTATATTTTATCTATAATGATATAAACAATATTTACCTTGATGTCTCATCATGTGCACTTTTAACTGACTGTTTGTTCTGGCATAATAATCACAAAATCCACATTTATACGGCCGAATATCTGAAAATAGATGTTAGGAACTTTTAAAACATTGATTTGTTTATACGTTACCAATATAAAGTGTCTGCTTAAGTGTGACCAGTTCAGCAAAATTACAATTATACTAATCCATTTTATTAGTTATAGCAGAAAAAAGGAACATACCTTCATGAAAATCCATATGCCTGTTGACATCTGAGAATGACAAGAAATCTTTGGAACAAATTTCACAGCGATAAACATAACGTCCATCAGGTAGAACTGTTGGTTTACATAAATTATCTCGATTTACTGGCTGATTTACAACATGTAATCTGAAAAATATTACAATAATGCATCATACAGATTATTATCTTTGAATGGCTGTATTCGAATGTATACAAATTGTTGCATTTACAAACTTCAATAATACAATAACGGTGGCTATTGCAGTCAAGGTCATAAGAGTTAATAGTTTCTTGACTTTCTAAAAAATACTTTATATTACCAGTATTATGTGAAATAGGTATAAGGCATCTTCAATATCCAATATCTGATCATAAACTAACAAACTGGTGGCAGTCAATCAACAGATATCCTTGTCAGAAAATGAACATTTATGAGTATTGACATATCCTGTATTAGGCCAGAGCTGTTAATACCCCAAAAAAAAATTTCAACTAACCTGGAATGTGTTCTAGAAAGGGAGGTAACTTTACGTCCATCTGTTGACACTGATAAATCTTCTGGTGTAGAATGATGCCAGTTTGGTGTATTGTGTTTTTTACCATCCTTTCCTTCACCGCCTGAACTACCAGAGCTTGATCCTCCACTTTCAGTTTCCGAAATATTGGGATTCCATTGCAGACGGGGGAAACCTATTAGGTTGTCATGGTCTTGAGTTGGTGAGGAATGTGAATTGGTGCAGCTCTGTGAAGTTTGTGCTGCTGATGTTGGTGTCTGTTCTTCTTGAGGAACAATAATAGAGATTGGGGTGACAGCAGGAATTGGTGTGGTTCCAAGATTTGGTTTTGGAGCAATTTTTTTAAAAGGAATGGAGTCTTCTATTAATCCTGAAGCAGGAAGGCCACGAAGAAACGGGCTAAGGCCTGGTTGAGATGCAGCGGCAATGGAGTTAGCAAGAAGTATTGGATTCAGAGTAATCATGTTTGAAGCTGATAATGAGACAGGAGTTAGAACGTTTGGTAGAACAGTGATTGTTGAACCCTTATCATCCATAACTTCTTCTTTAATATCCATCTTTTCCCCATTCTCAACTTCCCTGCCTCGAAGTTTGGTTGGTGGAGTTGTTTTTCTACGAGATTTAGCAGGTTGGCCATCTTTACAGAATGACATCAGAGATCGCTTTGGTGCATTTTTGATTTCGGCTTCATCATCAATATCACCAGTATCTGAGCTTGGAATGTCTGAAATGGTGTTTGAATCCCTAGAATCTGACATTTCTCCATCACTGTCATCTTCTGGTGGATCAGATGGCATTACAACAGTTATCTCCTCCTTGTAACCTTCCTTTTCTAATAATCTCCTGGCAGTTTCGAAGTCACGTTTTTCAGGTGTCTTGTCCTTTTCATCTTCAATTTCAGTTGGTTCAATTTTAATATCAACATCAGTGGTACCTAAAGAATCTTGACTATTTTCAAGGTGGGTGCCATTTTGAAGAACGCCATCTAAGGATGATAATTTTGGAATGCCATGAACTTTTTCAAGATGTTGATGAAGCGTTATAGGTTCAGTGAAACCTTTACCACATTCTTTACAGTATATACCCTTCTGACCTGTGTGGATTTTTTCGTGTCGCTGAAGAAGGAATTCTCTGGAAAAAGATTTTCTACAAAAACGACATTCGTACATCCCAGTCATTAAATTCACAAAGTATTTCTTGCCATTATTTTGATTGGCTGACTTATTGTCGTTTGATTGGTTGGAATTATCCTCAACCTCCATTGTAGACTCAACATCACTCGTTAAATTTGTGTTCAGAGAAGAATTTTGGTGACTTTTAGCATGTTCTAACATCAGCAGTTTCGAATCAAAAGACTCATCACAAGACTGGCACTGATAGGTCGTAAGTTCAAGGTCAAAATGCAAAGACATGTGACATTGGACTTTACTCAATGACGTGAAAATCTTTTTGCAAATATAACATTTATAGACAGTAACGTCATTTCCTGATTCCTTGTTAACCCCATCAATTCGTGTGATCACTACAGTTTCGTTTTTGATTGTCAAGCGATCAAGGCGGTAATTTCCAGATTCCGAACTTTCTGGAGATTCGGACTCCATACCTTCCAACCCACGTCCCTCACCAGGAGATAATTCACTGCTATTGGAAAACTGTCTTCCGATTGCCGGACTCCCATCTCTGGAAAGTCCTTGTCTGGAACGGGAGAATTGGTCCACAGGAAAATTTGGAGAAATTTGGAATGGAGAATCCTTTTCTTTTTTAATATCATTAATACTTAATAATTGTTTTTGAGAATGTTCAGCAGTTATGGCCCTTTCCTGTTCTAACATGCGATCTTTCACAAATAATGACTTCATCAAAGCTCGACTTTTTAATTTCAAATATCTCTCTTCTAGACCTTCACTAAGTTCCACATCAACATCATGGGCTGCTTTCTGATGATAAAACAGACTACCTTTGGCTTTAAATGCCTTTCCACAAATCTAAAATAGAGGAACAAGGAATTTTTAAAATTATGAATTCACTCTATATTGGGTGTTATAAATAGTAACAGTTCTTTATAAGCACTAGTCATGGCCACAAATATAACTTTAAAGGGACATTCCGCTTTTTTGTAGGTTGACAATTTTTTGCTCCAATTTAAACCAAAATCTACAGAAATGTATCCCATAACATATGTGAAAGTTTTAACTAAAAAAATCCAGCAGTTAATTATGTAACCTTTTAAAGTTCATTATGCTTTTTGCAAGCTGTTAGATCTGAGTAAAATAAACGCCTAATTCTAGAGAATTATGTCTCCTACGTTTTCTAAAGATTTCAACTAAATATAACGAGTCATTATAAAGACAATCACCGAAACTAGGTCTTAATGCTTAATTAACAATTTGTACTCTCAGTTTTTAATTAACCCTTAAAACAAATTTGAAAAGTAGATACATAGATATAATTAGCATACTTTAGAAATATTTTCAGGTATAATTTACGATGTTTTTGATAATGAAAATGTTTTACAAAAAAATTGGAATGCCCCTTTAAGCAATAACCTTGTACTGGGCACATGAAGTATGAATAACTGAACTCTACATAGGTTCATCTGGGCAGTGAGCTACCGGTACTCAACTTACTTTTCTGCTCACTATTAATCATATTTCATTGCACAGAAATTTTAAATATTTTATGAATATCATCAGTGATTTAATGCCATAAAATTATACCTTTCTATTGAATTTACTTTTTATTTTTATAAAGCAAATCCAAATGGCATAAAGGATGCTTAACGGTACAACAAATTGAGAACATCATTATAAAATGAAAAATAGTGCACCTTACCTCACATTTAAATGGTCTCTCCCCCGTATGAACCAACTGATGACGTTTTAATTCACTTGGTTTTGCAAAATATTTCCCACAGTAGCTACAGACGCGATCACCAAACATCTCACTAGGTGGCGTAACCTTATCCTTTTCTTCTGAATTCTTTTTAGCAGATGACACTTCAGAGAGTTGTGGCCTCGATACAGAAGGTGGGACTTTTGGAATATTCAAAGCAGCAGAAACTGAGGAGGTGTTAGTCTGTCGCAAATCACTAGCTGCAGGTTGATATGCTTTCTTCCCCTCAGTTAAAATAGCCGATAAGACTGTTCCCTTTTCTTTTAAAGAAGTCAAATTAGCTTGCGTGGTTTGACCTTTTTCAGGCTTCAAAGTAGCAGACACAATATTATCAGTGCTAACTTCCAAATTCTTTTTATCAATAATCTCACTAGGATTGGATAACTCTGAATTAATATCCAATAGTTCTTTGTGGTCCGTAGTATTATTTGTTGAAGATTTAATGGTTGAAGTAAGAATGGTTTCAGTTGTTTGGGAAACAGACGGCACAGATTTTAACAATGAAATCATTGCGGAGTTTCTGCATTTCTTTGCCACACCCGCATGTTCATTTGTCTCAATGGACACATTGTCACCTTTTTCAGATAAATCTTTTTTTGCGATGGACACAACTTCTTCCTTTCCAAAAACTATTTTTTCTGAGGTAGAGGAATTATTAGAGTCCTGAGAATTTCCCGTGTCTGATTGAAGACCACGAGTTTTTAAAGCTTCTTGTAAAATTGAACTAGTTTCTGGATTGACAGTTGTAGTTTTGTAAGTTTTCTTTGATTTTTCAACTTCTTTTTCCTGTTCAGCCAAACCAGGATGATAGGTGATTTGATGAAGTTGCAGACTACGTTTAGCTTTATATGCTTTACCACATTTCTAAAATATACAAAATAAATTGATTTCAAAACCAAGCAGCAAATAATTAGACTGGTAACAAAAAACACACTGGTGAAGCAAAAATACTCCTTTAACACAGTTTCATATTGAAAAGAAAGCACATGTGTTGAAGAGTCCATTTAAATTTGGGGGTGTCAAACAAGTGACTATATCATATTGACAAGAAGGAGCATGTATTAGAGAGTCCATTTAAGTTTGAGGGGGGTGTCAAAAAGATGACTGGAACACTATTAACAGCCTTCTTGAATTAATCATTTTGAAAGATCTTGGATGGCTATTGGACTCTTTTTGTGTCTACCTGTGACATTGAACTGCGATCTGGATATGAAAAAACTTCAGAAATCTTGAGGCAGCAATTTCAAATAGGCACTTACCGAGCATATAAATGGGCGTTCTCCTGTATGTTTACGTCGATGGCGTTGTAACGCAGCAGGTGTTGCTTTCACCTCTCCACAGAATTCACAAGTTCTCCCTTTTAATCTTATGTCCCTTGTGAAAAATACTGATAGAGATTCATCTGCTACGTCATCAACTAATTCTAATTCTACACCAGGGTCTGAAATAGTGCTATCCTCCTCTACTTTAATTTCAGGATTGGTTCCTTGTGGAATGTCTTCTACTGTTTCATTTTCAGCGTCACTTTGGATAGGATCTCCTTCTGATTCGCTTTCAGATTTTGGTGGTCTCCTTGGACTCTTTCTCTGCGACTTTTTTGAATGACTTCGCTTAGGGCGTTTTCTTTGAGGTTCAAATTCTTCTTCCTTAGGCTTGACTTCAAATTCCGTGTCTTCTTTTTTAACTCGACTTAAATCAATTTCTAATTTCTTATCATCTTCGTCATCAGAATCATCTGCAAAAAAAAAAAAAATAAAATTCACTCATGTGACTTGCAACAAATAAAAGGTAAAGAAATACTTATCACATAACTTAGATAATCTCTAGCAATACTGGTAAGAAATCCAGTGGCATATTTAGGCTGTAATTTTGGGGTAATTCCCTTCCCTCCCTTGCCATAACCTCCGTACCCCATAACCAATGCCCTCTAAAATCTGCAAAGGTATGTAAGGATGCTCAGATGAACACTGCGTCACTACAGGAATCTATTTCTCTCCCTCCATCCCTTCAACTGATCTATGTTTTAGTAATATTAATTGATTAATTACATGCTCAGACAATCACTAATATTAACTATGTATACTGGTACTTATTAACTAAATATATCATTAATTGGTTAAATTCAAAATTCAATTTATCAGAATACTGTGCTCAATTTCACTGACACCAAAGTTTATAGTCCATTAAACTTTACTGCCTTCATAATTTGCATGAAAAATTTATAATTATATAGTTTGTTCTAAATAATCAGTAAAAAGAAAAAAAACCCAATAAAAAGCCAGAATTATAATTCAAAACAGAGGCTTTTGTATTCTCTTTAGCCAGTGTGCTTGTATATATCTGGGTAAAGGTACAGTATGTGAAAACTAAACAATTAAGTCTGCATTTAAGAAATACACCTTTCTTCGCATGTGTTATTATCGAAAAGCATTCTCAAACAAATCATAATTATTCAGACCTACTGTTATTAAAAAACATTGCAGATAACTTTTATGTTTAGGTAAATCTGATTTATGATTAAATCTATGTATATAATAATACATAATAGCCCTACACTAAATAACAAAAGTATTTTTTGTAGACAGAAAATACACAGATGAGAAGCATATTTATAAATATTTACATTCATTAAAAAGTTCCTTTTTTCAGCTTTTAAACTAATAGGGCCTACAGGATTTCCAGCTCATATAATTTCAATGAATGTAAACATTATCATGGTTATCCAACAACACAGTCACAGTAGATCTACCAAACAGTAGCTATAGATCATAAAAAATAAATCAAATCTCACCCTGCAGCAAAGATCAAAGAAATAAGAATCCAGGCGATAAGATCAAAGAATTCAACATTCAATACACACTACAAACTGAACCTTGTTAATGCACCAGCACTTTAAAGAGTGGATGATCTCATCGAGAAAATTGTATTTTCAACATCAGGTTAAAATGTTTTTCATTTTCTATCTCACTTTTCTTCGATTTAGCACGTTTTCCCTCGTGCATGCTGACAAAGTTTGACAATATTTATGCGGTAGAAATATAAATCGAGAGAGATGTGCCATGCACTTGAAGGTAACGGTGAAATTTGTGCACGTACTGAAACGTGCCGACACTGTCAACTTAGAAAACTTAGGATCAGAAATAGCTCAGTGGTTACAAAGTTTTGAAGCTAAAGAGATTTTTGTTGAAGTTTTTCAAAAATTGTATTGAGTATGTCACGGAATATTTTACTGTGGAATGTGTCACGTTCAGATCACACGTCACGTGCGCACGCGTAATGGAGTGCGTGCATGTTAAATTTTGTTGACGCCCGACACCAAATTTACCGTTAGATTGACCCATTTTATTAACAAAATGCACTTACTATACACGTGCGATGGTTTGGATTGTTTTCTGCGCGACATCTTGGTTGTTTCTGCCATCTATCTAATCTACTCTGGCCCCCACACAAATTCATTTGGCGGCATTAAAATTAAATCAAGATCAAGTGTAAAATTCGGCCTGCGCTAAACACCGTCCATTTTGAGCGGTGAATGCTGGGATTGGCACGTGTGTGTTGGAGTGAATGGTGGCCGTGTTCGGACTAGTGAACGTGAGGAAACAGGCTTCGTTCTGCTTGACTTGACAACATTATTTAAGATTGAGCCAGATTATTTTAATCTCCCGAGGCAGACGAGACAACATGGACCAGGTTAAAAACACTGACGATGTTATCGGGTAAGATTAAAGTGAACGTGCATGCATTTTCTGAAGTTGGTGTCTGTTATTTGCAAATTACCAACTTGGTCCTAGGCGAAAAAATGATGAAATCGGAATACATTTACCGGTATCTGATTATGTTTTCAGTGTCTTAAATCCAAGGTAGGCTTAATCTACTGGATTACTGGAAATTGTTTTTCTTATTTGCTGACGTGTTGTCTTATTTATGACACTTATGTGTTATTCAAATGTATGGAGTAGGGTACCGGTACACATATAAACTTGATCTTCAGCTTTATTACCATTATTGAGCAATGCTTATTGTTATTGCTGTATGAACTCTGACACCCTGATGTAATTAATAAGATTCTAATTACGGTAGTAGGCTATTCCAACAGTTTTGCAATATTTTATAGCCTAACCTAGAAATCTAACCAAATATACTTTACTTCATAACTATCAGCCACAGATTACCTGTTTCAAAATTTCTAATATTGAAGTGTGAAAAATGAAGGACAGAAAATATAAAAATTACAGACTGGTTTCTAATCCAGTTAACATTGAATTGAGAAGTGCTCATACATTCAACAAGTTGGTACAAAAATACACATAGCAAACATTTTGTTTTTTTCTAGTGACAGGTCATATAACATATTTATCTAACTGTGAGTCTATTTATGATACGATATATGAACTTAGCTTTATTGAACACCAATCACTGGTTAATGTTTTATGCAATATTTTAACCTGTTTAACCTGTGATATATATCTATAACTATATATTGTACCAGTACTCACAATTGCTAAATTCTAATTTGAAGCCTTTGTGATATTTTTCTTGAATTGTTTTATTAATAGAGTTTATTAGCCTTACAATCTTTAAATGTTTTGTTTGATTGTATGATGCAATACTGTTCTGACACTACTGACAGTGACATACCTCAACATATCATTCATTGATTGAGTAGATATTTTACAAATTCTTCTGATGAAATTTGTTGAAATCAGTGCTCTTTGGTTTTTACTACAAGTTTGATGAATAGGCTACTGTTTTTTCCTTGATTTAATATTTATTTGGTCGTAATACATTTTTAGAATGGATGGTAAGCCAACCAGTAAGAAAGGTTTGAAAAAACAACAGAAAGAAGCAGAGAAAGCTGCTAAAAAGGCTGAGAAACAACAAAATAAACAGCAGGCAGTAAGTTGTATTATTATATTTAACTCTGTAGTTAATTTTTTTAAAGATCAAATGAGTATAATTATCATGCCAGTCTTCTGGGGCTGGAGGATAAACCATTATGATGAAATTTGGTTGAAGAGTTGAACCATGGATGCGGTCATATTTTCAAAAAATTGCTTTCAAAAGTTTTACTATTTTCTACTGATTGATAAGTCACTGTTCAATTTAATGCTAAAGTTTAGAAACTTTTTTTTGATGTAGGAAGTTGAAACCGAAGATTATGCCAAAGATAACTATGGTAACTTACCTCTCATCCAATCAGCTTCCAAATCAGCTCGGAGATTACAGAAAATCTCAACATTAACAACTGATTTAGCTGGCCAAAAAGTGTGGCTTCGTGGTCGATTGCATACTAGTCGTAGTAAAGGTAATATAATGCCAATGTTTTTAAGAATAATAAAAGTGATTCAGTATATTGTGGTTCAAGGGAGATAATAATGATCTATGATATCATTTATTTGTCAACTTTTAAGTTTTTTTAAAAACAATTCAGATTTTAGTAAAGTCAAATGTAGCAATTAGTCATAAATGAGAACCCTCAGTTTCCTTTTGTTAATTTCAAAATATCTATCTATAGATATATAAGATTTGTACAAATTTGATATTTCAGGAAAACAATGTTTTTTTGTATTACGTCAACAAAAATATTCCATTCAAGCATTATTATCTGTTGGTGAAAAAGTCAGTAAACAGATGATTAAATTTGCTGCCTCGTAAGTAACATTTCATCTTTTCTAGCCTATATTGTACAATTGTTTTAATGACTCATGGGAAAATGTGTACAAATGAATCTAATTATGTCAGATTTTAAGAGTAGTTCTCAACAAAGTAAACAATAACAAAAGGAGACTTAGCCTAATTTTAAAATAAAAAGACACATTTTGATTACTGGGTAAAAATGTCATTACAAGCCAATTATGAATGTTTCTGTGTGGATGGCATGGAGCACAAATGTTTCCGAAAAGTGCAATACATTTTAGTACTGAAGAACAAATAACTGACAAATACAATTAGAATTATTGGGTGATCTATCTGTAAAGTCCGAATGCAATAGATTGTTTTCTTTACAAATTTCATATTGTCAATATAAGTATTTAATTTGTATACCTGATATTTCAGTATCAATAAGGAATCTATTATTGAAGTGGAAGGTTTTATACGTACAGTAGATCAGAAGATTGAGGCTTGTTCACAGCAAGATGTTGAACTTCATGCTGAACAGGTTAGTATTAGTTAGTATACATCTTCTTCTACAGCTTTTCATACTGTAGGGTATTATAACAGCACAACCATGAGTAGAAAAGGAGGGTAAAGAACACCATTTCAATTCAATATACATTTGTAACCTCCTTTCTTTTTTAAAGTAATTTTGTTGTAATTATAAAATATATGAAATAACATAGAGACCACATTAATGTTATTGTATATTCAGTGTGTTTATTGAAGAGATTTGAATCATTCAGTGCCTGCAATTTGTCTTCCAGATTTGGGTTGTAAGTTCTGCTGAGCCACAACTTCCTTTACAAATAGATGATGCTAGTCGAAGAGAGGGGGAAGGGGTAAGAGCCTGATAACTTTTAATTCAACGAACTACGTTGGTAGTAGTATTAATTAACATTTTGTATATAAAAAAATTTCTTAAGCAATGATTACACAGAAGGATTTCTATCTACCAGAGTTAAATGCTCTGATGTGAACAGAGGAATTTATCTTTTTCGATGGCTGATATATCGCAGTAAAAATTTTTCAAGGGAAGTTACTCTATATGATGTCATAATTTTTACTATCCAGGAATTGGCTACAGTGAATCCTGATACAAGGCTTGATAATAGAATATTAGATTTACGAACCCAGACTAGTCTGTCTATATTCCGTATAGAGGCTGGAGTCTGCCGATTATTTAGAGAATATCTGACATCACAGGGCTTTATTGAAATCCATACACCGAAAATCATTTCAGGTATGTCATTATGTTAGAATTTTGTGAAAATAGTTTATAGATGATTTTCATGTAGATTTCAGAATAACTGATTCCAAAGACTTTGAATTGTGGATATATGTTACATGAGTGTATCTCATGGTATCCCACCCAAGCAATTCATTATTATTACTGATAAAAAAGTTCATTGTGCATACAAGAAGATTGCGTCATATGATACCATTCTTTCCAATAGCATCCTTTTGTGATGAAAGCCCTTTTCTCCTACAGATCTAATGATAGTGAAACTTTTAATGTTTAAATTCTGTTACAGCTGCATCTGAAGGAGGAGCTAATGTATTCACTGTGTCTTATTTTAAAAGCAACGCTTTCCTAGCTCAATCTCCACAGTTATATAAACAGATGGCAATATGTTCTGACTTTGATAGAGTCTTTACAGTAGGAGCTGGTAAGTACAGACCTGTTTAAAATTTGCTGTACATATATTGTTCGAGATATCAATTGTTTAGATCTCAAATCCTTTGAGACTTGTATACAGGCTTTATCTTAAAAAGTGATATTCTCATAAAAGTCTGACAAATCTGGCCCTACCCAGATCCTCAGACTTGATATACAAATGTGATTTTGTGGCTAGTATTTCCAGACATCTAATGTTACCTTTTTGGGGAGTTCATTCCCATCCATATATCATGTCTGAGGAACTAGATTTATCAGGCAAACTCATGATGTGATGCAGACAATATGAAACCTTCTTTCAGTTGAAATGATTTAAGCGAATTTGATTTGTCTTTTAATTTGTAGTGTTTCGAGCTGAAGATTCCAATACCCACCGTCATCTAACAGAGTTTGTAGGCTTGGATATGGAAATGACTTTTAACTATCATTATCATGAAGTATTAGATGTTATAGGAGAGTTGTTCTGTTCTATATTCTCTGGTCTACAGGAACAGTAAGTTTACCTAATATTTTCATAGAGATTAGGGAGTGTCCTATCGTTAAAAGATTCAAAAGAGGTTTTCTTCCCTTAGAATTTGTATGGAGTTAAGAGATAACTGTAGTGATTAAACTACTATTTCTTTGGTACAAAAGAATACAAAAGATAATTTTTATCTTTTCAGGTATGCTGAAGAAATTGCTGCTGTTCATAAACAATATCCTGCAGAGCCATTTAGATTTCTAAGACCCAGGTAGAAAAAATTTGATCAATAATCCATACAAGATACATTTATGACAATTGTTTATTGTGGAACATGGCTCTGATCAATATGATGCCAAATGAATTTATTGTGTGTGTTTGACTAACTCAAGCCACCTTTACTGAACATGACCAAGAAGTCCTGTACAAGAATGATTGCCATAGTTAACTATCTTACTATATGATTTCAGTTTACGATTGGACTACAGTGAAGGTGTACAGATGTTGAAAGCAGCTGGTATTGAAATGGAAGAAGACGAAGATCTTAGTACACCAAATGAAAAGTTACTGGGTCGTCTGGTTAAAGCCAAAGTAAGTTATATATTGCGCATCATATTAGCCAAGATCAGACAGAGGAAATAACTCATTCTGTACAGAGTTGTATTATTGACTGTGTAGTGATTAAGTGCTGTGGATTGGAATGCTTCTTAGGATAATTAAAATGCTTGTCACAGCATTGATATGTGGAAGCCTTTACCTCTATTAATTGCCTTTTGATAACATGATAGTTTTAAATTGGGTTCACATTTTAAGGAATTGGTTACATTGAATTAAAGGAATCCACTCTAAACTTTGATTATGTATCAAGATCTTAATTAAATTTATTATGTATTAATTTTCAGTATGATACAGATTTTTTCATTCTTGACAAGTTTCCATTGGCTGTTCGACCATTTTACACCATGCCAGATCCTAATAACAAGGTAAATTTATTAATATTGGTATTTGTCATGGCAAGAAATAGTGTGCCAGTCATCTGTTTGACACTTTAGCTTTTTGGACCCTCCCATCTGGATTTCCTAAGAATATGATATAGTTATATGGTTATTTAAGAATGTTTGTTTGTGAAATCAGAGTTGTGTTTTTTTATGGCCAATCAAATTATTTGTTATATTTGAAGTGAGAAGGCAATATAGTTCAGATCATAAAGTTCCGAGAGATTAATTCTTTGCAGTCAATATAACATTTATTACCTTTATTGCTTTTTCCATGATTGAAAATTCAAAAACTCTTGATGGTTATGATTTTTTTTACTTCCAGAAATGGTCCAACTCTTATGATATGTTTATGAGAGGAGAGGAAATCTTGTCTGGTGCTCAGAGAATACACGATTCTAAATTCTTACTAGAACGTGCAAAAGAACATGAAATAGGTAGGAAGGAACATTATCTTGACTTTGATCACTCTGACTTATAATTGAAAAGGCTGTTAAATATGCAATAAAAGGGTGGTTTACTTTTATTTACTTATTGCACAAGTGAAGATGGGTCAAGCCATGCATTTGGTAAAAAGAAATTTTTGGCAGGAAATTCTGCTTCGTTTACTTGCTTTAGATCTTCAATTTTCAAAGGGTCTCTGATATGCCCATTCTGCAGTATAATATCAGCTATATCACTGACAGGGAAAAATCTAATTGTGTCCTGGGTTTAAACCCTCTGTCTCCAGTCTTCACTCCGTTGTAAATAGTTTTATCTATGGTTAAGTCTCACACAATCACTGTTATTAAGATGAACCAGTCACCTGATAAATCTTCTTTTCATTCCAGACATCAGTAAAATAAAATCATATATTGATGCATTTAAATATGGAGCGCCTCCTCATGCTGGTGGAGGAATAGGTAATATATTTTTCAAAGGCATTTTATTGATTCAAGCAAAATTATAATGAATCTCTGAATACTGGTCAATGCTGTGATTGCCGATCGGGACACTGTTGTAGAGAAGATATTGACACTTCATTTCCATACAGATCAGATATGTGAACATATTTGACCTTTTATCCATCTATGCATTGATTATCAGGCAACCCATCTCAGTCTTACTCGAAGGATTACTTGTTAAGGTTGGAAATACTCATGGAATTATCTAACTTATGTATATATTTTCAGGTATGGAGAGAGTATTGATGTTATATCTAGGATTAGACAATGTTAGAAAAACTTCTCTATTCCCACGTGATCCAAAACGTCTTACTCCTTAATTTATATATTATTTTATTAACTACCTATCGAAAACAAACAAATTACGAAGCAAGATTTATATTTAGATCAGATTGAGAACATGTTTATTATACTTCTATGAAGGAATTCAAATTATATTATGTGTTAAAAGATAAATTGTTAATGTGATGTACCATAACAGAAAAATTGAACAGATGATGGTGAATGATTGAATTACTTAAAAATGTGTTGGAATTGTATTTTACATGAATTTTATTGACATTTTAACAGAAACATAGATCATGATAATGTTTTACTTTTGATTTTCTAGAAAATGTGAAAACTTTTTACTTTTTGATCCTTTGTCTGATTGTGCATTGACACTACAGTTTGATAAACTTTGATCAAGTGCCTAATGATATATTATTTAACTCATACTGAGTTTTCATTTTGATCACAGAAATAAATTGTATTTATTAATTCAGTTGTTGTTTTTCCTTGCAAGTCTACACATTAATATATACCTAGAACAAAAAGTTAAGCGCCACCAGATTTTGAACCATTGTTTCGCAAATGAATTCAATTTACAATCATATTTGATAACAGAGATGTATATATATGTATTTGTGAATAAATCAACAACAGGAAGTTGATGATCATACATTAAATTGTCTTTATAGTCCCAAATGCAAAGTATCTGTTTTTCATCAGTCTTTGAATGTCCTGTTGAGGACACTCCTGATGCAATGCTTCATCCAACTCTGTTATAGTTTGCACAGGAGGGTCTCTACGACGTACCAGAATATACTGAATTAAAGTTAGTGGCGCTTAACTTTTTGTTCTACGTATATTTTACAAGAACAGCCCTAAAAAATAATGTTATCAGATTACAATTAAGCAAGGCAATAAAAGCATATTATAAAGCTAATATAAAAGCTCAGAATAATGAGTACTATTTGTGATGTTCACTCAACTTGTGAGTCTTCGATAGTTCTTCAAAAAAATTCATAGATGAAAGCTTTGTTGAGTAGAATGCATAATTTCTGAACTTCTTAGCAGGTACCCCTTTCAGGCTTTTTTGACTCGAATTTTTACAGTCATTTCTCCTCTTATTAGCAGGTAACCCCTTTCAGGCTTTTTTGACTCGAATTTTACAGTCATAAAAACCTGAGTTCCTGTGCAGAATGTCTAAATACTCTTTAAATCGTCATCACCCACATCTCTTATTACTGTGACCTATATTGGTAAAATCTACTTTCGGTTTCTGACCTAATTCTGAAACAATGAAGCCTCCCTACTAATTGGGGTCAACTTCAAACAAGCTTGTGCACGAAAGCAATTAATACCCTACGTAATTAGCACCTTAGTCTGAAAATGTCTTTCAGTCTAAATGTATCAGCTTTTCGGGATGTTCAACAGTCAAAATGAAAAACTGAGAGACGAGGGCATCAAAATATATCATTTTTTATTTGAATTTCCAACATTTTTCGACGCTTTTTCCCCTTTCGCTCTTCTTCTCTAGAATCCACTTTAGTACTATATAAACACATATTACTCCGCGTCAATTTCCATTGACCTATTTTAACAATTTTTTCTCGCAAACTCTTTGAAAATTTTGTTTGTCGAAACATTTTACATTCATAAAATGAATTTAGTTCTGAATTATGTATTTCATTCACTGGTTTGTTACAATGAAGAGTCTGAGATGAGGACTATATTCTATCGCATCAATGACAAAACCCCATCACTCAACAAAATGGCCGGAGATTGAAGGGGAGTTTATCAATAAACTCTGGACGTTTTCTTCTCTTTTAACACTGTTTTAGATTAAATTAGCGGCCTTTAATTATTTGGATTATAAACTATTTTGGATAGACTAAATTAAAAAATCAAATTTTTGTACATAGATTAAATTGGTGAGTAGAAATTCAAATATTATTTTTCACATTTCACAAAGATTTTTATTCGTCAACCTGGGTTGAAGTGTCCCGGGTGCGTTGAAATTCTAACCCTCATAATGTTACACCAACTTTTTCTCAGTTTCTCTTCACTTTGTGCACCTCACGACACCCTCTAACTTTTTGTTTTTCGCTAATTTTTGTTTTATTTATTGTACTATATTTCAGATTCTGAATAGATGTTGTAAAACTGGACAAAAATTTTTAATGGTTGCAAACTAAATTGTGTCGCACGATTTTGGAGTAATCATTTTTACAGTTTGGCTATATGGGTCCATGTTTGAGGCTTATTTTAATTAGTGTAATTATACAAATTGGTTGACCAAGAATATACAATCGAATTGTATATTAGTTTGCTTAATAAAGATGAGGTTTTAGTACAAAATTATCTAAATGGATGGTATGTTGTCATTTGCTTTCTCCATACAATGTTTGATTGAGTTTTATTAACATTCAAAACCTCTAGATTATTATTAATAAGAGAGAGGCATAGTAAAGAGTATATCAGGGTAAAGATGATGGATAAAGCATGGCATATGTTCTTTGTGAATATTTTCATATAGAAATAAACATTCTGTGGGACAAAGTAAGTCTACTTAATGCAATAAGCTTCTAGCCAACTAGTCTAATTCTTTATGTAAATGTATACAAAATGCTTTAGGGTGATGAAAAAAAAAAATAGCCAGTCTATAAAACAAAGAAATTGTAAATAGTATATCAAGCCAACTTCATTCATTTAATCTTGGGGCTTCTTATTGTTTATTTGTTTGTTTTTAAAGACATAAATGTCTCAATTTGTGTTTTGAAACAGAATTGAATGGTAAAAAACTCAATCAAATTTTGAGTAAATTATCTAACCTCATTATAGAAAGTTATTATTTAGTAGAAAGTTTTTCTTTTTCCATTTCCCCACCCATGACCAGTACCTACTAAGAAAAGGCATGTGATGATATTAACTTATAAGTAAAGTAACAGAACAAAGGAGTTGTCATAAATTTCAAGCCAATGTTGCTTTTGAAACCATAAGCTTATCAAGAATTTTTCAAATCTTTTTGCTGCTTACTTTCAGCAATGTGTAAAGATGACGAAATCTGATTGAATTAACACCTTGTCTGATTGTAATATTGTATTATGATTAGTTTTATTAATTGGCTAATTACTGTCTGTGCAAATTAGATGAAGACATATCTTGTCAAACTTTTCTGTTAAACTGCTAGCACTTAAAATTTAGACCTAAGAAATAATAGAATCTAAATCTTTTTATTGAATTTCTGGCTTTTTAGCCAAGTTTTGCAAACTCCCCCAATGAGTTAGGTTGTGTTATTTTTATGTTTGGATAAAATTTTGCTTCCACTTAACACAAAGCTAGCACACTGTTTATCAAAGTTTGATAATTGAAGCCTAAATTTGTTATTGTTAATAACCTTTTACTAACCTTTAATGCATGTTTTTATAACCACAGATGGACATTATTATTAGGAAACCCTGATGTACCTGATGTTCAATTTGGATCTTGGATTTTTACATTTACATTTTTACACTAAGATATTTGAATTAAGTTGTTGAATATGACTTGAACATCAAGCCACTTCTTCTTGAATATCTAGCCTATCAACACGAAACTTATGATTAAAACAATTCTGATGTTCTTCATTTCAGACAGCGACAATGTTCCCCAGAGAACTGCACAACATCATCTACAGGGGGAGCCACCATTGTTAGATACAAATCCACATTTTGGATTACCTCACAATCTTCCAGAATTCTCTCATCAATCATTAAGTTCATCATTACAACGTCATCTACCGTTCGATCCTGGACGTCTGGGAATAACGCCACCTAGAGTTCCTGACTTCCCTCCACAGGAAGACTCTCTTGATCAGTATTTAACTGAAGAATCTCAAGACCCACGACTATTTGATCAAGACTATATACCTGACATTGATGACTACAGTAACTTTCAAGGCCCATCATCCTCCATTTATGGTCAATCACCAAGTCGTTCATTTAGCAGACCTTTAGGACTCTACCATAGCTCACCAACGCGTGGTGACAAATTTTCAGAACTTCCTTTATTTATACAAAAACGTGGTCCTGGTCGACCAAGAAAAGATGGCCAGTCTCCATTACCGAAAAAAACGTAAGTCACTGCATTTTCATTAAACTGTTGAAAGCGAGGCTGATCTATTTTGTGTTGAGCAAGAGCGATAAATTAAAAGTCTTCACCATTGCTGCATAGCTTCTATAGTTCTTTGATGAGTTTCCTCATCTTTCTCTCTCACACTTGCTAGAACTTTTGGAATATAAAAATATTTCTGTCGTTTTCAGTGGAAGTCGTCCCCGTGGTCGTGGACGAGGTAGAGGCTCATCATATCAGAATCTAACTTATCGTCAAGCATTTCCGTTAACTGGGATGTCCTCAACACCATTGTTATCAGGAGGAGAGTTTCTGGATAGTGGTGGAAGTTTAAGTAATCTTGGATCATCATCCTCTCAGTCATCATTTCCAGGAGATTTATCTGGTTTTGATCTTCCTCCAGGTAAGTATCGTATTTTTATCATGGTTTTATTGTCACTTGAATATTTCTTTTGAAGACATCCGGTGAATTATTGTTAGATTGATTTGTGAGCTTGCAACCAGATGTTATTTATGACATGTTACAAATTACATTAGTATTCAAGGAAATTTTTCAATTTATTGTACAATATTAAGTGTAGTATTATTATATCATTTAAAGGGATTGTAAAGAGTTTTTCTAAATTTTTTATTTGTATCGGACACCAATAGCATCAATTTGCATAATTCAAAATTTCAGTCAAACTCAAAATAAGTTTGATGACGTCACTAATCTCAAAATATGCTTTATCATATAAGGCTCTTTGCAATGAGTGATGTCATTAAACATTAAGTTTTAGGGGAATCGCAGGAACCACAGACATCTGGTTAGAAATTGGAATGGTGCAAATTGATGCCATCAGTGTCCCCAATACACATACAAAATTTAGAAAACCTCTGTACAATTCCCAATCCCAATTTCGTACGACACATTTTCAATTATTAATTTGTTTTATTTTCCAGTACT